TTAAACGTTGCATTGCTGAAGGAATATTTCCTCGTATATGGCGGTGCGGTAATATTCGTATAATACCAAAAAGTGGCGACAAGCCACCGGATGATCCTAAATCCTACCGACCAATCACATTGTTACCATCGTTAGGAAAGCTTTTAGAACGTCTTGTAGTGCCCCGGCTTCTGCCAGGTGGAGTCAAATTTCATGATAGACAATTTGGATTTACGTTGGGTAAATCGACAACTGACGCTGTTATATCGGTTAGAAAGTTTGTCACAGAGTCAAAATTTCAATACGTGCTGGCTATTTTCTTAGATATATCTGGCGCCTTCGACAACGCATGGTGGCCCATGCTGTTGCTGAAATAAAAATCACGGGGGTGTTTTAAAAATATTTATTCCCTTATCTCTTCGTACTTTTCACAAGGTACAACTAAACTAAGACTTGGTCATCATTCTGTGTCGAAGGCGCTTACAATGGGATGTCCTCAGGGATCGGTGCTAGGTCCATACTTGTGGAATATCGGCTTCGACGATTTTCTTACGATACCAATACCATCCGGATGTACTCTGAACGCGTATGCTGATGACGGCTTATTACTGGTGGAATCTGATACTAGGGCGGGGCTTGAGAGATTAGCCAATAGATGTTTGAACTTGATATCTCAATGGGGTGAACGTAATCGCTTAACTTTTGCACCCAACAAAACCTTCCAGTTACTTTTAAAAGGTAACCTCAAATCACCGCCGAGCATTAGATTTGACAATGTTACTGTAAAAAATAAAACCACAGTGTGTTATCTAGGATTAGTTTTAGAAAGAAACTTTTCATTTATCGAACATATTAAAATAGTTAATGAAAAGTCTAAAAAGAGTTTCTGTGCATTGACAAGGGTATCAACTGCGACATGGGGTCTATCATTTAATACATTAAAGATCATATACGGAGCTACTTATTTAGGTTCTATGTGCTATGGTGCACCTGTGTGGGCCGATAGGGCGACCGTAGGCGCTGTCCGTCGCAAACTGTTACAAGGCCAACGACTTGCACTGATATTTTTGTGCAAGGCATATAGGACGGTTAGCACTGAGGCTTTGCCGGTGTTGGCAGGTGTCCTTCCGGTCGATCTCGAGGTGCAGAGACGTGCAGCCATGTACTATTCAAGACAAAACATGGAATGCGATTTCTTGGGCGCGCGGGATCGCGGTAAAATTACAAGATTGCTTCAACAGCAGTCCGATGTCTATAATGACCTCATAGACGAATGGCAGCAACGCTGGGACGAATCATCCAAGGGGCGCCATCTTTACCAATTTTTTCCATCTGTTCGCGAACGGTTGTCGAGGACATGGCTTGAGGTGGATCACTGTGTCGCTCAATTTCTTACGGGTCATGGTAACTTTAAGAGCAAGTTGTATTCATTTAAATTAGTCGAGTCACCATTGTGTCAATGCTCAACACCTAACTCTCATTATGAACAGTCTGCTCATCATATCCTCTGGGAATGTAGTCTTTGGTATAATGAACGTAATATAATGCTGAATAGCTTGCAGGTGACATCTGGGGCGGTATACTATGGGGATCTTGTGTCAACTAGGGTGAATTTCCGTGCGTTTAGGCGATTCTGCCATACATATTATAGAAATCAAATATAGCTCATGTAGGACCCGTAATATTTTGTGGCCGTGGTGCTTCCCTGTTTAAAAGGGTGTATGCCTATTTCACTTCATTTTGTCTCCCGCTTTGCTAAGGAGGGAAGTGGATTTACTGTATTTCCAACTCCTCCAATTTTCTTCTGATTAATTTCGTTGCGGGTTCCAAGACAGTTTAATTTCTTCCTGGGACTTCCCGAGTGTCATAACTCGGTGTGTTCGTGGGTCACTGCTGTGGATCCTGGTGTACAGGAGTTACAGTGGTGGGCGTGTGGGTGGGATTAGTCCCAATCCCTCTGCCTATCTATTCGTGGATATGTAGGTTTAAAAAAAAAAAAAATAGCCTTCGCCTTAAATGCATTATTTCCACATGATTTCATCCCCTAGTTTGGGGCGAGGGTGCAGTATTGTCCTTTGAACAAACACCCACACATACATATTAAATTCCAGCAGTCGCCACCGCGGAATTATAGGTATTATTTGCTACCAAAGTGGTAGACTTGCTAAAGGGCTGGTGGATTAGAAATTGGAATTAAATATAAGTGGTTTAATTGATACAAGGGTAGTTAATTTGTAGCCACTATAAGGATCAAAAGATCGACAGTAATAATGTTAATGTAGAAAAAAGGTTGGTTGAGAATTTTAATTGCGCGATTCAGGCAAAGTTCCTTCTTTGGCTTCTTCGGATTGTGATTTGTTTAATCATGGAGTTACATAAATATGAGGGGTTATAGAAGCACAGGTGACAATCCCCAATGAGTATTATACCTTTTTTTAACGATTTTAATCTAAGATGTCTAGACAATAAAAACGTACTCGTATATGACAATGATATTTTGAGTGATGAATATATTTAATAGTGCCATTGTATCTATCTGTGAATTGCAAAAGAGTGGCCATGAGTTTGTTTGCCTTTTCTTCTCATAAGGCTCAACCACTTGGAAACGGGCGGTTGTAGATCGGCACAGGCATATCATAGATTTTGTATGGGTTTGATTTTTGTTAAATTTATTTGCTTACTATTTGACAAAAGAGAGATTGTTGCTTGATCTAAATACTCTACCCTACATAAAGAATGCGTCTACATAAAAGACGATTTCAAACATTTTTAATTTTTTTATGAAAAGCTTTCAATTTTTACAACTAGGTCTTACTTTTAGTTACATTATCAAATAAAAATGAATTAATATTATTTGCGTCTAAACTAAACCTACAGAGGTGCCATATTAGGGCTACGGAACCCTTAAAAAAAAACATATATAACCTAACCCTACAAAAAATGTCACCTTCGAATACCGCTAAAAGAAAACTTTTTAAAATTCAGATACAAAATGGTCGGCAGGCGACAGGTAGCCGGCGTAAAGTTAAACATAATGCATCAACGTCGGCCATATCTGAGCCAACTATCTCGAAGATAAATGGCTTCATTAATGCCTAGCTTAAAACTAAGTGAACACGCGACGAACTATTGTAGATAATTCAAGATATCGTGTCATAATTTTAACATATATTTGCTGCCTGACTGAAAATTGTCATCCTCATCACCTGGATAGTTGGCGCTCCACTACTGTGCGCTTTTCGAGACAGTTTTTGCCTCCGTAAGAGCCGACTGAGGGAGCAAACTACGCAGGACAACAGCACTACAGAGAGAAGGAAAACTTGACACAAACCCTATAAAAACACCCGTCTGGCCAGCGTGGTATACTAGGCCAAAACCTCCTTTCTAAGGTGAGGCCTATGTCCAGCAGTGGACTAGTAAAGGCTATTGTTGAACCAATCTGTGGAACGGGTTATCGTCTGCGGTATTTCTGGACCGATACGACCTTCAAATCTTCAAAGAAAGAGCGTACTTCTTCCTAAAAGGCCGGCAACACGTTTGTGACTCCTGAGTTTCAGACGTTCATGGGCGGCTGTGGTCACTTTCCATCAGGTGACTCGTCTGCCTCCTCTAACATAAAAAAAAATTCAAACTGTAACTCTATTTTTTTTTTTGAGTACATTTTGTTACAGTCCACTTTCAAATGTCATTAGTATACAAATAATTTCATCTACATAAAAGCCATGTTAAAAAATAACATTAAAATGAATATATTACAATATATCAGAGATATAAAATGCGAGGGCAGAGCGGTTGTCTGGCATAAGCAGGCGACGGGTGCATCATCATCATCGTCAACAGCCTTTAATAGTCCACTGCTGGACATTAGCCTCTCCTTGGAATGGAGGTTTTGGCCTACTATACCACACTGGCCAGACGAATTGGTATAGGGTTTGTAACAAGTTTTCCTTCTCTCTGCAGTGCGTTTTCTGCATAGTTTTTTCCCTTAGTCGGCACTTACGGCACCCAAGGGATGAATAGGTTCGGTGACACTCTGTATTCTTAATCCGTCACCACGACGGGAGCGGCGCTTGCTGAAGCGACCTTTAAAGAATTTGTAGAGTCTAAACCAGCTGTAAATATTTCATATGAAGATATCTTGTAGTATTATCATTATAATAATATTGTTAGTAACTGGACACTGATATCACAGTTTTTTTCTTTATAATAACATTTTTACTTATTTTTGTCTCCCGCTTTGCTAAGGAGAGAAGTGGAATTATTTCTTGTGATTTATTTCGTTGTGGATTCCAACACAGTCAAATTTTTGGAACGAAGTTCCTTATCGCGCGTTATGAAAGGGGGCTAGACGGAAAAAAATCTCACGAAAAGTTGTAACGACACTTTTTATTTTGAATTGGCACTTGTCAGTCATTCAGCGCCATCTATCGAATAGATAGGAAATCATTACTTTTCATCTCAGTAAAATTACAATTTATTTGTTGTAATTAAAATCGTGTCGAATCAGTTTTACTCGATCGTCACAACTTCGTTCCTATCGGGTGTCCCACGACACCACACGGCTTTTTTGGGAGTTCCCTGGTGTCATAACTCGGTATATTTATGGGTTGCTATTGATTCTGGTGTACAGGAGTTACACTGCTACACGCACACCAGTGGGAAGGAAAAGGTAAAAAAATGTAAAAATAGGCAAAAACGCCAAGCTTATTATTGTTCAACCGACCACGCTGATGTATCTATTCTTTGTATATCTAAATCGGCGCCATTACAATTGGTACGCTCCAGTGGTATATTGTCTCGTTCCCCGGATATTAGTACCCGAGACGGCGTGCGGTTTTAGTCGGTTCGAGTCCGACATGCCACCTGTCCCCCTGCCCTGGTGGTATCCGAGGGGATTTCCGCACGGAAAAAAAAAGGGGTATATTGTCTCTCTCTCTATCACTGGTGTGACACACATCTCTGTCCTTGTCTACAGATGAGGGATACAGCACTCCTGCGGCGCGGTCGCGGTTGACGTAATAATGGACATGGCGTGGCTTGTTCTCGCCGCTGTCTTCATCGCTGTACATGGACAAAATAATAGAAGTAAGTACTTATTTACTAATAAAAAAAACATCTGATACGGAAGGCCGGCTGTTAGGATGGCGACGCGTCGCCACGCTATGTGATGGTAATATTAATTTTGGCGTTTGAGTTGTCATTCAATTTGTCTTTATTGTGAGTGACACTGTGTATACGAAAATTAAAAAAAAAATAGCCTAGTTGTTGTTGTTTTCATACGCTTTTATGAGTCTCACTTTGCCTGTTGGTCTAGTGGTTAGTGACCCTGACTGCTACTCCAGAGGTCGTGGGTTCGATTCCCACCCAGGACAAATAATTGTGTGATGAGCACGGGCATTTGTTCTGTGTCTGGCTGTAATTTATCTATAATATGTATGTATTTAGAAATGTATAAGTATGTTTATCTGGTTACCATAGTACAGGCTCTGCCTAGTTTGGGATCAGGCGGCCGTGTGTGAGATGTGTGTAAAAACATTATATTAACTTGTAATGTGGTGTGGCGACGTGTCGCCATGGCATGGTCCACGGCCTTACAGAAAACCGGTGTTTAGGAATTCTTTTGGTTACTTTTCACGGTGAGTGAAGTTAGCGGAGCCCGAACTCCTTCTTACCCTAACTCTTGGTGGACTGGACTCAAAGCACGGCAAAGCACTTGTGACTGAGTTGCAAGTCTCCATGAACGGTGGTAGTCGCTTACCATCAGGTGAATCGTCTGCTCGTTTGTCCCCTCCCTATACCATAATACTTTATTCAGACTTTGTCCATTGTTTTACACGTTTATATTACCATTACTTAATAATTTATACTAGGCAATTTTAGGAAAAGAAAAACAAATGAAATTAATAACAAATACAAACAAAAAAAATTGGTTGCCTGTAAAGTCGGTATACGGGCGAAAGTTTTACGTGACAACGACTTTGAGTGGTAAAATAATTTTAATGTGAATATTCATTCGTATAGTAGGAAGAAGGATGAAATAATAGTAACAATTTAAAACATTTATTTATACAAAGAATTATATTTAAAACATTAATTTATACAAAGAATCTCGCACTGAATTTCATATTAACAAAATTTTATTTTTACCTTTACACATACATACGTATTTATATACAAATATAACGTATAATATACTATATATATATCTCTCTCTCGCTCTGTCTCTCTCGCTCTTAGGCGGGCTAACTGTGCTCGAGTGGAAGGGACGCGTGCCTTTCACTTTTTATGTCTGTCTCTCTCGCTCTTAGGCGGGCTAACCATGCCCGAGTGGAAGGGAGGCGTGCCTCTCACTCGCTCTCATTGTGAGCGCATAACGTGAGCGGAGCGTAACGCAGTTTCTTGAAGTGTCACCCGGCAAACCAATTTATAAGACGTTGTCACGTCAATAAAAAAAAACTGTAGGTATGTATGTGTATTTATAAATGTGTAATGTGAACAGATGTTTTTTAGTGTATGAATGCTTTTCTTGATATTTTATAATATTCACATGATAATGCGTTACGTGTATAAAAACTACCTAAATTTTTAAATGTCTAATATCGGTATTAAGGTTGTCTGTAAGAGATCGCCGTGAGCGATAAGACCGCCGATTGTTACGTCTGTAAGTAACTTATGTGTTAACTATATACAATAAAGTTATAAATAAATAAAACAGTTACTATACTATACTTATCTTAGAATGAACTTTAGAATGCTATCGACTCTAACTTGCGTAAACATACATATTAAGTAACATAAAGCATGGCTTTTCCATCTGTCAGTTCCAAAGCCTCTTAAACAGCCATCTTGGAAAAACTTCGCGCCTAAGTTCAGTTCGATCGGATAACTTTGGCCGTATATTATTTTTTCTTCAATTCTCTTGAATAGAATTCGAGTTGTGTGATAAATGGCGTATTGAATAAAAAAAGCATATTGAACTATAAAAGGAATAGTAAATTTTAAATTTATGCAATACCATCTTATTTTACTTGGAAATGGACTGTCCAAAAAAAATATAATGTATTCAGAAACTCTTTTTCCTTCTTATCCCTTTTTCAGTATCCTTTTTTTTTCTCAAATCACCCTCCGGTGGTTATGTCGGACTCGGACCGACCAAAAACCGCACGCCGTCTCGGGTACCAGTAGCCGGGGAACCAGGTGTACCCTAGGAGAGAAATTCCTGTTACCCCGACGTACCAATGTATTCAGGTCTCGTGTTTAAAAAGCCTGATCGTCTAGTGGTTCGATTCCCACACAGTAACAAGTTATTAATTTGTTCTGCGTCTGTGTGTAACTTATCTATAACATGCATGTATTTAGTGCTGATGCTGTGCTGATGCTGCAGCTGTTGATGATAATGGTGTAAGATGATGAAAAGGATGAGCCACTTTCCATCATGGATATTAAAAAAAATGGTTCTGTAGTTACTGTTTTCATGACACATATCATCATCATCATCATCAACAGCTTTTAATAGTCCACTGCTGGACATAGCCTCTCCTTACTTGTATTTAGTAATATATAAGTATTGTTTTTATTTCTTTAAAAAGACACCTCCCTTTGGAATATATTCCTGTGTACTTTACAAACATATATGAAACGGATGCAAAGAACACCCAGACTAAGAACAACAATTTGTGGTTCACACAAAGTATTGTTCTATGCGAGGATCGAACACACAACACTCAACGCAGTAGGAAGCGGCGAGGTGACCGCTTACACCACTACGCCATCCGTGCAGTCGATTAGCAATCTGGCTCTGTGTATTTTGGGATTAGACAGCCGTGTGTGAGATCTGAGAGATTTTTGTTATTATTTATTATTTTCAAGCGACTGCGGGAAAGGAAAATAAAAGAGAAACAAAAAAGAATATCTGTTTGACGCGGATCCACTAAAAGGATGAACCAATATTGCGGAAAAAGACTGATAGACTTGTCTTTATTGCACGTGTGTTATATGTAGTAAAAACAATCTCACACCCTGCCGTCTGATCCCAAACAGAGCCTGTACTACGGTAACCAGACTGCTGATAAACATACTTATATATTACTAAATACATATTAGTGTCCTTGCCACCGTGTCATATACATATTGTCCGTATGACAACGGATTAAGAATACAGAGTGTCACCACCCCTATTCATCCCGTGGGTGTCGTAAGAGCCGACTAAAGGAGTACACAGAACAATAGCACTTTAAAGGGAAGGAAAACTTGAAACAAACCCTATACCAACCCGTCTGGCCAGCGTGGTATACTAGGTCAAACCCTTCTTTTTAAGGAGAGGCCTATGTCCAGCAGTGGACTACTAAAGACTGTTGATGAAATAAAAGTGAGTGTGTTTGTTTATAACACTTTCATGCCTAAACCAATACACGGTTTTTAAACATTCTTTCACCAATGAAAAACTACATTACCATCGATAACCGACGTACTATGCAGGTGGAGCTTTGGGAAAAATATATAAACTACACCCAGAAACAGAACACATCACTTAATAATTTGTCCTGGATGGCAAACGAACCCACAAGCTCTGGTTCAACAGTCAGGAATGACTAAATACTAGACCAAGAACCACACAATTTTTGTAGTAAAAAATAAATTTTCGAACATAATATTTACATTTTGTAGTTCATGACGCGAAAACCATTAAAATGAAACGTACCCTTTTCCGGCGGATATAATAAATATGGCGGCCGACACCGGAAGCAACAATCCGTTACGTCACTTCCTTCCAAAATGTCATTGTGTTGTACACCACTAATTGTTTTCTCCTGTTTTCATTTAATTTATTTTTATCGGATGTCTTATAACAATAGTTAGAAATATATATATAAATCGAAAATCGATCCAAGTAGCGTATTATGTCCAGCTGTGGACTGCGATAACGAGTCTTGCGCTAACGTAATAATAATGATTAAGTAGCAGTGGTTCTGTTAAGCATATGATTTATAAATCATATAAATTATTACATGTGACTGTGATTTTGTGAAATCCCTACTAGTACGAAGATAAATATAACAAGATATTTAAAACTTCGCTCTGCATTCTCTATCGTATATATCCTGGAGTGTGCTCCGAAGAATTATTCGGATTAATACCGGCCGAAACCCCACCAAATTTTCATCCCCACCACTTGGATAATTGGCGCTCCACCACTTTTTGCTTCGCATTGCCAATCTGTGGAACAAGTTGTCGGCTGCCGTATTTCCGAACCGATACGCCCTTCAAACCTTCAAGAAAAGAGCGTACTCCTTCGTTAAAGGCTGGCAAGGAGCTTGTGACTCCTGAGTGGCAGGCGTTCATGGACGGCGGTAGTCGCTTTCCATCAGGTGACCCGTCTGCTCGTTTGCCCCCTACTCGGACCGGACTGATTCCACGTTTTCACAGAAAACGAGTGTTAAGTAATTGTTTCGTCTTTCACCGAGTGAGTGATTTCAGAGCTGGTCTAAGCCCCCCTCCCCCTTCCTCCTACACTGGGTATTAGGTGCACAAAGGGTGGCCACGCATTTGTAACAAATAAATGGCGGTATTGTCTTACCATCGATGACGCGTCTGCTCCTTCGCAGAGACAACATGAAAACTAGCCAAATTGTTTTTTAACATGTCAACATTTCGCTGAACCCAAAAAAAAATCAAAAACATATCGAGAAATACGATGGAATTATTAAAAAAATGTAGGTCAGCGCAGAGCCCATACATTCAATTTAATTCACGAAGCGCGAACAATCCACACGTCAAATATTCACTCGACCCATGGGTTTTGCGCAATATTCCCATCAATCCTGAACCTTGCTTCTAAATCTTTGCGAACTTAACACGGCACATTTAACTCAGAAATTGTTTGGAGAGAAAATCGCTTACTCGGTTTTTACTCAATCTTTATTATGTACAAGATTTTGCTCCCAGCTCCGCCCGCGTTTATGCCGTTTTTTTTGGGTAAAAAGTAGCCTATGTTACTCTCTGGGAATGTAGGTTTCTTTGACGACCGAATGGCGTAGTGGTTTGTGTAACGGACTGCTAATCCAAAGGTGGCGGTTTCGATTCCCGCTGAAGTCAAACATTTATGTGCATGAACATTAGTGTTTGATTTGGTCTGGGTGTTTCTATGTATAATAAGTATGTATTTACAAAAAAAAAAGTATATATGTATTGATATCAGTTGTCTAGTACCCATAGTATAAGCTCTGCTTAGTTTGGGACTAGATGGCTTTGTGTGAATGTGGTACAATATTATTTATTATTTATTGGTGGAAGAATTTTTTAAATCGGTTTAGTAGTTTGTAGCAGTGACAGCGTAACAAACAAATAACTCTGTTTCTTATGCAGTCAACATCCATTTCTCCAAACCTTCAACAGCTTTTTTGATGAATACCTTTCTTCACAGATGACGGCCCAAGGTTTCTGTCGAGAGGACACTCCTTCAGAACTGTAGTTGGAGACACGTTGCTGCTGCCATGTCAAGTACAAAACTTGGGTAAGTAGAAATCTGAAGGTTTCTTTTTTAAAGACAACTCCCTCATTAGGAATATATCCTGTGTCGCGGGGGACTTTACAAATATACATGAAACGGACACAGAGGACACCCAGACTCAGAACAACAATTTGTGGAGCCCACAATGTGTATTTTTGACTGACCTGTTAGTCCAGTGACCCGAACTGCTAAACCAGAAGTTATGGGTTTGTTTTTTTCCATCCAGGATTAATAATTGTGTGAGGAGCACGATCATTTGTTCTGTGTCTGAGTGTAATGTATCTATAATATGTATGTATTTAGAAATATATAAGTATGTTTATCAGCAGTCTAGTTACCATAGTACAGGCTCTACCTAGTTCGGTATCAGACCGCCGTGTGTGAGATGTGTGTAGTTATTAATATCATTTTCCAGGGTCTCTCGTACTTCTATGGAGACGGGGGCCAGCAGTCCTGACAGCTGCAAGTCTGATGGTCACAAGAGATGAACGGTTTCGACTCGTCGATGGATACAACTTGCAGATCACGGATGTTGGACCACAGGTACGCATCTTCGAACTCCATACTGTGTTTACTAAAACTAGTAGGTCCTAGAAATCTCTGTCTTCCTGACTACAGTCAGTTCCAGTTACACATGCGATCTATATAGGACTATCCGCATAAGTTTCTTCTTATTTAGGCAGCTACCTGGTAGTAAAATATTATCAAAATCAGTCCAGCCGTTTTGATAACCCCTAACAAACAGAGAAAAATACAGACAGACAAAACATGTTTAAACAGGTTTTCATGCATAGGTATCTTGCAAATAATCGTATGAGCATAAAAAAATATTTCGACATTACAAACAGACACTTCAATTTTATTATAATACAAACTTACAGACTCATATTTATACTTAGGGACATATACACGTTCTTTTTTCCTTCTCAAACCATCTCAGAATTCTCCTTATCGATTTTCATCCTTACATGCTGTTCCAAGGGTCTTAACTTCCTTCCCAATCTTAAACCTCAGACGCCTAAAACAACCAATCTCCATTCTCAGTGAAAAGCCATTTCCGAACGGCCCTTTAAACGCAGCATTTGATTTAATTAATATCGGAGTCACGAAATCTTTTAATTTATCTAGAAATATAATCTTTGCTCAATGACAACTGCGGTTTTACGATTTAAAAAGAAAGTATTTTTAAATGTCTCATTAAAAATACTTTTGGAGGGAAAGTCTGTGGTTTAATTTTTTTTTTTGCCAACGAATTATAACTTTGGCAGCTGAATACGAGGACAAAGTAGAAACAGTTTTAATTACTCCAGTAAACTGGTGCCATTGAATTCGTTTTTGTAGAAATGTTTTTTATAACCGACTTCAAAAAAAGTTTCTTGATTCCGTTTTTTTTTTCATGTTTGTTACCTCAGAACTCAAGGGGCTCGTGGCTAAGTGGTAGCCCAGTAGATTTGCAAAGTTAATCCTAGCCAGGTTAGTCTATGGATGGATGACCATTCTTAACACATTGGGACCCCTCCATGCCTCGGAGAACACGTTAAGCCGTCGGCGTCGGTCCCAGTTGAAATGAAATGATGAAATTATATTTATTTTTGCAAGTAAATCTTTTCAGACATTTTTACAATTCGGACTTTACAGCTAGAAGGCGTCGGCATTTCCTAAGACTCGATCTGGAAAGAAACGCCTAAACAAACCACAGATGTGTCTTTTTTTTTTAAGTCCGTGTACAATGTTAAAGAGAACTATATGAGTGCTGTATAGGGACCGCAAGGACCATAGTTTTGAGTCGGCCCGTCCATACAGACGGCATACGAGCCCCAGCCATTGTGTAGCCTAACCGATATAGTCAGAATCAATAATTCGGAACACGACACTCCCGCCTGCAGGACCCTTGAGTAGGCCGTAACGTAGTAACGTAACGTAACGTAGTAACTATCATGACAAGCCTATACTATAGGTACTCATATTTACACAAAAAAAAACTATACAATTCAATTTCAAATAAACAAATTGAAAACAAACGAAATACGAATTACAACAAAAAATTAAATGTTCATCACTCTCAAAAGCGGGAGTGAGCAGCATCAATCCCAAGCAAATTTGTCATCAAAATAATCTGTAACCGTGTAATAAGCACTTTCACACAATTTTTGTTTAACTAAGGACTTAAAATTGTTAATACTTAATTCATTAAATTTGCTTGGCATTTTATTGTAGAATCGCACACCCTGACATCAAAAAGACTTGCTTACTTTTTGTAGTCTAGTCGTTGGCAACACGAGTTTACCTTTATTTTTAACGTTTATATTATGAATCTCGCTAAACTTTGTGAATAAATGAATATTTTTCTTAACATACACAAAATTTTCATATATACATATTGAGATGTGACTGTTATGTTACCAATTTCTTTAAACTTATCCCTCATCAACAGCCCTTAATAGTCCACTGCTGGACATAGGCCTCTCCTTAGAAAGGAGGTTTTGGCCTACTATACCACGCTGGCCAGACGGGTTGGTATAGGGTTTGTGTCAAGTTTTCCTTCTCTCTGCAGTGCTGTTGTTCTGCCTAGTTTTCTCCCTTAGTCGGCTCTTACGACACCCACGGGATAAATAGGGGTGGTGACATTCCGTATTCTTAATCCGTCACCACACGGAAGTTATCCCTCAGTGACTGCCTATAACTGAGATTATAAGTCGAGTAACTCTATTTTGCAACACTCTGAATGTCATCAGCATATCCCCACTACAAAATACCGTTTCTTTGATTTTTGGAAAGCTACATTATCAGCGAGTAACACAGGCTAATTTTTATCGTGAAAACCGACATAGGCAACCGCGGAGGCGCGGGCAAAAGCTAGTTCATAATAAGGAATAGAATATAATATTATTTATTTCATGAAAGCACAGCATATAAAAATAAAACAAAAGTTAAATACAAAAGATATGTAAACTTCGCCGAAAAACCAGTACAAGGCTTTTTTATGGCGTTGGGGCAAACTCGCTGACGAGTTGCCTGATGTTAAGCAACTGCAACTAGGCGTTGGGCACAGTAACTTTACTCTCTCTGTAAAAAGCAGCGAAAAAATTGTTTAACACCGGTTTTCTTTGAGACCGGGGTATAACTACAGTTGAGCCAGCCCATTTCTACATTAAAACAAGGCTTATCCCACGACAATATATTTTTAACCGACTTCAAAAAACTTTAAGGTTATTAATTCGGTTGATTGTTTTATATATATGTACATACATACATTCATTTGACGGCGTTATGCCCGGAATAACTCCGTGAAATCAAGACGAATTTTCACAATTCCTATTTTGTTCGAAAGGGGTTTATTCCGAAATGGTCCCATTTAAATTTCTTATGGATCTGATTTTAGGAGACAGACAACGGAACTCTTAAAAAAATGACAGCAAATCAACCGCGATTGCTGCTAGGTCTTTAATGCTCTTTGTTAGTATTGTTTGAAGTCGGTTCAACTTCTTTAAAAGGATTTATTACTAACAATAATAGTGCCAAAAGCCCAGCTACCAAAATAAATAATGACGTATAACCTTCCTTTAGTTTTTAAAGATAATCTTTCAATTCAAATCTGCAATAGCGGTCGCTTAAATAGGTTTTATAATCCCCCAAATTGCTAAACATTATTTCCCGCCGTCAAAAATGCTAAATAGAGCCTTAAACGGTAATTGGTTGAGAAAAATATGATAATGGCTGTATAAAAACCTTTGTGGTGCACACCCTCGTTATTTTTTATGTGTTGCAACACCGAGGTACCCTTCCCGCGCTTTTCGACGCCATCTTTGTTTTATTTTTCTTAATTTTCGTTTAGAAGTTTGGAATTGAGTTAAAAATGTTTTGTGGTTTTTGTTTTAAATGGCAAACTTTTGCAAAATTTGTTTTAATTATTTCTTTCGCCTTTTCTTTTAAATATAGATACTTAAATCTAGTCATTTTCAGTTTTGTTAATTCCCACGTAGTACGTGTGGTATTTCTTCTGCTATTGCAGTTGAAAGTTCATCAATCATCATCAACAGCCTGTAATAGTCCACTGCTGGACATAGGCCTCTCCTTAGAAATAAAGTTTTGGCCTACTATACCACGCTAGCCAGACGGGTTGATATAGGGTTTGTGTCAAGTTTTCCTTCTCTTTACAGTGTTGTTCTTCTGTGTAGTTTGTTCCCTTAGTGGCGACATTCCGTATTCTTAATCCGTCATACATACGATATACATACAATATATTTATATATACATAGCTAGTTGAGTATATAACATAAAAGAAACGAAAACTTATGTTTGTAGGTATTGTGAAAACTAATTTAGGTTAAGTCTCGCAACCAAGCTTTTGGCAAAAGGTGTAAAAACTTACCGAAGATTTGCAGAAAAGTTTTTACGCCAGAACTATCCAGAATGTTCTAACAGTTCATGTCAACGATATATTAAGTGAGTTTTTGGAAAACGTCACATTTGTGAAGAAACTTTCTATAGAACAAGCCAGGCAAATCATGACTACGGGCCCCCAGAGTATGGGAGCCTCTAGTGGGAGATTAATTACTACGGTAAGGGATAGGATGGCGGCCTGATCGCATTAATCCGCAATAGAGCCGCTACGCCGCGATTGAGGTTGGGAAGTGTTGTCCTCACACAGGCACAGGGCCTGATTAGGCATGGTGTCGATTCGGGGACGATGGTCCAGGTCCTCACAGAGTAGGACGCCTGAGGCTGGCCGTCGAGGTAGTTTTTAATGGAATCACCACAGACTCCTGAGTCCTGAGTCTCCGAGAAGCAGGAGATCCGAAAAAAAACAAAAAGGTACGAGCAAAATAGACTTGTTGTTTTTAGCCGATTGCCAGACTGCTGAACCAGAAGGAGGATTATTTTTTTCAAGTGTATTTATGTTGGTATGCATATTAATTAAGCAGGCTCTGTCTAAACTAATTAATGGATTTTGGCTTGACAGATGTCGTTAGATTCGTCTCAATCGTGACAGTGACAATGAAAAGTGTCAATTTTAAGTACCTTTACATTTTCAGGCAGACAGGTTTTTGGAACGAAGTTCCTTATCGCGCGTTGTGAAAGGGGGCTAGACGGAAAAAATTGGTACGAAAATTTGTCACGACACTTTTAATATAAATTGACGTCTAACTGTGGATACCATGCATTAAATTTGATTTAACGTTCGCCAACGTCCATACCATGTTGAATACACCGGTTCTCGTCCGATCACCGAAGTTAAGCAACATCGGGCGTGGTTAGTACTTGGATGGGTGACCGCCTGGGAATACCACGTGATGTTTGCTTTTTGCTCTTTATTTTCGTGTCATCTTGTCAGACATTTAGCGCCATCTATCGAATAGATAGGAAATCATTTCGCAAGGAGATTTTACCAATGTATAAATTGTTTTAATTGTTTTTAATATGTAGGTAATAGCCGCTTTCATAGATGGCGTTGTAATTAAAATCGTGTCACATCAGTTTTACTCGATCGTCACAACTTCGTTCCTATCGGGTGTCCCACGACACCACACGGCTTTTTGTTTTTGAAGTTTACTTACTTACATAAGGCGCCAGGTATGAAAAAAATATGAAGAATAAAGTTTTGTGATCGAATGACCTCGTTACACCTATCGTGCGCACCTTTTGCATGTGTGTGTGTGTATAACTTGTATACTTGTGTGCAGCCGAATCGTTCTTAACGAGTGACATACACAATTTATTTTTCATTGTGGTTTGCAAAAAAATTAAATAAATCAAATCTATTTCATGTACAAATCGGTGGATTCATCTAATCTATCTTGTTTCTCGTAATAATATATTGTCCCATCTCGATCTGTCACAAGAAACATCACGAAACCTTCAAGTTTAACACTTCATAAATCTTTATGGCACGTTCTTCAGAGTCATAAGTTAGGGCCGGGCTTATTATTTTTATGCCCACTTCAATAGATTGCAGACGAAGCAGGAGGGCTATACGTGTTTATGGCTATAATCATTGTCCCTATAAAAAAGAACAACTTTAATAAGACGTGACGTTCTGTGTTCAGAAATTCAGACTAAACATTTTGAATATTTTTTTACCTGACTACCCAAGAAGGGTTATGTTTTTCACGCGTATCTTGTTGTATGTTTGTTTATAAATTTCTTTATTACGTAGTATCTTCCAAATAGCTGGATGTATTTCGACAGTTAGGGTATTGTTTTGTTCGTCTCAAAAACTTAAGTGTCTATTTGACAGAAAAATCAAAATGGCGGCTTTTTGGCGCAAAATTGTAATAGGTTAATAAAAACCATAACTAAAACTATCGAGTAGGGTATTTAAATCAAGAAAATGAAAAGCAGATCATAAAAATATATTTAAGCTATATATTTAAATTTAATAAGGAATAATAAATTTACTTAAAAAGTTTTTGATAGCGTAAAAATGGGCCATGTGTCGGATCTCGTTCTGTTTCGGTCTTTTTACACGCTTTATATTAGCTTCACTTGTATGTTTGCTTGTATGTTTGTAACCGACTCCTTTGAGCGTGATTTTGACTGACTTTAAACGGTCAGAATTCGTTCAAACTTTGTAGATAAATCGAGGACCGATGACAATACACTAATTTAAAAAAAAATAGTTTTAAAAAACTAAAAAAAAATAAAAACCCGACTGCAAAAAGACATTTTTAAAGTATAAACTAAAAAATTATAGTTTAAAAAAACTAAAAAACACGCTTTCTTTAGAAAAACAAACTAAAAAATAGAAAATAAATTTAAAAATAAAGCGTTGGGCGCCTGTTGTCAATAGTAAAAAGCACGCAAAATGATGGAAAGTGACCATTGCTGCGCATTAACGTCTGCAACTCAGGACCCACAAACGCGTTGCCGGCCTTTTAGGAAGGAGTACGCTCTTTTCTTGAAGGTTTGAAGGTCGTATCGGTCATTTTATATATCGAGTAGTGATCATCATCAACAGCCTATACTAGTCCACTGCTAGACATAGGCCTCTCCTTAGAAAGGAGGTTTTGGCCTACTATACCACGCTGGCCAGACGGGTTGGTATAGGGTTAGTTTCAAGTTTTCCTTCTCTTTGCAGTGCTGTTGTTCAGCTTAGTTTACTCCCTTAGTCGGCTCTTACGACACCCACGGGATGAATTGGGGTGGTGACAATTTGTATTCTTAATCCGTCACCACACGGACTATTCATATAACTTTTCAATATAACTGCGATTTCAATATAACTTCATAAATCTATATACATAAAAATGTTAAGTCAGTTTATGTAAGTTTCAAAAACTCAAAAAAATTGCGCGGCAAAAACTTTTTCTCATTTTTGCAACCACAATGTGTGGCAGCGAAGTGTGGCCGGGCAAGTTAGAGTATAAGGAACTTATAAGTTAAAGCCCTTTCAAAAAACTTATAAGTCTGCCTGCGCTAATTAATCCCAAGCATTTTTGTCTTCTATGTAATCCACAATTGAGTAGTAGGCCCTCTGGCTCGTTTTATTGCGGATTTAAATTTGTTAGTCTTGAATAGTTAAGTTCATCAACAGTTTTTAATAGTCCACAGCTGGGCCTCTCCTTAAAAAGGGGGAAGTTAAGTTAAAGTTGAGAAATAATTGTATCTACATATAAATAAATTAAATCGTTATCTCGTCTAAAATATTAACTAATTAATTTATTCCCAACAGGACGCAGGCGACTACGTATGCCAGATTTCAGACCGAGTGGCGAGAGACCAGGTCCATACTGTTGAGGTATTAGTCCCTCCAAGCGTCAGGGCATCTCCAGAGTCAAGACACGCAGCCGCCAGAAGAGGGGGCGCGGCAGTCCTGGAGTGCAGAGCAGCCGGGAACCCTGTGCCAACGGTCACCTGGCACAAAGTGGTGAGGAGACTGCTGATTTTTAGTATTAGATGTTTAATACTTAGTAGGCTAGTCAACAAGTTCAAAACATGTTAATTCTTGATAAAGCTCTTAAACATGGGATGGCTTATTCGATTCGGAATGACGTTTACGAAAAATGTATCGAAAGTTTGTATTAGCACATAAAAAATTTCAATTGTTATTAACAAATTAAGATGAATTTTTTTTTATTAACATTTAAAGAATTTTGAAAAAAGATCCTTAAAGAGGAGGAAATTTCCAAAAAAAAAAGTTCCGACTCCGGCACTCCATCTCTATTTTTTACTTAAGTTTAACTCAACTTTACTTAACACTCAATATATTACGGACCTGTTGGTCTAGTGGTTAGTGGCCCTGGCTCTAAGCCGGAGGTCGTGGGTTCGATTTCCACCCAGGACAAATATTGTGTGATGTGCACGGTCATTTGTTATTTGTCTGGGTGTAATTTATCTATAATATGTATGTATTTAAATCTATATACATATGTATGTTTATCAGCAGTCTGGTTACCAAAGTACAGACTCTGCCTATTTTAGGATCAGACGGCCGTGTGTGAGATGTGTGAAGTTATTATTATTATTCTGTTTATTAAATTATATATACATATTTATTACATTTTTAAATATATTACAAAAAATCAAAATACATTTAAAAATATAAAAAATAGTAGACCACCGACATCGGGTACAGGGACCAAGACACCGGTGGTTAGGACTCCAAAGATAGGAACCTCCTCACTATACAAGCCGTGTTAAGGAGGACTGCCTTCTGCATCAGACCCTTGATCCAGCCGTCCAACGTGAGCCTCTTAAAGTGTTTGGTCGAGGCTCTTGGCTATCAATCCGTGAGCAGATACGATTATCGGGACAATGATCACTGAATCGACATTCCACATATCGACAATCTCGTGAGATAAATCGAAATATTTGATTTGTTTTTCTTTTTCAACTTTCACGAGATTCTTGTCATGAGGAACGGCGATATCAACTTATTATTATTAGTATTATTACCACACGGCTTTTTTTATTCGCTGATATTCGCTGATACTGTAAAAACATTTGTGTAGAAGTAATTGTTTTTATTTATTTATGAATACATTGAATTTTGGTTTGATTTCTTATTTTTTCGAGTAGGAAAGAAAGTAGGTTTGAGAAGTCGTCCCGTAATGTGTAGTTTTTTGTTAATCCTCTGTTTTTGTAAAGAGATGTTGAATTTTTCGTACGAATTTTCATATTTCCTAAATATCATCTTTTTTTTATTCCACAACATTTACACAACGTCATCTAGTCCCAAACTAAGCAGAGCTTGTACTATGGGTACTAGACAACTGATATAAATATTTTTTTGTAAATACATACATATTATACATAAAAACACCCAGACCAAATCAAACGTTAAATGTTCATGCACACTAATGTTTGACTTGAGCGGGAATCGAACCCGCGACCTCTGGAATAGCAGTCCGTAACACAAACCACTACGTCATCCAGTCATCAAATTGATGGCAGTGTTAGTTTATTGTGTTCTTTTACACCGGTTTTGCTGTGAGACTTTCATATAATTGAAAGGGCAAGGCACTGCTGTGCCGTATTTGATTGCTCCTGGGCATCAGATAGTTTTTGTAAATGAGTCAGTTTAGTGTGGAAAGGATTGTCTATCCTGATGTAGGTGATCCCAATGTTTCAGAACGACACGAACATTCGTCTGGGGGAGGGCCCACAGCTGCAACTGTCCAGGCTAGAGCGCGGGCATAGTGGACGGTACGCCTGCACTGTGGACAACGGCGTGGGCACACCGCTTGTTGCAGAGTTTCAGTTGCAGGTCCTATGTAAGTGTTGCCAATAAACATAATTTAGACAATTCATCATGGTTGCTGATACTTTTTCTTAATTATATTATCTAATATTCCAGATCCACCAGAAATTACAGTTGAACGGTCTTGGGTACACACAGGAGAGGGTTTCAGAGCTGAGCTCCTGTGCACCGTCCTTGCAGATCCTCCAGCAGAGGTGAGAAGGCTTTAGAAGTAATAATAGTATATTATACCTTCACTCATGGGAATAGGTTGCGGTCAAATCATTATAAACCCTAGTGCGTTGCAATACGGCATAAAATATATTTTTGAAAGTTGACCTTCCCTCTATTGCTGTCAGAAGCAGAACTTGAAGAATTAGACTGGAAAATTGAGAGTTCAATATAGCTTATACGGATGGAGGAGGAAGTGTAAGAAGTAGTTTCAGCAGGTCGGGTCGTACAACTCGATCTCACTCGAATCGATTCAAATCGATTCAGCACTTCACTAGTATCGAACGCAGCTGGTGGTGGTACGGGCTTCGGGGTATTTTAGACCTAGAACCTAGAACTGAATGAGAGAACTGTATTTTTCTCTCTTTCTCTCGGACAATGAAGGTGTTTATACGCATAATGTAACCTAAAAAGTATTCGATCGCATAGTACTTAGAGTCTACTTTAGTATACGTAAAAAGTAAAACTGATAGCATGTCAACGTAAATTTTTCATTGACGCTCGTCTCCTAATGGTCATAGCATGATGTTATATAGCCTACAGTCTCTCTCGATAAATGGTCTATCCAACACTAAAAGGATATTTCAAATCGAACTAGTAATTCCTGATTACACAGCTCAACTCTTCAGCTCTATAATATTAGTATAGACTCCATCTTCTCTTCCAGGTAACATGGTATCAGAATTCGTTTCCCTTAAGCGCATCGGAGCGCATCACCATGTCAGCAAGGGGGAACAACCACACCCTTCTAATAGCCAACGTGCAGCCTGAAGACTTCGGGAATTACAGGTAAACCATGATACTGTAATCCTACCCTCCGTTCCTCAAACAATCCTCTTCTGCTATATATCCTCATACTTCCGCTTGTGTCCACTCCTCGTTCCTAATCCACCCGTACTCCTCTGGAACGCTTTCCCTCTAGAAATCAGGATAGTACCCAGCCGCATCTCGTTCGAGATGAAAGTTTGAGCTCGCATTCTGGACAACCTAGCAGATTCATTACCTTAAAGTTTTATATATTATTAATATGTAGGTTTATGTATGTATGTACCTAGGTAAGTATTTATGTATGTGTATGTATTTGGTACGTATGTATGTATCTATATTTATCTCATTGTTTATGTCTAACTGGGAGAGGTTTAGAATTCTACCGGCCCGCCAGGCTCGGGAACGGGCCAGCTACCGCAGACGACTCAGGCGCCGGAGGTCGCACAACGACCTCCGTCCTCCATAAGCGAAGGCCTGGGGGTGACAGGCGAGGAGCAACTGTGTAAGCACAAAGGGAACATGGGGGTTCCCACATAGGAGGGGGTCATCTACCCGCCGTAGATGGCCCGAGGTACGTCGGGGTACCAGGGATTTCCCTTCTAGGGTACACCTGGTTCCCCTGCTACTGGTACCCGAAAGGCGTGCGGTTTTTAGTTGGTTCGAGTCCGACATAGCCACCGAAGGGTGGTATCCGAGGGGATATCCGCACAGACACAAAAAAAAAGGTATATTAGGCATTATATAATCCAAAAGCAAGAAGGATAACAATAATAATTTGACACATCCATAAATTTGAAATATAAATAAAGTCTAAATTTTCCAGTTGCGTCGCTGATAACAGCCTAGGCCGAGCTCGGCAACACGTCGAAGTATCTGGCCGGCCGGGTCCTGCACGATTCACATCGCCCCCACTTGCAAAATCTCACACTCGGTACACCCTGGCATTCGCAGTGGACAGCTACCCTCCGCTAGATGAACTCAGATTGCTGTACCGGCAACTTGCGGTAAGATACTCAAGCTCATGAAAAGATTTCGATGAAGCTTTTGACACGTGTACAAATAAGTAGGATAATGTAAGAGATTAGGTTAACCACATAAAGTGTGTCTCGAATGTTATTTAATTGTTGGACCTCGAATAAAATAATAAAAAAGTGACATTTTGTAGGTAGCTGCAATCTTAATGTAACCGTAACGTCTGCAGAGGTCTGCCACAGGGTAGCACTTTAGTCCCATAACCAGTCCTATTGTTATTGCCATCATAAAATGGAAAACTTCCTTTCATCCACTGTTTTATTCGTTTCCAGTCTTGTTTCCTAACTCCAACAAAGGAACATATCCTCAGTTTGATAGCCACATTTATATCTATAGTAAAATTCATGAAAACAACATTAAATGTATGAACGCGTAACAGATAAAAAGACAGACTGTTGATTTTGCGTTTGCATATTACAATGGCTTGAATTATATAGATTTAATCCTCTTTCACAGATAAACGAGACATTCCAACAGCCAGGTCGGTGGCATGACGTGGTGATACCAGCACCAGAGCCAGCCGGCTCCCTGACGCATAAGGTGACGCACGAGCTTAAAGGCCTGGAGCCTGGAGCTGTTTATGAAGCCATCGTGCAGGCCAAAAACAGATACGGGTGGAATGAGGTAAAGCATATTAGCTGCAACCACACTTTCGTAGATCCATCCATCTCACAATCATTTTGACATTGTATCTTTTGGTTACCACCACACATGATGGTATCACCCGTTCTTTTGTCGTTGGACTCTACTAAACTGAATCACCAACATCTTACAGCACTCTACTTGTGCTCCTGGATAACTGGGATCTTCTATAGACAGAAGGACTTTTAGATAAAGAACGTCTGGACTGGAAACTCCCTCAAAAACTTTCAAGTAGACCAAATTGAAAGAGACCTGCATAAAACGTAGTCCCACAACTTTAACAAGTTGTCTTTTTGATAACATAGGTTTCGTCATCAAAGGAAAATTGCGGTCGCACTCATTTTTGATATGACTCCATCTTTCTTCCTTAGCAGTTCTTACAGAATCTTCTCACTGAGTTTCTTTATGAGATACTTTCTCAATTAAGGTATTTCTCTTTACTTGGCTAATCAGTATTCTATTTCTATTCCAGGTCAGCGACATATTCCAGTTCCACACGTTGGGCGGCACTCACACCGCCCACGCAGACGAACTGACGCCAATGTTCTCGTCGACGGCGCAACAGGAACTGACGAGTTCAGCCATAGCTCTCGCCTTATATACCGTTCTAGCACAACTCATTTAAATTTCGAACTTACGACCAATCGTGTTTCCTTTTTCGAATTGTTTTTTTATCGTAAAACGATAAGACACCAACACGTTATAGAGTTAAGCTTTTTTAAGAGTTGTGAGCTATTTGTAATATATGCGTTTTGGTTCAGAGTTTTGGTTATGCTTCGGTAAAGTTTACGCGCAATTTAAAACGACGAGAAATAAAAGTTAGCAGTATTGTTCTCTCTATATTCTGAGAATTTTATAAACTATAAAACGTCGGTCAGACGACATGCTCAGCAATGAATGGCCTACTTTAAGTAATTGGGTTTACAAGGGAAAAATTGAGTTGTCACTTGTCAGAAAAAATTAAAGCTGTCATTAAAGCGCGCGTAAACTTGAATTTCAAAAACAGTGTTTGGAAAGCTTAAATTTAGTGTTACCAGACCTTGTTAGGACCTACCAATTTGTAAAGAAAAATAACTTTAGGAATCTTGGAATATTTACAGTGAATTGTGGATTTTTTTAAGATGTTAAATCTATTTTAAATAACTGTCACACTCTCTCTCGACTGACTGTTTAGAAACAAACATTGGAGCAACGTACGCAAACGTGGGACAACGGTTAATGTATTCTACAAACTATTGTCTCGTCAAAACCGACAACAATTATGGCAAGGTAAAGTCAAGTCTCGAGTGTCAAAAATCCACAACTCACTAAAAGAGACGCTAAAACCAATCGTTAATACATTTCCTATACTTTCGCATAACGACTGCTTAGTAACTTTACTTACTGATCATATTTTTACTAACTACATCCATATAAAGTGAATTTATTAATAATATATGTAGTAAATAAATTAAAGTAAGTTTCTAAACTCCAAAGGCTTCAGATTGGCTAGTGACAGTCCGTTTTATCAAACGATATATCCGTGTGGTGACGGATTAAGAATACAGAGTGTCACCACCCCTATTCATCACGTGGGTGTCGTAAGAGGCGACTAAGGAAGCAAACTACGCAGGACAACAGCACTGCAGAGAGAAGGAAAACTTGTAACAAACCCTATACCAACCCGTCTGGCCAGCGTGGTATAGTAGGCCAAAACCTCCTTCCTAAGGAGAGGCCTATGTCCAGCAGTGGACTAGTAAAGCCTAGACTAGTAAAGTGATGATGTTTCATTCACATTAGGTTCAAAAACATACTACCGCCAAATTCCTTCATACAGATTATACATACTTTCTTAATGTTGGTAGTATTGCAAGTAGATATAACGGACTGTTCATAGCCAATATTATTATTAAGTTGTCAAACCCGTCGATGAGGTAAAAATGTAAGTGTCAGTCCAGCTTTGTTTCACACGATTTTTGAAAAAATTTGGTCGTCAGAGCCTGCTACTTGCGTATTAAAAAATTCGATTGGTTAGCGGAGAGACATCATATTTAATATTTCACAAAGACGTGTTAAACAAGAGTGTAACTAAATTCAGGTTTTACAGTAGCCAAATGTCAAACGTCCTTTAATGTCACTCTAGAGCTGCCAGATTAATTGTTTTACTTTTCTACCACGATTTCTACTACTTTTCTACAAGTACACTTGTGGCCTTTTTTTATTTTAGGTCTTGAACTTATAATTAATTTAAATATTATTCTTTAATTGGAACTAAGTTCTTTATCACGCATTACACGCTCTGAGGATGGGAGCGAGACCGAAAAATGTGTATCAAGACTTTTAGCCGACACTTCAGCAAACATCGGACCCCAATTTACTGTATAAAAATTTAGACACACAGAATATCCAGCGCCATTTCTCTAACTACAGTCAGACATTGTCCTAAACCTGAGCAGTTTTTTTCTCACATTCGCACTAAACTAAAACATCTATCTATTTTGCAATAAACAGGTAAACACCAGAAACGGCGTTTGCTTTTTGCACATTTTTTAATACGTAAGTAGCGCTCATGTAAAACCATTGCCGCTACGTACAAATCAGCTCATCGCCTTCTCACACTACGCAACCACGACAAGATGATTGAATAGACATCAACCAATTTGTGCCTCTGTCAAGCCTAGAATGCTGTGGGGGGAACATAAAAAGGGTTTTCAGTATAGCCAAACAACAGTTTCACATTCAGCAAAAACTGTGTAGTATCTGCTCATTTTGTTGCTGCTGTATCGGGTAGGTAAGGAAAGTTCTGACGACAATTGGAATACCTCTCAACCTCCATCGTACCATGATCTACCTCGCTTAGTCAGAGTATTATCCCTTCCTGTTGGGTGTCACCACTCCTATTCATCCCGTGGGAGTCGTAAAAGCCTACTGAGTTAGCAAACTACGCAGGACAATTGCACTGCAAAGAGAAGGAAAACTTGAAACAAACCCCATACCAAAACGTCTGGCCAGCGTGGAATAGTAGGCCAAAATCTCCTTTCTAAGGAGAGGCCAAAGTCCAGCAGTGGTCTGTTAGAGGCTGTTGATGATGATGATGATGATTGAATTGATGTAGCCCGTTTCTCCACAGTAGTAAGCTCAACATCAAAGCAGACTCTATAAGATCAGAACGGCAGCATCATCGCCTTTATTATAACCGTCTTAAAGACAGTAATGAGTCGTAGAAAAATCTGCACCAGCCAATATCCTCGATCCCAACTGGTGTTCACAAGCCGACCACTCTTCTTCTTCTTTCTGGTAGTGTCTCATAGTTTATGGTGATCTAAGTGTGCCGTGAAATTGATCTGAAACTTAAACTTATCTCGATAGATGACTGTTGAAAGTTATTTGTGGTTGCGTAGCGTGATGAAAACCCTTAACCAACAAAGGGAAGAGATCGTGTACTCCAATCATTTTAAATTGAGCAATAAAATGTGTTAGTGATAATGCTTTAGAGGTAAAAATGTGTATTTATTTTGTTATATATTTATTTAGTAAATAGTTTACTTCAATGGCAATAATTTATTTAGAAAGTAATAGTAAAAGATCTACTATTTTAGTTCTAATTCTTTGAATCTCGCAGACGTGCTCTAATGACTTTTTTAAATCAAATTTTACAGTGTCAGTTGTCTATGAAGTGACACTGACAGATATCGTCACGACGCGTAAGTAAAATTGTTTTACTCCTTTTATATGAGTCTCTCTCTCTCTCTCTGTCCCTCTGCGTCTTTCTCTATAGAAAACTATGTAAACATTATTTTTTTTAAAGTATTAACAAGAAATTTAAAGAATTTGGAACGGGAAAAACTGCTTTCAATAAATCAAATGTTGCCATTGACTTAAACAGTGTTACGGTACTAAAAAATTAGTCCTCTACGTAATTTTAGGTGCAATATTAATTTTAAATGAAAATCAAAAGCAATACGTGAAACACATCAGTAGCTATGTTCGTAAGAGAAATAATGGAAAATTACTATAATATATTTAGTTAATAATATCATAATTTACTGAAATACTTTGGTGTTTAGTGAAAATATTGTATTTAAGTTCTAATCGGTACCATTAATGATATAGATAATAAAACTTTAATAGTACTTCAAATTGCTTTCTTATGCAAGTCATTATCGAATTAAATATTCAATAAGTTTTTAATCCGTTATAAGAAGTTTATTAAATGTTTTTTACCTTTGTGACCTCAGCACTCCGTTATTTATAAACCGAGAGTATGATGCCCGCTTGTACTTTTCAAATAAAATTAAAACAATACCACTCTAACAGTCGAAAATAAGAATAAAGAATAGTCGATACTTTTTTCAACGTTAATAATTCATCTTTGCAATAAATGTTTCACACAAAATATGTAGTTAGTCTTTTTTCACTAAACATTGAAGTTTTTGTAAACCATCTGTCTTTTTTTTTACTTTATATTGTATGTCCTATGTTAAATATAAATAGCGTGTATAATATATGTATAACCACTGCCGTAATACAATTTTTTATACACAAACCTTTTTATACTAATTTTAAGATATTATTTCTTGAATTCATTATAAAAATAATAAAATTAATTATATAAAATAAAAATTATCGGCCATAATACTTTTTAAATGAGACTAGATGTAATTTTTTAGACAAAAATACTTGGTATATATAAATTAAATATTTATGGTATGAGTGACTTGTAAATTTTGATGGGCTGTAGAGTAATTCCTTTTTATTTGGAAAAAAAACAAAATCGAACCCTGTACGTAGTAATAAACGTGTAAGTTTATTATATAAATAAATGTGTTTTATTGAAATTCTCCTCATAAACGTCTCTGGCAACTCTTTTCGAGGATAAAGATATGAATGTATCTAAAATTATCCCTCTTAGAATAAAAACAGCGTGAGGGATCTATGGAACTCGGTCGATACGAATTTCCTTTTGCTTTTTGGTAGACGTTTGCTATATATATGAAATATGAAAAAATTGAGCGAAGAAATGTGAGCGTTAACATGCCAAAGAAAGCCAAGATCACTATGATAAGTGCGTACCGCCGCATATACGAGTAGACATCTGCAACAAAGAGTTACAAGTGCATTATCACTCTTTTAGTCTCCTCTCGCAGAATTAGATGGAGAAGAGGTTTGGGCTCTAGTAACCTAACTCAAGCTGTGAAAAGCAATTAAATAATTAACACCGGTTTTCTGTTAGGCCGTGGTCTAACGTTAGGCCGTGGTCTAGCCACTTTGTGCCTAAACACGTCTCTTTCACGGTTAAATGTTTATAACCTGAACGACTATCAGAGACTAGTACCTTCCAGGTTGTTTAGTGTGTAAGTTACCTGAATAAAAGTGATACGTAATCTCGAATTCATTCATCATCATCACCTCAGCCGAAAAATGTCCACTGGTGGAAATAGCATTGATATAATACTTACATAGATGAGTAATTACCGCCTAAAATCGTTGCTACTGCACATATGTCCACAGGCATATGCGTAGCAAACGTCAATTCATTATTCAATGTGGCGTCGACCGAGTTGAACATAGCGACACATGACAGTAACAATCGCCAAAATGGCTAAATGCGTAGTGAAAGAATGCGATTCAAGGTCACAAAACATTAATAAATCATGCGGAATAACTTTTCACGTGTAATTTTATGGTTTTTGTATTGATAATATTGTAAATAAGGCTATAATTGAAATAAAACACTGATAATTGTAATTTAGAATCAGTGTTACCATTAAAAAATCATTTTGGTTTTCCCACATTAGTGGGAGAATTTATAATTTATGAAATAATATGCTTTATACTGTTTTTAAACATTTTGCCAATAATAATAAAATATAGGAAGAACGGTAGTTGTTAGGGCTGGACCGATCCCTTTTTTTAGGGACCCGTTGAACTTTCACTGCGAGCTTGGCAGAAGTGCTGGAGACTTTTGTACAAAAAAATTAATCTATTGGTTTTCTTAATTTATTATCAATTTTAAATAATAATTGTACAAAATAATAATTATAATAAATGTTTATCATAAAAATAAAAATATAAAATAAAAAAGTAAATAAACATAAATAATTTTTTTTATAAAATAAAAATAATTTTTTTTTTTTTTTTTTTTATTTGTTTTTTAAATTATAATAGAATTTGCAATACACCTTATGGATTATTTATTATCAGTACAAGTTGATCATTCACTTTTATTATTAAATGCTATTATTTTTACATACGTAAAAATAAGATTGTATCATGAAAGTAAAATACACAAACTTATAAAAAAGAGTCTAAAAGACAATTGTATACAAAACTGATGCTTCACAGCGCAGTTTGATTTTACACTGAATATAAACCCTTTTAACCAAATATTTCCAGTTATTTTATTATTTATACCTATTCAATTCTATTTATACCTATCCTATTCAATTCGAAATATATTATTTAGAATATCTAAATTAATTTATTTTATTACAAAATTGTTTTAAAAAAAAATTGTTTCTTAGTTGTTATGGGTAAAATTTCATACGGTAGTCAACACTGGCCCACCATCGTAAAGTTATATCTTTGTCTTTGTCTAATCCGAGCGATGGTATTGTTCTTGTCTCGCGTGTAAATGAGACATAAATATGTTTACTTTCAAATGTTTAGTGGTATCAAAGCTACGTCGTCAAAGTTCAAAAGTGGTTACACTTTTTTCGACGTGTGATAATGAGGTTTGCTTCTCTAGTGTTGTTTTAACTCAATGGGAAATAGGCATACCCCAATGTTCGCAACAACAACCGGTCCTACTCTCCCCGCATCCAACGGCTTCCCGCGACCTGTCAGGGATGAGGAGATCCGCAAACCAGTGCTGCCAATACTTAAATAAACTCTCCACCAGACCCATGTATGTTTTCGACTGAAAGACTTGTATCTATGGTCATGAATGAAAATAATTAAAAAAAATATCTCCACCAGATTCAACATCCTAAACCACCAGAAAACCACGCTACTCTGATAGGCACTAAATTTTCAATTATTTTTTTTTAATTACGAAAGAAAACCATAAGTAAATTAATAACATTATTAAAACTTAATGCTGATACTAATCATTTTTGTCAGCACAACATACTACACATACATACAGACATAGAGTCGGACCCTGAATTATATCGCTAGTCTGTCCAGATCCAATATTGTAAACTTAAAATTTTCTCTTGTGCCTTTTGGGGACATCTAAAAAATCATCAAACCTGTCTGTTGTAATGCAATGTTTTGCAAGCCGTAGGATGATAGTTACCATCCTGGATTCCTCGAAGTTATAGCCCACATTATTGACTTCTTTCTCGACTCCGAAAACTTTACCTCTCTCTATCATAAGCCTACATCATCCTTTTACCTAAAATTAATAATCCTGCTCTTCCTGAGCACTTTTATCCAATTCCCATCCTTCCTTTTCTACGTTCTTGAGGTTTGCATACACAAACAGTTCTCGCACTTCATCTTTCAACAGCATTTACTAAGTAAGTAATCTTACAATTACTATTAACCACAAAATAAAATCCACGAGCCACTAAAAGCCACTAAAGGGGTCGCAACCACTAGTTTTAGCGCCAAATCCACTAGGTTGGCAACACTGATGCAGACCAGAACCAAGGTGAATGACATTCCCGGACACATTGCTCGCAGAAAAAATAACAGACGGGGCCAAAGAGATCTCAAGTGGCGACCGCGTACCGGAAATTCATATTAAACGAGATTCTTAAATTGCAGTAGGGCGGGGGCATTTTAAAAAGAATTTTGTTCACTATGGTTATATGGCCTTCTTCGGTCAATCTACAATGTTTCTTGTAGTGAACTCAAAAGCCTACTTTTCATATCTAGTATACGTCAAAGAAACTGACATTATGTCCTGAGTTGACGTTTTAATGCATTGCTTACCTGTTATATAATTTTTTCCTAGTCTAGTAGATTTTCAAAAACGAGATTCTATAGTTTCTTTTGTGTAGAGGTATAAAAAAATCTCATCATTTTGTCATCGTATCGGTTGTGATCTTTGTTTTCATTAGTTTTACTGTTATAGTTATACTATTATTAGTTATTGGTTATTAAAGCTTAAAATTGATCTAAGTGGCGTGTAATGGGTGAGGCCTATGTCCAGCATTGGACTGCGATATGCTGATGATGATACTATTATTAAGTGAATTTAAAAATAAAAAAGTTATCACTAATCTTTTTAAGAAATAAAATCGGTTGTCTCTTAAGTCGGTTTACTGACGATAGTTGAACGTGACAAAATACTAATGGAATGGTTGCATTTTTCAAGAGAAAATTTTAATTTTATTTGTTAGACAGATGTCGAACGCTGCCGAACGCGGAGGCCGATTGTGCCTCTTTGTCGCTCGTTCCGCGCTCTCGCTTGCACTTCATGCCTTAAATGGAACGCCTCAGAGCGAGCTAACGCCCCATGAGTCATGTTTTTTCGTGCGTGCAGCCGGCTCCATCGAATTATAAGACGTTGTCACGTCAAAAAGTATTAAGCCTACTTTACTACTTTGCTTCTTAACAAGTCTTAATTAATAAGCATTAACCAACTTTATTTATTTGAATTAGGTTTTTGGATTGAAATTCAACAAGTTTTTTGACTTTAAAAACCCAATCTACTTACATAATAATAAAATAATCCAAATGTTAAAAAGATGTTTCTCTATTACTGTCTCAGGCTGCCATGGTTTGGCTGAAATACTCTTTATATAAAAGTAACATACATCAGTATTAATCTTAATAAAATGATCATCTTTTTAGTAGTTTTAAAAAGAACATTTTAGTAGTTTTTATTTAAATTCAAACGGCATCACTAATTATGATTACAAACTTGTTGTTATAAAAAATATTCAAAGTTTTCATTATTGAGAAATCTGAATAAACATGTCGACAACAATAACAGCAATTAAGGAAGGCAAAGACTTACCCACTTGTAGAACATGCTTAGCTACGGAAAGAAAACTATATTCAATTTACGAGCATAATCTCTTTGATGCTTATAAGACTCTTATAGGAAATGAAGTAAGTTATTTTTTTTTAAATTTACTAGCTTAAAAATACACACTTGAAATTGGTAGTATTTTTGCATTGATTTCAGTCTTAAAAAACCTTTAAAAAAAACAGTGATACTTGAGAGTGCCGACAGAAGTAAAAACTTGAAAATTTAAAAATTTATGATTATAACAAAAAAATGTGTTTTTTTAAATAGCAAAAAATCTTATACTTGCAGTGTATTGTATCGTGTCAAAATTTGAATCTCAGTACAGGCAGTACTTGAGTTTTTAAAGCATACGAAACCAACATAACATTTTATATATACAGAAATTCCTTTTCTAAATAATCAAAAATTGAAGAACGATGGCGGAAATTTGCGACTGGTATTAGTTCGAACAATTCCTCGGAGCACTCTCCATGATATATGCGATAGAGAATGCAGAGTGAAGCCACATCTCTACGTAACGCCAAGGAATCAATTTCAACTGATAATTTGAACACCAGACATTTAATTTTTATTATTTATTCCAGGTGTCTCCGTTTGATGGTCTACCACAGTATATATGCAACTTCTGTGGCACATTACTGCTTAAGTTTATCACATTCAGAAGGAATAGTGAACAGGCACAGAACTATCTAGAACATGCTAAGATTGTAAGTGGTTTTAAATTATATTCTTCCAGCTGTACCTTGCCACTGTAGCATATTGTGGTTGCAAAAAATAGATAAAAACCGACTGCACGGATGGCGTTATGGTTTAAGCGGTCACCTCGCCCCTTACTACTACGCTGAGTGTTGTGGATCCAATCCCAACATGGGACGACACTTTGTGTGATCCACAAATTGTTGTTCTGAGTCTGGGTGTTCTTTGTGTCCGTTTCATGTATGTCTGTAAAGTCCCCCGCGACACAGGATATATTGCTAATGCGGGAGTTGTCTTTTTATTAAAAAATAAATAAATTTGAAACATGTAGTATATTGTGACAAAAATTGAGCTCAGGTTGGTGCAGAACTTTGTGTGTTTTTGAAGAGTACACAACCTACTTAACATTTTAATAAATAAAGACTAGTAATCCGCCACTACTAATGTGGTGTCAGTGTGGAATAATTAATTATACTATTATTATGATAAGACTATACTACGAGATATCTTTATATGCAATATTTACAGGCTCGCTCAGCCCGACGCGGCGAGGGCCGCTTTGCGCCCGCATTTTAAATCTCTGATATCTACTAAGATATTCATTTTAATGATATGCTGTAAAAAGCAATTTTGATCTACAATAAATGCATAACCTATCTCAGGTATTTATTTGGATTAGAAATAATACGGTATTGCTCAAACCTTTTTTTTTTTGACGGAGTGGAAAATCCCCTCGGATCTCCAGCTCCTTGGGGGATATGGGAGCCAGGAGTATGTGGTAATTATACTAAAAACCACTCCGAAGGCCAGCCTTAGGCACCCTGCTCTGGGGAGAACCCGGGCCATGTGATTCCCCAAATCGACCTAAGTAGGCCTCAACTCAAGGAAAGCCAGTGGCTTCTCCCTGCCTCTCAGCCTATCCAGATGTATTATGTATTATGATTATATACATATGTATATAAACCCGCCTCTTGACAGCATCCACTTAGAATTTTTTTATTTACAGACAAAATCAAATTTAACAACTAATTACCTAATATCATTGAAAAGATCAACAACTAAAGTTATTGACATCACACAAAATGAAATTTCTGAACTCAAAACTGACTATGACGAACTAAACGAATTAATTTTTCAAGAATTCGATTACACTGAAACCACAGAAGAAGATTCAAAAATATTTACAGACTTTATTAAACATATTGAAGAACCGAAAACGACAAAACTATCAAACAATACACACTCAAAATCAAATATAAATAAGTTGTTAAAAGAGGATAACTCAAAACCAACTCAAAATATCAAACGATCTAACTCAACTCAGAAAAAGGGGAGATATTTTGAGATTGATGAAAAATTGCGTGATTTTGAGAAAGTTTATAATGTAGATGTGATTATATTGAGTGCGGAGGAACAAATGAAAGATGTCTTAAGCAGGAAATTGAGTAGTAATTATTTACACAGTCCGTACAAATGTGAACTCTGTTACAAGGGTGTTATGGATGAAGATAGCTTGAAGAAACATGTCCTATATCAACATGATCCTGTAAGTATTCAGAACTCTCCCCTTTCTCTCTCTCTCCTTTCTTTCTCTGTCACCCCCTCTGTCTGTTCGATACGTTACTAGTTTAAAAATAGGTTTCTTTTGCCAGAGTAGGGGATCCATAATCTGCGAGTACTGCAGCTTCCGTTACAAGGACAAAAGAGGTTTGAACCAACATCTCAAAAGCCATAGATTAAAATTTGCGTGTAAACAATGTTCTTACGTGTCCAGAACGACGTAAGTGTTTATTTATTTAAAAAGTATATGCTTTTTTTTAAAAGACTTCAAGAAAAGAGGAGGGCTGTGTTATTTGTAGAACATATTCCACTCCTAAGAAAACTTACCCATACTACGAGACCCATTTTTGCCTTTTGCACCTCCCTCTGTAACCACTTGGGTTACAGAGGGAGGTGGGCCACTCATTCTTTATTTTTCTTTATTTTTTTTTTATTTTTTTTTTAAAAGACAACGCCCGCATTAGGAATAAATCCTGTGTCGCGGGGAACTTTACAAACATACATGAAACGGACACAAAGAACACCCAGACTTCCCAACGTCCCATGTGGGGTTTGAACCCACAACACTCGGCGTAGTAGGAAGCGGCGTGGCGACCGCTTAAACCACTACGCCATCCGTGCAGTCATCATTAGACTCATTACACTTTCTAATGAGTGGCCTATGTCCGGGAATGGACTGTTAAAGGCTGTTGATGAAATATAGTTTTATGGCATATGAAATATGGTATTTTAAACAAAGGGGTCGTACTCTTCGGGGATAAAAGACGTGGATGTATATATGTCCTTATGTTTTCAGTTTCAATGCGAAGGAACATTATAAAATGCATACTGGACATACGCATAAATGTCGACATTGTGGAAAGGCTTACGAGTAAGTATTACTTATAAATAATAAAACTTCTCACACGTCCGTCTGATCCCAAACTAGACAGAGCCTCAATTCTGCTATTTTATGTTCACGCCAAGCCACTGTCATACCACTGACACGCTATTGAGATGCCATCGAGTGGCCATTGGCATCGGTATAAATATCGGTAGTCTATACTAACTCAGTGTCTTTACAGTGGCGATGGAATGGCAGTGGCTCATCAGTGGTGATATCAAAAAGATTGTCATATTTGGAAAAATAAATAAATCATTTCCTCAAAAAAACGTAATATATTTTCAAATTATGAGGAGTTAGTGTAGACTACCGATATTTATACCGATGCCAATGGCCACTCAATAGCGTGTCAGTGGTATGACAGTGGCTTGGCGTGAACATAAAATAGCAGAATTGAGGCCCTGTACTATAATAACCAGACTGATGATTAAAACAACAAAAATATCAAATAATACACACTCATAATCAAGTATAAATAAATTGTTAAAAGAAGATAACTCAAAACCAACTCAAAATATCAAACGATCTAACTCAACTCGGAAAACTACTAATCCTGAATCGCGATATTAACAATTCTCTCGCCGATTAGCATATATACAACTTCCTAACATCAAACGTTGGGCCGCGGCCCGCCTGGCATGATCACCTCGCCTGGTCGGAGGATCCTCCCTTTGTGTTGGGAGGGACATGACACCCCGATCCTCCACAGTTTGTTTGTTACGCTGTAACACCTAAACCACTAAACCGATTTTAAAATTCTTTCACCAATGGAAAGCTACATTATCACCGAGTTACAAATACCGCGACCACCGACATACACGCGGGTGGAACCGCGGGCAAAAGCTAGTATTATAGATAAATTACACCAAGACACGGAACAAATGATCATGCTCATCATACAATTATTTCTCCTGGAATCGAACCCACGACCTCTGGCTCAGCAGTAACAATAAACCCGTGGTATTATACGTACGAATGTCAGTTTATTTGTTGTGCGTTCAAGCTTTAACTACTGAACAAGTTTTCTAACGTAATAGGGGTCACCTCATGGTAACTGCCGCCGGGACACCTGTTACTCTGGCCCCAACAAGTGCGAAGGGAGGTTTGATTCCCTCCCTCTCCCATTTTCAAAGATGGCGAGTTGCTCTCTATGCCATAAAAAAAGCAGTTCAGGTCTGATAAATGCAAGTACATAATAAATTGAGGTGTTTTTCTCATCACAGAAAACTCTCCAGTCACCTAACACATTTAAGGATGCAGCATCCTTCAGATTTCATCTGGTGTAACATCTGTGGAGAAGCTTTTATTGGGGAGTTCGGACTTAATGCTCACAAAAAACGAGCACACAGACATGTATGTATGATATAATTTTAGGCAAAACTAGTTTTGACTTACGTGTTCTAGTAATTTATTTTTCTGACTTACCAATAAAAGAGCGTACTCCTTTCTAACAAACCGGCAACGCGTTTGTGACTCCTGAGTCGCAGACGTTCATGGGCGGCGGTAGTCACTTTCCATCAGGTGAAACGTCTGCTCGTCTGCCCCCTCTAACATATATTTTTTTTTTTAATTAGTTTTAACTACATTTATAATCTCAAATGTTTCTCGGCAATAGTTAAAATTACTTATTACTAATAATAACTAATAATCGGGTTTTGACTAGACTAAATAGCGATGCGGGTAGTACAATATTTTAAATAAAAGTTTATTTTTTTATTAGTACAAGTTGGCACACGGATATGAAAAATTCTTTAAATCTTTGCTACATCTTTTGACAAGCTTGTAAAGAAAATTCCAGGTTTAATCTATACTAATATTATAAAGCTGAAAAAAAAGTTTTTTTGTTAATTGAACGCGCTAATCTCAGGAACTACTGGTCCGATTTGATAAAATCTTTTAATGTTAGATAGCCCTTTTATCGAAGAAGGCTATGGGCTATATATCATCATGCTAAGACCAATAGGAGCGGAGCACCAATAAAGAATGTTGCGAAAACGGGGAAAATTTATTCCTTTTAAAAGACGCAGACGAAGTTGCGCAAGTCAGCTAATTAGTTATAATAATACATCACAAATGTCGACCTTAAAACACACGTCTATTACATCAAATCTAGTTTTTCCTAGGACAGAAAAAAATGAATTTCCTTAGTCAAAAGTAGATCAAAATCAGGCAAAACGAAATTTCCTACGTATCTCTTCTCTACTTACTAAATATTATAGTTTTACTTGTTTACAGCTAAATCTTCCATTCCACTGTGTTTCCTGCGATGCCTATTTCGCTTCCGAACCAGCACTAACCCGCCATTCATCAGTCGGTACCTGTTCTTCTTCGGCCTGTGTTCATTGTGGAGATCCATTTGACAAAGCAATGGAATTAAGACAGCATCTTCTAGGAAAACATAGGAGCTGCAAGGTTTATCAATGTGAAAAGGTATGTCCTGGCAGTGTCGTGGGAGAGCCAGCCACAGTCTTACAGAAAACCGGTGTGTAAGGTTCCCGGAGCACATACACAAGGGATGGCCTTATACTAGGGGGAGATTCAAGGACGGCACTTCGGACTCTTTGCAACTGTCCATAATCGGCTGTAGTCACATGCCGTTGGGTGATCCGTCTGCTCGATTGCCTTCCCCCCCCCCCCCCATAATTAGGAAGGCAAGGGCGTTGTTCCTAACTTCACTGACTCAATGGCAAGCTACTTAAGAATCGTTTAAAGCTGGTTTCCGCTCCGGTCTAGCCGGAGGCCAAGGGAGTTAAGGAACAGATCTGAAAAAAAAAAATTGAGGGTAGTACCCGTTTGTTCCCTTTCAAATTTGAAGAAAAAATACTACCCCTTAGGGTAGAAGATTAAAATGCACCTACCTCATTCTTTCTCAGCACCGCCCAATCGGTCGACTTGCAGAGAATGCCTTAGGCATTAAGTCCGCCGATGCATGTACTTGTGCAAAAAGTTAAAAATAAATAAATTAAGGAGGAAAGAAAACAGTTTAGTACAATACAGCTTTATCCAGGCGCGTTGAAGTACGTGGTACTTTTAAAAAGTTAATTATAGTACTGTCTTGTCTTTTTAGTGCCACAAAACATTCTCCCGTCAGTCCCTTCACTCGGCTCACTATAAACGGGCCCACGTAGACGCTAAGGATAAAAACAAGGTCTTGAAACCTTGGGTTTGCGAGATTTGTGGGAAGATACTCCCGGTAAGTTTAGACTTCTGATAATCTACCATAGTAGCTCGCGCTTATTGACGGGGTAGTGGACCGGATACGACCCCGAAATAGAACAATAACCTCACACATCTCACACACAGCAGTCAGTTCCCAAACTAGGCAGAACCTGTACTATGGTAACCAGACTGCTGATAAACATAGTTATCTAATTCCAAATACATACTCGAATTCTCGAAAAATATGGCTAAACCTTTCTGTAATACCCTATGCAGGGTGTAAGGGACGGTTTGACGAATACTGAAATAGTGTATTCATTCTGAATCGAAAATCATTAGAATTTTCTACCGGAAAATTAAACGTTTCATGCAATTAGCTGTCAAACGTTAAGATCATTCCCCGTAGGTATCGCACAAAAGTAATAATTACATTTGTATTGTGCAAAGAGTTTACGCACACTAACACAAGTTAGCGGCCGGCACTTTGCAGTTTTTGACCATAAAATTTTCTGTTTATTCATTGTGATATAATTTTTGACCACAAAATTGAAGATAAACAACAAATGTTGAATTTTCCCGCAGAAAAATCCAATTCCTAACAGTATTCGTTACACCTTCCCCTGAACCCTGTATATTCTGCATATGTATAACATCTTAAAATAAAACTACATCTTTTAACAACAGCCTGTACATGCTACATATTCTCTCCCAAAATCTGACCACCTGTATAATATTGTGTAACACCTGTATACCACCTGCCTGTATTCCAGAACAAATGCGTTCTTCTATACCATCAGCGGAATCACACCGGGGAAAGACCTTACCACTGCACGCTGTGTAGCAAATCATTCACCATGAGGAAACTGTTACAGGTATGTATTGTGTATGGAGATAAATGAGAGAATGGATGAACGAATGAGTGAATGTAAACGTGTGAATGAATGAATGAAATTAGAATTTTAACTTAACAATACATAAAAATCGTTTCACTTCCCGTCTCATCTCAGGTATGTATTGTATATGGGTATGAATGAATGAGGGAATTGGATTAATAAATGATTGAATGTGAACGTGTGAATGAATGAAAGATAAAATGAATAAACGTAAAAATGTGCTAAAGTATGAATTAAATTGAGTATAAACTGTACAATAAAATACTTATGAATCATGCCCCATCAAGTCTCATTTCAGGTATGTATTGTATGAATTTGAATGAATTAATGAATGAATGGATTAACGAATGATTGAATGCGAACGTGTTAATGAATGGATTAACGAATGATTGAATGTATATATTTGAATGAATGAATGATAAATAAATGAATGTACTAAAGAATGACTGAAATTAGAGTATAAACCTTATAATACAATACATATAAATCGTTTCCCTTCCAGTCTCATCTCCGAGTGCACACAAGCGACCGCCCGTATGCCTGCACATTATGCCCAAAGACGTTCAAGGGATTATCGGCCTTACGTTCACACGAACAAGTAAGTAAATTACATAACAGGCCAGTTGTAAATATGTATTTAACATAATATATGATTATCGGTAACTGTAGCGACATCTATGTACGTAAAATTTATCTTAGCGCCATCTAGTGATGACAAGCCGAACTACGTATTTTTCTTTTAAAGCCTAGAAGTAGAATCATAAGCCTCTCCTTAGAAAGCAGGTTATAAGTAGAATATTTCCTATAAATTAAAAATAGTTGGTAACACTTGAGGTAACACTCAAGTGTTAGCAATTAAATTATAAAAGGATCAATCATGTAGTTTCACAAATGGCACACACAAAAAAACCAGAGGTTTCTGATTTTAATTATCTAAAGATTGGAGCGCGATTTTAAATTTCAATAAATTTTATTCGGAAGCCATGTTATGTATGCCTCGCGGCGACAAATCTTCATAGGTAAAACATGTAAAAAAAACAATTTCGAAGATAGGCGTATGCGGGTAATAAAAAAAAATACCAGTTCCTATTTTATAGATACCCATTTGTATTAATGAATTAATTTACTTTTCAGACACATTCCGGGGGACCACAGAAGAGTTCTAATAATAGAAAGAAACAAATATAACAGAAAACAATAAATATAAAACTTTTTTAAATATAATGTTGTTTAAACCATCATCCTCAACAGCCTTTAGTAGTCCACTGCTGGACTAATAAAGGTTCTCCTTAGAAAGGAGGTTTTGACCAGACGGGTTGGTATAGGGTTTGTGTCAAGTTTTCCTTCTCTTTGTGGTGCTGTTGTCCTGCGTAGTTTTCTCCCTTAGTCGGCTCTTACGACACCCACGGGGTGAATAGGGGTGGGTGACACCCCGTATTCTTAATCCATCATCACACGGACAAACAGTATAATAAAACATTATTTATTCAGAATCAGTATTTTCTGCCGTGTGAGGAGGAGAAGGTTCCTTATCCTTCTTGCAGAACGCTCTGCTCTCGGCCTCATTGAACGCTGTGAAGACCAAACCGAGGCGCATTTTCTTAAGAATATTCTTGTCGTGAAACGGATGATTGTGGTTAAAAGTCCTGAAATCAATAATAATGACCTGACATTCATCTCACACATGACAATCTGATCCCCAATTATCTCTATACCAAATTTCATCTAAATCAGTTAAGCGGTTTGGGCGTGATGAGGTAACAGACAGACACAAACACATTTATAATATTAGTATGGATATGTATGTACTAGCTGACCCGCGCAACTTCGTATGCGTCTCTCAATAGTAATAAATTTTCTCCGTTTTTGAAACATTCTTCATTGGTGCTCCGCTCCTATTGGTCTTAGCGTGATGATATATAGCCTATAGCCTTCCTCGATAAATGGGCTATCTAACACTGAAAGAATTTTTCAAATCGGACCAGTAGTTCCTGAGATTAGCGCGTTCAAACAAACAAACAAACAAACAAACTCTTCAGCTTTATAATATTAGTATAGATTTAGTAATATGTTATGTTATTGTTATTAGCTTTATTTAATCCCTTACATGTATGTATTTCTTATCTACTATTATGTATGCTTATTTATTTATTTATTTGTTAGAATGGTGATTTTGTTTTTAAATAAGGTTAGTATTGTTAGGTGTAAGGGCCGCCTTTTGCGGTGAAAGCCTCCTCCAAACCATTTTACTTTTCTTTAAACACATCAGGGCCCTGTTTGATAAACGTTACAAATTGTAAATATATTTTACAAGTCACAAATCTACAAGTTTCTGTTTAATAAACAATACAACTTACAAATTTACTTTAAAATGATGGAAAACTGTCAAAAATTTCTGTTGAATAAACATTTTCTCTTTAAAAGTTTCAATTTACATATTTGTAAGGAAAACTGTTTTATTGAACGTATAATTGTAATTACAAATTTACATATTTTGTAAATTGTAAAACAATTCCGACATTAACTTCTGTCAGAACTTAACAATTTTGTACCTCGATTTAATAAGTCAAGAAATTTAATTATTAAATTATACATTATAAAATGGTTCTAATAACTAGTAGTGGAAGTAGTGACGCTTCACTTGCTAATGATCTGAGATTGAATTTGATTTAGTAATATATAAGTATGTTTATCAGCAGTCCGGTTACCATAGTACAGGCTCTGTATAGTTTGGGATCAGACGGCCGTGTGTGAGATGTGTGAAAATATTACTATTATTAAAACACTACCCATACCTCTTAATAACTTGATTCCTTTGGTTAGTATATATATTAGCGGGACATTTCTTGCTGCCGCTGTCCGCACACCTCCAGAATTTAATCAGCTTCTTCTGAACATATTTTAAAGCATAAATATACCTATTGAATATCATCTGCAGCCCTCCCTGGTTAGATAAACTGTATTGTACAATGTTGGAATTCTCTAAAACAAGTGATTAATTAATTATAATTAAGTTTTACCCTCCCCTCCTGATTCTCGGAGGGGGTGCAAACTTCAATAGCCACTAACCATCAAGTGAGCCGTCTGCTCGCCTTGTGACATAAAAAAACCCTCTCGCCCTCACTAATTCCATGCCTAACGAGGGATACCTTCTATCCTTAGTCCTTAATAACGGATATACTGGCACCCATCAAAACAATGTTGTAGTGTATTTAATAATGCCATTGTATCTATCTTTAAATTGCAAAAAGAGTGGCCATGAGTTTGTTTGCCCTTTATCCTCATAAGGCTCAACCCCTTGGAAACGGGCGGTTTTGGATTGGCACAGGCATATCATAGATTTTGTTATATTATAATTTTTATTAAATTAATTTTGCTAACTATTTGACAAACTATTTGTGTGTGTTGATCGGCGACTTTAGAGTCTACATAAAAAACAATTTCAAACTATTTTAAAAGTTGTATCATCATCATCATCAACAGCCTGTAATAGTCCACTGCTGGACATAGACCACTCCTTAGAAAGGAGGTTTTGGTCTACTATACCACGCTGGCCAGACGGGTTGGTATAGGGTTTGTGTCAAGTTTTCCTTCTCTTTGCAGTGCTGTTGTCCTGCGTAGTTAGTTCCCTTAGTCGGCTCATACGACACCCACGGGATGAATAGGGGTGGTAACACTTCGTATTCCTAATCCGTCACCACACGGACAATAACAAAAAGTTTTATCAAATAAAGTTAGTTTGAGTTTGATCCCCCTAAACCTCAAGGAGTCACAAGTTTGTTTGAGGAGTTGTTTAGGCTCCGGTTACCTCATTCCCTCAGTGAAAAGAATGGAACAGTTAACAATGGTTTTCTATGAAGCCTCATTCCGGTCAAGGTCCAGCTTATATGTGGTGGAGAATATCTCTTCCACTTTAAAAGTTTGGTGAACATCACTAACTTTTTTTTTTTTTGGCCACCGATAAACCTGTGTATCCAGCAAACCCACAAACGTCACACCAGCAGGATCTCGAATAACTTCACAAGCCGAAGAAAATACAAATACCAAATAAGTTGTAACATTTACCTAGTCCAGATAACTAATTATTTAGCTAACATTTATTTCAATATTACAATTAAAAAAGAAAATGTCTGGCTGCGGTAACGTTTCAAACGTTACCCCAGCAGGAAATGTTTTTTTGAAATAACTAAAAAAGTTTAAGTGAAACAAATTTAAAAATGTGCCTAACAATTACAGAAGGGGAGCAACTAATTATCTATAACGTTTAAATGACCATTTTCGACATTATTTTGCTGGGGTTACGCACACATAAAAGAATGAATACACTCACTTAACGTTCCTTTACTTCTAACAATTTCAGATGTATTAGTAGAACTAATAACGTTTATATGCTGATCGTTCTGTTCTGTATCTACGTTTTCTGCTTCGGTAAATTCTTCAACAATTTCCGTGTTTGAATCGTCAACGAATATTCTGTAAAAATAATAATAGGCTCACGTTAGATGGCTGGATCAAGGGTCTGATGCAGAAGGGAGTTCTGTTTGATACGGTGATAGTGAGGAGGTCCCTGCCTTTGGAGCCTAAAGCGCTGGTGTCTTGGTACATGAAGTCGGCGGTCTACTATATGTATTGGTATTGGTGGTGGGCTTCGGTTTCCGCATTTATACTCAAGAGTGGTCCTTTATGCGTCGAGGACTGGTCAGCTAGGTGAGCCAACCAAACGCCTTCCAAAAGCGCAGAAGTCTCCTGGGGCCTTCACAGGCTAAAGGAATGATACTTGCCCGTTGTGTGGCCACTCCCTCGCATTCCAGGACTATGTGGGCGGCCGTTTCATCTGCACAGAGGGCTGTCCCTCGCATTGATGATGAATAGGTGTCGGTTCAGGGCTAGGTGTCCTGTTATAATACCTACAACTATTCGGATTTCCAGTCTGCTATATGTATTTTTTTCTTTGTTATATATTTAAAAATGTATTGAAAATAATAATAATAATTTGAATGACTCCACACAGAGCCGTCTGATCCTAAACTAGACAGAGCCTGTACTATGGTAACCAGACTGCTGATAAACATACTTATATAGTACTAAATACATACATGTCCATAAAGCGAAAGTGTGTCTTTGTCTTTTACCTCTTCACGGTTAAACCGCTTAACAGATTTAGATGAAATTTGGTATGGAGATAGTTTGATTCTCAAGGAAAGGCATAGGCTACTGTTTTTACCGCGATAACCGGCATTTATGCGGGAGGAGCCGCTGGCAAAAGCTAGTTATAGATAAATTACACCCAGACACAGAACAAATAATCATGATCATCACCCAATTATTTGTCCTGAGCGGAAATCGAACTTAGAGTACCTACTCTAGCTTTTTCTTTCTTTTTCTTAAATAAACTCCCGCACTAGGTATATATCCTGTGTCGCGGGGGACTTTACAAACATACATGAAATGGACACAAAGGACACCTAGACTCAGAACAACAATTTGTGGATCACACAAAGTGTCGTCCCATGTGGGGATCGAACCCACAACACTCGGCGTAGTAGGAAACGGCGTGGCGTCCGCTTATACCACTATCCGTGCAGTCCAAGTGCTACGGTGGCGCCACCTACATATTAGATATACATTTATGAATTAACATACTTGCATAAGGGTTGTACAGATTTGGGTCTTTTTAATTTTGCACCTTTCTTTTTGTTTTCTTTGCACTTTTGTAACTGTTCTAGTAATGTATTATTTCCCGTGTGTGGTTCCCCCTCATCAGTCTGTAAATTGGTATTATCACCTGAAATGCTATTGTTGTCCTGTTCCAACATGTCAGTATTGTCCTGCAATCCTCTTGTATCATCTTGTAAAATGTTATTCTCTTCCTAAAAGCAATTTTTTTGATAGATGACTTTATCTATACTAATATTATAAAGCTGAAGAGTTTGTTTGTTTGTTTGAACGCGCTAATCTCGGGAACTACTGGTCCGATTTAAAAAATTCTTTCAGTGTTAGATAGCCCATTTATCGAGGAAGGCTATAGGCTATATATCATCACGCTAAGAGCAATAGGAGCGGAGCACCAATGAAGAATGTTTCAAAAACGGAGAAAATTTATTACTATTGAGAGACGCAGACGAAGTTGCGCGGGTCAGCTAGTTGTACAATAAAAACATAATAATACATATATTTTTGCATGAATTGGTGTAAATTTTATGTTCTAAAGTTATGTTTGAAACAAAGTAAGTAAAAAGTTTTACAATTGGCGGTCTTATCGCGATAAGCCGTCTCTTCGAGGCAACCACTGTTGTAATCACATCATCATCATCATCAACAGCCTTTAATAGTCCACTGCTGGACATAGGCCTCTCCTTGGAAAGGAGGTTTTGGCCTACTATACCACGCTGGCCAGACGGGTTGGTATAGGGATTGTATCAAGTTTTCCTTCTTTTTGCAGTGCTAGTGTCCTGCGTTGTTTTGCTCCCTTAGTAGGCTCTTACGACACCCACGGGATGAATTGGGGTAGTGACATTCCGTATTCTTAATCCATCACTACACGGACAGGACAGGACTGTTGTAATTATCACTACTTATTCCCAAGAGAGTACCAAGTGATCACAGATTTTGAAATTCCGTTCAATTATTTGTACAAAAGTAACTAACGTACTGAAACGGATTCACCTAATATATACTTTATACTAGCTGACCCGCGCAACTTCGTCTGCGTCTCTCAATAGTAATAAATTTTCTCCGTTTTTGAAACATTCTTTATTGGTGCTCCGCTCCTATTGGTCTTAGAGTGATGATATATAGCCTATAGCCTTCCTCGATAAATGGGCTATCTAACACTGAAAGAATTTTTTAAATCGGACCAGTAGTTCTTGAGATTAGCGGCGTTCAAACAAACAAACAAACTCTTCAGCTGTATAATATTAGTATAGATAGTATAGATGAAAGCTGTTGCATGGTCAAATGCTTTCTCAGTTCTACAGGCTTCAACTGTTCTCATTTCATGTACAGTCAGTAATTATTTTTTTTTTTATACAAACTCATATAAATATACACGCTAAACACATATACACCTTTTTTTTCCGTGCGGAAATCCCCTCGGATACCACCGTAACATGTCGGACTCGAACCAACTAAAACCGCACGACGTCTCGGGTACTAATAGCCGGGGAACCAGGTATACCCTAGAAAGGAAGTCCCTGGTACCCCAACATACCTCGGGTCATCTACAGACGAGTAGACGACCCCCCTCCCCCCGTGTGGGAACCCCATGTTCCCTGTGCTCCCTGGAAGCGAGCGCGCTTCGCAACGCGCTCGCCGCCACCCCGGCCTGCTTCTGCTAGGGTGACAGATGGCCTCACCTGTCACCCCCAGGCCTGCGCAACACATATACACCTAACTACACATATATTCACAATACAAAATAAGATACATTAGAAAAAAAAAACAGGTGCTGAAAAATAAAAAAAATATATAAAAATCCAATATCTTGAAAATTATCATGGCCATTTATAAAACATTAAGCCCTAAGAACTAGGCGAATAATGGAAAAACACTGGTTTTCTGTAAGGCCTTGGTGTAACTCCTGTCGCGCCATTTGGATAAAATTTAATAAAGTTATTAAGGACAAAAATAAAAATGTTACCATGTCTTGAATTCCTTTGATGTGTAGTGCCCGGCCAGCTGCTAGGAAGTCAGACAGATTCGCCTTTGGAAGATACACCTCTCCAGTATAAATGTACTCTAATACCAAGCACAGAGTTGCATACGATATATTCTGTAAAAATTAAAGTAATTATTTGACGGGTCTGTTAGTTCAGTGGTTAGTGACCCTGGGTGCTAAGCCGGAAGTCAAACTCAAACTCTCTTTATTTCATTAAATTTTCAAATTCGAAATCGTCTTTTATGTAGACTCTAAAGTCATAGATCAACACACACAAAAGCAACAATCTCTGTTTTGTCAAATAGTAAGCAAATATATTAAACAAAAATCAAACCCATACAAAATCTATGATATGCCTGTGCCGATCTACAACCGCCCGTTGCCAAGGGGTTGAGCCTTATGAGAAGAAAGTGAAAACAAACTCATGGCCACTTTTGCAATGATGCATGGTTGTGGGTTCGATTCCCACCCAGGACAAATGTTTGTGTGATGAGCCCAATCATTTGTTCTGTGTCTGTGTGCATTTTTTTTATAATATATATGTATTTAGTTACATATAAGTATGTTTATTATCAGTCTGGTTTCTTTGACCCAAGCTCTGCCTTTTTTTTTTTTTTGCCGTGCGGAAATCCCCTCGGATACCACCTGTCGGTGGCATGTCGGACTCGAACCGACTAAAACCGCACGCCGTCTCGGGTACTAATAGCCGGGGAACCAGGTATACCCTAGAAAGGAAGTCCCTGTTACCCCGACATACCTCGGGCCATCTACAACAACAGGTAGACGACTCCCGTGTAGGAACCCCATGTTCCCTCTGCTCCCTGGAAGCGAGCGCGCTTCGCAACGCGCTCGCCGCCACCCCGGCCTGCTTCTGCTAGGGTGACAGATGGCCTCACCTGTCACCCCCAGGCCTGCGCTTATGGAGGACGGAGGTCGTTCTGCGACCTCCGGCGCCTGAGTCGCCTGTGGTACCTGGCCCGTTCCCGGGCCTGGCGGGCCGGGAGAGTCCTAAACCTCTCCCGGTCCCGCTCCAACACAAGCTCTGCCTAGTTTATATGTCATTTTATATGTTCATATGTTCATTTGATCAACACATATTATTTTACAACACAACGCTATATAAAAATAGCTAATACATGCAGCTTTTGGATGTGTTCTAACATGTTTCCGTTAGTGATTTCGTTAAAACAACGGAAATGTGTAACAGGAAGCTTATTGTTTTGGAAGAATGGTTCTAATTCTGTTGTTCGAAAACTAAACTAAAACTTTTTTTTTTTTTTTCAAAAAAAGACAACTCCCGCATTAGGAATATATCTTGTGTCGCGGGGGACTTTACAAACAGACATGAAACGGACAATTTGTGAATCACGCAAAGTGGTGTCCCATGTGTGGATCGAACCCACAACACTCAGCGCAGTAGGCAGCGGCGTGACGACCGCTTAAACCACTACGCCATCCGTGCAGTCGACTAACTTACTCACTAAACAGTTTTTTTAGTTTTGTCAAATAACGTTTCTGATTCTCAAACGTAGTACTTGACAATTCTAAACTAAATTTTAGTGATTTTTAGTTTAGTTTAGAGAGTTTTCGAATAACAGAATTATCACCAATGTGAGATGTTACACGTCATATGCGAATTCAGTAAAGCTACGTTTTTATATATACACTAGCTGAGACCCGCTGTGTTACCCGCGTTTGTTGTTATAACCGCGGGCAACGCCGCGGGGCGAAGCTAGTCTAAAAAAGTAGCCTAAGTTACTCCTCATGTCATCAGCTATCTGCCAGTGAAAGTCCCGTCGAAATCGGTCCAGCCGTTCCAGAGATTACCCGGAACAAACAGACAGACAAAAATTGAAAAAAAATTGATATTTTGCCATATGTACCGTGTAAACATACATATGCATTTAGTAAAAAGCGGTTATATTAATATTACAAACAGACACTCCAATTTTATTTATTTGTATAGATATGAAATTAATTGCCCTAAATGTTTCGTCAACTCAAGAGCTTAAATGCTGTTGCTGCCATGGCAGCATGATGATTTTTATGTTATAAACACCCACTAAGAAAGGATTTTTGAAAATTTCACCCCTAAGGGTCGTCATTTTAAAAGTTAGAACACCAAATAGGAATTAATCAAGCGAACAAGATCAACACACAGTTTTTAAATGAATAAAGTAATATTTACGTTAAGAAATATGACTGGATGCGGGCACTGAGCTGATGAGATTAGTTCCTTGATATATGGACTCACGAGAGACAGTACCATTTGATGGACCTTAACGTGGTGACTGTCTGCTGCTAGCGTCATGTCTACAAACTCGCCGCGCTGGACAAAGGAATAAAACAAATAAAATTAGAAGGTACAGCTTTTTGGAGTTCACTCCTTAAGAATTTTCATATAAGATGGTATGAAAAAAAAGACGAGTAAAATTTAGTGATCGAATGACCTCGTTACGTTTTTTTTTTACTTTTACGTGGTTGTAATAATATTTTTTAGGTGTTTGTTATTAGTTCTATGATTACAATTTGTTTCAGTTTAGTGAGTAGTCCACTACAAAATTAAAATTGTTTTAAAACGGAATAAACCTCAAAATAAATGGCAATTAATACGTGACTTTTAATTATTTGACTAACATTTACATAGATGGCGCTGATCACTAAATTTGTGTGCAGCCGACGTACATAGGGTATGCTTTCTTAAGAAGTCAACTCCAGTCATGCGTCGGAGCTGACAAACCCGTTTTTTTTTGGGTAGCTATTATGTATTTTGTAGTATTGACCCAGATCATCATCATCATCATCACCTATAATAGTCACATAGGCCTCTCCTTATAAAAATAGATATACTATACCACCCTGTCTAGACAGGTTGGTATAAGGTTTGTGTCAAGTTTTCCTTTTCCTTGAAGTGCTGTTGTCCTGCATAGTTTGCTCCCTTAGGCGGCTCTTACGACACCCACGGGATCCGTCACCCTTCTTAATCCGTCATCACATGGACACTTAAATTCAATAAATCAAAAGTATCATATTCTTTCAAGCCTGCACTCAAAAGAACTTTGGATGGGTTAAAAATTTACTTAAGTGTATTGAAGATATAGTAAAAAATAAATTAAAAAGTGTTAATGGTTCAGACCACAAATGCGTAGAGATTTTGGTGTCTTTGTATACTAAGATTTATTTACACCTATCCATAGACTGTGTGACACCCTACAGAACAACTAAAACAAACGGGTCAACTTTATTATATTTTATAAAATTTTATTTGCACCCCAAAGGTCAATTTTTGTAATAAAATTCATTAAAAATTCAGTTTCAATCTCTTGTTCTTATAAATACGTTATAAAAGGTATTTTCGTAGTATTGTATTAATAGGTCTAGCAGAATACCAAATCAACATCGACCACAGTATGATATAATCACATTACAATCAATGTTTGATGTTAACTACTTTACTGGCCTGTTGGTCTAGTCGTTACTGCTACCCCAGAGGTTGTGGGTTCGATTCCCACCCAGGACAAATAATTATGTGATGAGCACAGTCATTTGTTCTGTGTCTGGGTGTACTTTATCTCTAATATCTATGTATTTAGAAATATATAAGTATGTTTATCAGCAGTCTGGTTACCATAGCACAGGCTCTGCCTAGTTTGGAATCAGCCTGTAGTGTGTGAAATGTGTAAAAAAATGTGTTATTATTATTATTAATTTTGAACGAAATTTTATTACGAGAATTGACCCACAGACAACGACATCAGTAAGAAACTACGGAGGGTAGTACCTTTACCCTCCATATGAGAAACCTAGGGAATATACTAATGCTATTCTAAACATCCGTATGGTGATGGATTAAGAATACAGTGTGTCACCACCCCATTAATTCTGTGGGTGTCGTAAGAGCCGCCTAAGGGAGCAGACTATGCAGGACAACAGCACTGCAAAGAGAAGGAAAACTTGACACAACCCGTCTGGTCAGCGTGGTATAGTAGACCAAAACCTCTTTTCTAAGGAGAGGCCTATGTCCAGCAGTGGACTATTAAAGGCTGTTGATGTGATGATGATTCTAAACATTAGTTTACGATTATGAACTTAGAAGGAAGGAATATTATGTAACCATTTTAAATAAAGAACGCAAAACAGAATTCCATAAACAATTAACTTTTTACTTTATTTTTGTTGTAATATAAACAACCTACTTTACCTGTTGAAGCATACTGAGACCGCTACAAATATTTTTTTGATAAGCGTCCCATGATAGTGAAAAATGAGTATCCATCTTAATCACTTAAACAGTTAATCCAATCATAAGTGCATTTATTTTTATAAAAATATCTTGAGTATACGTTTTGTTATGTATACACCGATCTTTTGACAGAAACGAACCGCCAAACTGAAGGTTTGACTTAATCAATAGTTCTTGGAATTTGAATACACGTCTTTTTGAATGTCAGTAGAACAAGCACTCTTAATAGCAAAAAGGGACAGCGATCTTAATACTTAAATAATATTGACAAGGCCAAACTTGTGTAGTAGTATAGAGAAAGTTATCAATGGAATATACTTATGTTTAAATGCACCAACTTGATTACCTCCTAACTGTCATCGGAGTCTCGTCACATTTCGTCAGTGTGGCTTAAAGTTAAGGTCGCTGTACACATTGAGCCAAGATCTCGGGCCATCGTGCAGAGATCCACTTGACCCTATGTTGGTACTTGCCGACAACACTGACTGGCCATTATGGCCAACCAAATAGTGTCGGACTATGTATCGGTTTTTTGTACGAACATCTGACACATCAGAAGATCTTAGCGAGCTCCGCAAATAGTATTCACACGTTGGTTGATATTTTAGTTAAATGTGAACCGACGTGTGAATACTCTGATAATAAACGAACTATATAAATGAATTGCCGCGAAAAAACGATCTTTATGAAAACGCCAATGCAGAATTATCAGTACGCCAGCCAACGTGTAAATAAAATCTATATTTTGGGCCAAGGTGCTTGGTGTTGCAAGGCCCTTCACCATCAGTAAACTATTCAATTGATTTTCGACACAAAAACTAAGATGAGTTTCAAAAGAACATTATAAAAACCTGCATATTAATAGCCTAAACATATGTTTGCGAAACCTTCTAAATATCAGGCAGTCCGACAGAACCCAATTAGGTAGCGCACGTCAAATTAAAGATTACTATAAGAAACTGAAGATGAAATGGAATGATTAATTTATTAATTGAGCTGTTAGTTTGATGGTTAGCAATCCTGACTGCTACATGTCGTGGTTTCGATTCCTACCAGGAGAAACATTGTACAAAGAGTGCGGTAATCTGCACTGCGTCTAGGTGTAATTTACCTATAGTATTATGTAAGTGTTTAACAGATTTCTGGTCACCATAGTCGTCTGGTCCGATCTTAAAAATGGGCGCAGCGTAATTAGTGATCCGGCTTCACCGGAGTGATACCACGGCCTGATAGAAAACCGCTTCTTTCGTTTCTTCCTAGTGAAGTTACCAGAGGACGAAGCTTGTAATAGAGACAAACTAGCAAACGAGGACTGGCCGTTCACCTACAATTCAGAGCACCAAGTGCGATTTATTACAGTCAGTCAGTCTGTGACTATGGCTAGAGACTTACTCAGCATGTGACCACGGCGGTTGCAAACCAGACAAAATGAGTCGGTCAGCTTGTGACCACGGCTAGCGCAACTCGGTCGAACGTACTCAATCAGCCTGGTTTGTACTCGACGTGGTCACAAACCAGTCAAACTGAGTCAGTTAGCTTGTGACCACGGCGAGTAGTACTTAGTCGAACCGGGTCAGTCAGTTTGTGATCACGGCGAGTGCAAACCAGTCAAACTGTTACGAGCTGGGTATATAAATAATAAAGGTTGTCGGTTAATTACTTTATTTCACTTTATTTACAACCACTCACTACTAGGAATTTCTATATATCTTGTTAGTCGCACTAGAAATTCACTCCGATGTTAATTCGCTGTCGTAAAACGAAACTGTGTCGAACGGCCAACGCGCTCCGCTGATCGCGCTTTTGAATTTTACTAGAAAGTTCTTAGTGTTCGACAGTCTGTTCCAAGCAAACACGAAAATTCCATAATCACGCGTCACTTGCAGCGCCATCTAGCGCTGTAAGGATCAGAACTACTTGTATTAACCACAATCTTAATAGATGTACTTGGTCGATACTAGATGGCGCTATCTTCAACATTCCATACAATCGAACCATTTCATTCTATGGCGCAACAAAACTGAGCCAGTCAGCCTGTGACCACGGCGAGTGCCAACCAGTCTGGAGTCAAGGCGCTTGTGACCACGGCGAGTGCAAAACATTGAGACCGTTTTAGGCCAGCATGTCTCAGAGCCAAGAAACATGGCAACTAATTTAAGAAATGAATACACAGTTCTCTGATGTACATTTATCTTTAATTTATATAAATTTCACTGGCCAAAGACATTAGCTGTATATAAATTAGATACAGTTGAGAATAATTTCCTTTAGAACTATATTCATATACTACAGGTGTTTTATTCAATACATTTGTTTTGTTAATTAAAAAAAACTCATCTTCATGTGCTCTCCAGACTCTCTTCATAGAACTCTTTCTCTTACTCTCTCTCTATCTCTATCTACTCTTCGTACACAACCTCGTATGTGATCTCTCTGGAGTCGACGTCTTCATACATTATTTCAGTTTCTTCTACCTCCTGCTGGTACAAATCGTCGACTTCTGTTTTCACGAACTGTAGGGAAGTGAGTTCTGCTTCTGTTAGGTTCGATTCCTGGCTGATGCTTTCCACTGCAACAAAAACAAATATATTAAAACTCATCTAAGTTTAAAAGATACATAAGTCTTCTACGTTACTCTGTGTGTTACTTACTGAGAGTAGACGGACACATTTGTCACTAAGTAACACACAAATATTTTGATAGCCATATGTTTCTCAATGTAACGCTCATAACCATTCAGACACCCATGTATGATTTACGGTAAGGCATATGAACATTTGACGGCCTCGGTGGCTCAGTGGTAGCGTATGTGACTGCTGTTCTGAGGTCTCGGGTTCAATTCCTGGGTCGGACCAAATATTTGTATGCTCTGCAAATATTTGTTTCGGAGTTTGGGTGTATTATATGTATGTATTTACAAAAAAAAGTATTCTATCAGTCAATCTAGCTTTCATATTACAAGCAAGCTGCTTAGTTTGAAACTAGATGGCGTTGTGTTAGATGTCTGAAATATTAAATATTTTGACATTCATATGTGTTACACATATCATGACGTATTTAAACACTGCTGGACATAGGCCCCTTCTTATAAAGGAGGTTATGGCCTACTATATCACGCTGGCCAGGCGGGTTGGTATAGGGTTTGTGTCAAGTTTTCCTTCTCTTTGCAGTGCTGTTGTCCTGCGTAGTTTGCTCCCTTAGTCGGCTCTTACGACACCCACGGGATGAATAGGGGTGGTGAAAGTCTGTATTCTTAATTCGTTACCACACGGTACTGCATGGCAAACATATAAAAAAATTCTGACATACATATGTGTTGAACAGTAACGCATATGAACGACATCAATATGTGTAATACGGTTACACATACTAACGAATTTATGTGTGTTAAGTTACATAGTAACTCATAAGAACAATAGATAACAACTATGTGATATTTAATTCCAATAAAGTTGAAAATCGCATACCAAGTTTTAGAATTAGACACATATCATCTCACCTGCGGCATTGTCTTCAGCGTCTCTTGGCCTACTGATGAGTATAGCGTTCCTCATCATCTCCCGTTCTTTAGCCTTGATCTTCCGACTCCTGCTCTTGTACGGAGCCGGCATCTTCAAATGGACCGTGTTCACGTGGAGCTTCATGGAGTTGGACTGAGTGAAGAACTTGCCACACTCCGGACATTCATATGGCTTCACACCGGTATGGACCTGGAACAATAAGTAAAAATGTTAATTAACTGTCTCAGTCTCTCTCTCCTACTCATTCTTTTTTAAATATATATATCATGGAGAGTGCTCCCAGGAATTGTTCGGACTAATACCAGCCGCAAATTCCCGCCATCTTTCCACACGGCAAAATTTTCATCCTCATTACCTGGATACTTGGCGCTCAACTACTGTTCGCTTTTGGACACACTTTTTATCGTCTGCGGTATTTCCGGACCGATACGACCTTCAAACCTTCAAAAAAAGAGCGTACTCCTTCTTAAAAGGCTAGCAACGCGTTTGTGACTCCTGAGTTGCAGACGTTCATGGGCGGCAATGCTCACTTTCCATCAGGTGACCCGTCTGCTCGTCTGCACCTCTCCTCTAACATAAAAAAAAATGTTCTATCTACCCTGGAGCATAGGGTGTCCACAGCAAGCGTTTACGTATTCCCTTATTTCATAAAAAATTAAATGAAAACTAATGTGTAAACTTTCATAGCGAGACACAGTATTAGTTTTACGAAGTAGTTTGGCTTACTTTTGATAGATGGCGTTAACAGTTAGACCATTATATTCCTCCAGTTTCTTATAAACAAATTTCTGAAGAAGTATGAGGCAGAAGGTGAGCCAATAAGACCACATGACTCACCCTATCATGTCTGAGAAGAGCTGCCTTGTTGCTGAAAGCCTTCGGACACAGGGAACACTCATATGGACGCTCACCGGTGTGGGTGCGGGTGTGGATCTGTTGAAACAATTGAAAAAATACTCTTTACTGACTGACTGCATGTAAATATCTCCAAGATCATCATTATTAGGAAACACAATCTGTTGGATTAGTCAAAACCACTAAAGAGTTCCGATTTCCACTTCTTGGCTCCAACAGATCAGCTCTGCAATACTAAATGATAGTATTCTCATCCAAACTACATATAAGAGTCCACTGCTTGCCTTAATAATATAAATAATATAATAGGACTCTTCTTAGAAAGGAAGTTTTGGCCTACTATACTAGCATGCTACGCAGACGAGTTGATATCTATACAAATAAATAAAATTGGAGTGTCTGTTTGTAATATTAAAATAACCGCTTTTTACTAAATGCATATGTATGTTTACACGGTACATATGCCAAAATAACATTTTTTACAATTTTTGTCTGTCTGTCTGTCTGTCTGTTCCGGATAATCTCTGGAACGGCTGGACCGATTTCGACGGGACTTTCACTGGCAGATAGCTGATGACATAAGGAGTAACTTAGGCTACTTTTTTAGACTAGCTTCGCCCCGCGGTGTTGCCCGCGGTTATAACAACAAACGCGGGTAACACCGCGGGTCTCAGCTAGTAGTCTATATATTTGCAAGTAACTTTGTGCTAACTGTTTACACATCACATCACACATCAACAGCCTATACTAGTCCACTGCTGGACATAAGCCTCTCCTTAAAAAGAGGTTTTGGCCTACTATACCACGCTGGCCAGACGCCAACCCGTCTGGCCAGCGTGGTATATATATATGGTTTGTTTCAAGTTTTCCTTCTCTTTGCAGTGCTGTTGTCCTGCTTAGTTTGCTCCCTTAGTCGGCTCTTACGACACCCACGGGATGAATTGGGATGGTCACAATTTGTATTCTTAATCCGTCACCACACGGACAACGGTTACAATAAAGATATAAAATAAATATAGGCTGTGTGTACAACTTTCTTCGTGCTAATCTCAGGAACTAGTGATTCGAATTGAAAAATTATTTTAGTGTTCGGTAGCCAATTTATTGATGAAGGCTATAGGCAAAAACAAAACGTTGCAAAAAATGGGAAAATGGCGGTCACGGGGACACAGATCCACAATCAATCGGTCACACTCACAGTCGCTGGTAGCCTATCACACTTTGAGCATTCGTGTTGTAGCTATATAATAATAATAATAATATTCTACCACATTCACACAACGCCATCTAGTCCCAAACTAAGCAGAGCTTGTACTATGGGTACTAGACAACTGATATAAATACATATATACTTTTTTTTTTTGTAAATACATACATATTATACATAGAAACACCCAGACCAAATCAAACATTAAATGTTCATGCACACAAACGTTTGACTTGAGCGGGAATCGAACCCGCAACCTTTGGAATAGCAGTCCGTTACACAAACCAATACGCCATCCGGTCGTCGATATATGGAAGAAGCTTGCGGAAAGTGTAGTGACTACAAAATCAGTGAACACATTTAAGTGCCAACTTGATAAACGGTTAGAAAAACACAACCCACTAGACTAATGATATGTATTTGACCGGTGGGTAGAAGAATAAACAACAGTTTAGCGCGGAGGCATATTTATTACTAATTTTTTTTTTAAAATTGTTTTAAAAAACTAAAAAACACGCTTTCTATAGAAAACCAAATTAAAAAATAGAAAATAAATTTGAAAAAAAGCGTTGGATGCCTGTTGTCAATAGTAAAAAGCACCCCACGCTTTTTTTCAAATTTATTTTCTATTTTTTAGTTTGGTTTTTTAAATTAGTGTATTGTCATCGGTCCTCGATATATCTACAAAGTTTGAACGAATTCTGACCTTTTAAAGTCAGTCAAAATCACGCCCAAAGGAGTCGGTTACAATCATACAACCATACAAACAAACATACAAGTGAAGCTAATATAAAGCGTGTAAATACAGTTCATACGAAATGCAATGAACAACGCACACTTGTACATACACAACTAAACAAACGTTTAATTAGGTACACACAAACTCTTACACCACTCCACTGGAGGCTCGCCAGTGCAGAGATGTGGACACATCAGCAAGTTTGCTGCTCGTCCATAATAAATAAAAAAAAAGTGTAACCTAAAACAAATGCTCAGATCACTTCGCCCCTCGACAAAGGACCCCAGTTAGGACCGAAAGCATTCTAATGTCCCCAAAGTATACATAAAATAATAATAATAAAGCCTTTAAAAAAATTCAAGTTAAATATTTTTGTCTTAGTAAATTTTTAAAAAGAAAAGTATATAAAAGAAAGTAAAAATTATAAACTAAAACTACACTTTTATTATAAGACTAGCTGACCCGCGCAACTTCGTCTGCGTCTCTCAATAGTAGTAAATTTTCTCCGTTTTTGAAACATTCTTCATTGGTGCTCCGCTCCTATTGGTCTTAGCGTGATGATATATAGCCTTCCTCGATAAATGGGCTATCTAACACTGAAAGAATTTTTCAAATCGGACCAGTAGTTCCTGAGATTAGTGCGTTCAAACAAACACACAAACAAACTCTTCAGCTTTATAATATTAGTATAAGATATATCTTGGTTCGGTTTGCCTTACAGCATATTATCAATAAGTTTATCAATATATTTAATGCACTGGTTACCAAAACCCAATTCCTATTGCGTCTCCTTACTGACCAAACTTTAATTGACAGAAAATTATCTCACCTGTAGGAACAATGGCATTGTAAAACTCTTAGAACACTGTGTGCATTTGTAAGGACGCTCACCGGTGTGGACCCGTTGATGATATCTTAGAGCTGCGTTTGACTGTGAACAATAAAAATAATAAACTATTTTATAAATGAAAATGAGTAAACGGTTCACCTGATGGTTAGTAACTACCACTACCCATGAACACCTGCAACTTCATCAACAGGCTATACTAGTCCACTGCTGGACATAAGCCTCTCCTCAGAAAAGAGGTTTTGGCCTACTATACCACACTGGCCAAACGGGTTGGTATAGGGTTTGTGTGGGGTGCTGGGCTAGAAAACCTCCTCGTGGTGCACCCTGGAAACGCTGGCGATGGTACTGTTCACTCCTTGTCCTCTTGGAGGAGAGGATTATCGCCAGCGGCCAATATTCTAGCAGAAGAGGCAGCCGTTCATCGGCTCTCGGGCAAGGCCTGGTCCAGCAGGGTGGGCGTGTCTGCCGGTTGCCCTGCTGGCTCTTCGCTCTTCGGAGCATGGAGGAGGAAACCTCGGTAAAAAACCTGATGGCGGGGCCCTGTAGGGGCCACAGTTTTCTCCGCTGACAGCGGTGGAGAAAGGAGGACGGGCTCGGCGTGTACTCACACTACCACCGAGCAGGCAGGGGGACGTAGTCTCCCTGTCAACCGTCGGCATATCGTAATCCCGAGAAGAGCGCTGTGGTTAAGTCTCGCGGCTCTGATCGGGGGCGAGGGTCTTGGCTTAACCGCCCGGACCGCGAGGAAGATAACCTCTCTAAAAAATTCCCCGAATCCCGTGTTCTGGTGCGTGGCCAGGGGATGCATGGCTGATGGGAAGTTCAGTCGCGAGCGCACTCCAAGCCGAGGTACCTGCGGACCCCTCGGTTGGGTTAAAAACTTACGCTTGCCCGGGTAATGGGGGATCTCTGCCCGGGTGGACCTGTATTTCTCCCCCACTCGTGGGATCAATTATGCAAGCATTAAATAAAACTACCAAAAAACGATCGGAAACAAACACAAAACAGACAAAGGCAAGCCTAACGGACAAGGAGATGAAGAGCAGGAACAGTGGAGTTGAGGGGTCGTCCACGGAGGGTGAGATAGCGTCGGGAACGCCTATCTCGATGGGGCTCCCAGAAGTCAGTCTGACGCTGGTCTCTGGGAGCCGAAGAGCATCAGATCGGCTGCGCTCCGGATCCGCCGTTTCGTCGGATGGCGCTGACGCCATGGAGGCGGAGCGAAGCGACAGCCGGAAACGAGGACGCTCCAGGGACGAGGAAACCGACACGTCCCAGGAGATGATGCCACCAAAGGTGGCAAGCAGCCGCCGAGGGAGGGCACGCAAACCTGCCTCGGCCCCGGTCTCGACCCCGTCAGGCTCCGCGTTCTCAAACGCGGAGTCGTACAGGAACGTACGGGTGGACGGCGAGGCCGTAGCGGAGGAGGAGATCGCGGATCTCCTGCTCAAGGTTCGGGAGCCGGTGGGGGGAAATGCCCCCCAGGCTCCCGTGTCCGTGCAGGAGAGGGCGAAAGCGGCGGTGGCCGTCATTCACAAGGTGGCCACCAAGTCTGTCAACCTTAAGGGCTCGTTTGTGAGGGCCCTTAAGGACTCCTCCTCCGCTTTGTCGGAGGTCGTGGAGGGTCTAGTGGGCGATGTGTCTCGCCTGCAGGTGGCCAACGAGAGGCTGACGGAGCGGGTGAACGAGCTGAGCGCTCAGTTCGCCCGCTTCCAGGCGAACCTCCCGGAGCGGGAAGCCCCGTCCGCGTCCCAGCCTGCCCCTACCACCAACTCAGGGGCATTTGACTCCCAACTGCGAGAAATCCTCATCGCAGTTGGGAATATGCTGGACGGACGCCTGGCTGGCCTGGAGGCGAGATTGCCTCCTGCGCCGATTATGCGCCCCCCGCTCGCGTCGGCACAGCGGCCTAAGGCCGCCGCTCCGACCGCGCTCCCCGTTGTGGGAGGCCGCGTTTCTTACGCGGCGGCGGCGTCTGCCCCTACTCCATCGGCTCCACAACAGCCGAGGAGGGGGGCCAAGGCACCGGCCCAGGCGCCGGCCAAGGCACCGGCTAAGGCGCCGGCCAGGGCGCATCCCCAGGCGCCGGCCAAGACGGGGCCTAGAACAGCGCCGAGGAGCGGAGTGGCATTCCCTCCGCTCCCCACTCCGACACCCCTGCCGGGCCCCTCCGCACCTGCCCCCTCCAATGAGGGTTGGCAGGAGGCGAGGGGCTCCAAGAAGTCCCGAAGGCGGGCCAAAAGGGCTGCCAAAAAAGCAGCCCAAGCCCAGCCTTCGCCACCGGTGGCAACGGCCTCCACAAAGAGGCCGCGGAAGCTGCAGCCGCCCAAAACCGCGGCTGTAGTGGTGACCGTGTCCCCGGAGGCGGCGGACGGCGGGCTGTCCTACGCGGCCGTTTTCAAAAAGGCCCGGGACAGCCTCGCCAACGATTTTGGAACGGTGGGGGTCAGGATGCGCCTCGCCCAGACGGGAGCTCGAGTCCTCGAGTTCCCTGGGGCTGAAGGCGCAAAGACGGCGGACTCGTTTGCTGAGAGGCTGCGGGGTATATTCGCGACTACAGATGGTGTGAGGGTCGCCAGGCCTACCAAGTGCGCGGAGCTGCGCATCTCGGGCCTGGACGACTCTGTGACGGCCGAAGATGTCCGCGCTGTAATCCGGGAGAAGACGGGGTGCAGCGCGGACAACGTCAGGGTCGGCACCATCCGCCCCGGTCCAGGGGGGCTTGGCGCCGTGTGGGTCAGCTGTCCCGTAGCGTCGGCCAAAGTATTGGCCGACGCCGGCAGGCTGCTCATCGGTTTCGTGAGCGCCAGGATCACAGTCCTGGCGGCGAGACCGATGAGGTGTTACAAATGCCTAGCATCGGGGCACACGCGCGTCAAGTGCCAAAGCTGCTTTGACTGCAGCGGACTCTGTTTCCGCTGTGGTCGACCGGGGCATGTGGCGGTGGAATGCTCTGCCGCCCCTCACTGCCCGGTGTGTGCGGCGGGTAACAAGCCCGCCAATCACCAGATGGGGCAGGGGGGCTGCAAGCCTCCCCGCAACTCTCAGCAAGCATCGGGGGCTAGCCAGTCGACCCAGGCTGCCTCCGATGTAGTTCGTGCGTCGACGTCGTCGCCCATGGAGGAGGCTGTAGAGACGATCCAGTAATGGATCGGGTCTCCAGCCTCCTGGTCCAGACGAACCTGAACCACTGTGCCGCGGCGCAGGATCTCTTCCTGCAAACCATGGCACAGTGGTCGATAGGTGTTGCCGTAGTCGCGGAGCCCTATTCTGTCCCTCCCCGTCCAAACTGGGTGGGTGACTGGGACGGCTCCGTGGCAGTCGTCGGTTCCACGACGGCTCATTCCCCGCCCTTGTCGCTAAGAGACAAGGGCACTGGATATGTTGCCGTCGAGTGGGGGGGGATCACCATATATGGTGTTTATTTCTCCCCCAACCGGAGTTTGAACGACTTCGAGGTTTTCCTAACCAGCTTGGAGACCTCGATACGGCGACTAGCGTCTGGGCACGTCCTTGTGCTGGGGGACTTCAACGCAAAGTCCATTGCGTGGGGTTCCCCCAGGACGGACGCAAGGGGCGAGGCCGTAGAGGAGTGGGCGGCCTCGGTGGGCCTCTGTCTTCTAAACAGAGGCTCCACCAACACGTGCGTGCGACAGCAGGGGGGGTCGATAGTGGACCTCTCGTTCGCTACCCCTGCCCTCGCCGCACGAGTAAGGAACTGGTGTGTCCTGGAAGAGGTTGAGACGCTCTCGGATCACCTGTATATCCGATTTGAGCTCTCCCGGACCCAGGACTCCAGTAGGGGTCACGTGGCGCGGCGTTTATCCCGCTTTCCGCGGTGGGCTGTTGCCAGACTGAACCGGGACCTACTAGAGGAGGCAGCCATAATTCACTCGTGGCTGTCTCCTCAGGCTCCGACCGAGGAGGTCGACGTGGGGGCTGGCCGCTTTCGCGATGCGATTACGCATATCTGCGATGCGGCCATGCCCCGCATTCGAGGTCGTCGGCCTCCAAGGAAGGAGGTCTACTGGTGGTCCCAGGAGCTGGCGGACCTCCGTGCGGCCTGTACACGTGCCCGGAGGTCCTACACACGCAGTCGGCGGCGTCACCGTGGAGACGGTGAGGAGGACCGGCTTCATGAGGAGTACCGGCGGGCGCGGAAAACTCTGAAGCTGGCCATTAGCCGCGCCAAAGAGGAAAAGAGACAGGAGATGCTGGAGGGTCTTAATCGTGACCCCTGGGGTCGCCCTTACCGCGCGGTGCGACAAAAGCTCCGCGCGTTGGGCCCCCCCCTTACGGAGACTCTCCAGCCCAGCTTCCTGCAGGAAGTGGTCGAGGGCCTATTCCCGCAGCGGGCGGAGCACACACCCCCCGTCGATGGCTGCATCAGCCGGAGACGACGGGGGCAGCGAGGTCGATGTTCCGCCCGTCAGGGAATCGGAGTTGGGGGCGGCTGTTCTACGGATTCGATCCAAGAACACCGCCCCCGGGCCGGACGGGGTTCCAGCCCGAGTGATGGCCCGAGCCCTCGACTACATGTCGGACCACCTCAGGGGGGTGTTGGACGCTAGCCTGGCGTCCGGACGCTTCCCTGAGCGCTGGAAATGCGGGAAGCTGGTCCTGTTGCAGAAGCCGGGACGGCCTGCCGATTCGGTCGCGGCCTATAGGCCCATCGTGCTGCTGGACGAGGCGGGCAAATTGTTTGAGAGGGTTCTTTCTGCCCGCATCGTCCGGCACCTCTGCGAGGTGGGCCCCGATCTGTCGGACGCCCAATTTGGTTTTCGGGCGGGGCGTTCGACAGTCGACGCCGTGTTGCGCCTGAGGGCCGTGACCGAAGAGGCAGTGAGCTGTGGCGGCGTGCTGTTGGCGGTGTCATTAGACATCGCCAACGCATTCAATAGTCTGCCATTCAGCTGCATCAGGGAAGCACTCCACTATCATGGGGTGCCAAAGTACCTGAGGCGGCTAGTGGCAGACTACTTAGAGGAGCGTACCGTCGTGTACGAGGACCGAGAAGGTAATTTGAGGAGTCGGCCCATGTCGTGCGGTGTTCCACAGGGGTCTGTTCTTGGACCCCTCTTGTGGAACATAGGGTACGACTGGGCCCTTCGCGCCGATTTCCCCCCCGGGCTGGGTGTAATCTGTTACGCAGACGATACCCTCGTGACAGCCCGGGGGGCAAACTTCCAAGAGGCGGCGCGCCTGGCCACAGGGGGAGTCTCCCTGGTGGTCGGGCGCATTGAGGCGCTGGGCTTACGGGTGGCCCTAGATAAGACGGAGGCCCTGTTATTCCATGGGCCCCGTCGTGGTCCACCCCCTGGCGCCTCAATCGTGGTCAACTCGGTCCTCGTACCGGTTCGGGCCCAGATGAAATATCTGGGCCTGATCCTCGACGGGAGGTGGCTCTTCGACGAGCACTTCCGACAGCTTGCTCCAAAGCTGGTCGGCGCTGCGTCTGCCCTAGGGCGACTCTTGCCCAATATGGGTGGACCCAGCGTCGCGACAAGACGGCTGTACACGGGGGTTGTCCGGTCAATGGCGCTGTACGGTGCACCGGTGTGGGCGGCGGCTCTGACCGCCCAGAATAGGGTACGCCTCTGGCGCCCTCAGAGGGTAATGGCGGTCAGAGCCATACGCGGTTACCGCACCGTTTCTACGGAGGTGGCATGCGCGTTGGCCGGAACTCCCCCGTGGGATTTGGAGGCGGAAGTGCTCGCCGAAGTTTATCGGCGAGTGGCTGACTTCCGGGCGGAGAGCGGATTTCGCCCTCCGCCCGAGGATGTGCGCGAGTGGCGCGAAGCCGCTCGCCGAGCCACGATGGCTCGTTGGTCGTTCCGGCTGGAGACTCCACGCGCTGGCTTCGCCGCCGTGGAGGCTCTCCAGCCGGTCATCGCCGAGTGGGCAGGGCGGCAGCACGGGACCCTTTCCTTCCGACTGACGCAGGTGCTTTCCGGGCACGGTTGCTTCGGAAAGTACCTGCACACGGTCGCTAGGAGGGAACTGAGTCCCGCCTGCCACCACTGCGACTGCAGTGAGGACTCGGCCCAGCACACGCTGGCGGTCTGCCCCGCATGGGCGGCGCAGCGCCGGGCCCTCACTGCAGTCATCGGAGTGGATCTCTCGCTACCGGCCGTAGTACGCTCCATGGCCGGTAGCGACAGTTGTTTTACCGCGGTCGCTACCTTCTGCGAGGTAGTAATCTCGCGGAAGGAGGCGGCGGAGAGGGCCCGGGAGGGACGACCTCCACTCGGACCCGATCCGCCGCCGGCGAACCGGGCGGCGGAGGCCCGCCTACCACAGCCTCATGCCGCCCTGAGTGTGGCCGCGGGTGGACGGGGTGGGTTTCCCCTCCACCCGCATTAGTTTGGCCAGCCGCGAGGGGGCGGCGTCCGCGTGTGCCGGACGTCGCCTATAAAGAGAGGAAAAACATCGAGACGGAGCCCGCACCAGGAGCGGGCTGGCGCTAGGAGGGGTCCGGATGTCTTAACAACAGCTGTTCCCGGATCCCTCCTGTTACAGGCGCAGAGTGGCACACCGTGTGGTTTTAGTCGGTCCGAGTCCGACACACCACCCCGCCGCAAACCCCGGAGGGGTGACGGTCCGAGGGGATTTCCACACGTTAAAAAAAAAAAAAAAAAAAAAAAGGGTTTGTGTCAAGTTTTCCTTCTCTTTGCAGTGTGGTTGTTCTGCGTAGTTTACTCCCTTAGTCAGCTCTTACGACACCCTCGGGTTGAATATGGGTGGTGACACTCTGTATTCTTAATTCGTCACCACACGGAGAAAATGCAACTTACGAGAGTTCTTCGCCCAGAATAAGGGGAAGGAGGGGTTTGGGCTTCGGTAACTTTACTCATTTGGTGAAAAGTAACAATACATGAAAAGCGGTTTTCTGTGAAGCCGTGGTATAACTCCGTGATATGTGGCGACTCCCACATACAAAGAAACAGAAACATACTACAGCGCCATCTAATGAAGAAACACCGAACTACGGAGTAACTACTAAAATAAGAATTGCTAATCCTGTATCGCGATATAAAGAATTCCCTCGCCGATTAGCATATATACAACGTCCCAACATCAACCGTTGGACCGCGGCCCGCCCGCATGATCACCTCGCCTGGCCGGTCCTCCCTTTGAGTTGGAGGGACATGACACCCGTTCCTCCACAGATATAAACAGAAGAAAATAAAGGTACTCACGGCATATCTCTTGCCGCAAACTTCACAAACAATATTCTTCACATTATAATAAGACTTTGGTCTTTTCTCCTTCTTGTGTTCAGTCTCTTCCTTCGTAATGGTGACACCGTGAGGCAACGGTGAACCTTCATAAATCTCCTGAAATAGAATTACAGCTTTTTATTCTACCCGTGCATCTATACAAATAAATAAAATTGGAGTGTCTGTTTGTAATATTAAAATAACCGCTTTTTACTAAATGCATATGTATGTTTACACGGTACATATGCCAAAATAACATTTTTTTCAATTTTTGTCTGTCTGTCTGTTCCGGGTAATCTCTGGAACGGCTGGACCGATATCGACCGGACCGTCACTGGCAGATAGCTGATGACATAAGGAGTAACTTAGGCTACTTTTTATAGACTAGCTTCGCCCCGCGACAATAAAGCTTATTATGTTAAATTACTTGGGCTAACTGAATGACTTATTTAATCAATTCAGAGCCTAAAAACTTGAAATTTTGCCATCTGATTTATTAGGGTTCCGTACCTCAAAAGGTAAAAAAGCAACCCCTATAAGATCACTTTCTTGTCCGTCTGTCTGTCCGTATTGCACCACCGATTTTCTCAGGAACGGGTAGACCTAGCAAGTTAAAATTTATACTAGATACTGAGGTCAATGGTACTATGGTCCCTATTAGGTGAATAAAAATGAAGGTCCTGAGTCAACACGATGAAAATATATGGGCAAATTTCGATTTTCGCGAAAAATTGCAAGTACCAAAATTTACCTTAATTTTCAACTTTTTTTATTTTTCAGAATTTTCTTATAGCACAAAACGTCTTATAGCACAAAAAAAATTCAAAAAATAAAAAAGTTGAAAATTAAGATAAAATTTGGTACTTACAAATTTTATCTACGTAAAATCTGGGTAGGTACGGAACCCTCGGCGCACAAGTTCGACTCGTACCTGAGCGGTTTTCTTAAAACGTTGTAAGCACCCACTAAGAAAGGATTTTAGGCAATTTTACCCCTAAGGAAGTAAAATAAGAAATCAACGGTTGTATGAAAGTCATACTGGCACACATCAAAACAAGGTTCTAGTACATTTCATGAACTGTATCTATCTGTAAATAAATAAACAAAAATTTTTAACAAACAAAAAAACCGACTTCAAAACACACTATTCCAAAACAGATTAATATGCACTAAAAAGTAAAAAAATAAATGCACATTCTTCTACAACTTAATAATGAAGTTACTTTTTCTACTCATCTTGTAGGTACGATCTATGTGTTTACCACGCAAGAAGGTAGGTACCTACCCACTTCAAATCTAACTTAACATATACCTATGAATAACAAACAACGATCGACATATTTATTTGAGTTCTCCTAAGTAAAATGAAATGAATATAACGTAGTTACAATTATTGTTATTTTTGGAGTCGGTGTCAGCCAAGTCGGTGTCACCTTATAAGTGAGAAGTGCTTGTGTCGCACGCGCAAGTTGACGAGTCTTAAAGTATTCTCGTATTATTATTGCTAGGTATATCGTAGTGTTTCCTTGGCTGACAAATATAAAAGTTCTGAGGTAACAAACATAAAAAAAAAACAGTCGAATTGAGAACCTCCTCCTCTTTTTGAAGTCGGTTTAAAAATATTCTTCTCAAAACGGTCAACCCATTGGAAATGAGTGGTTAAAGATTGGCACAGGCATATAATGGATTGCCGGACGTCGCCTATATAGAGAATGTACCCGGGGATGGAGTTCGCGCCACTACGGGCAGGCGCTAGGAGGGGTCCGGATGTCTTAATAACAGCAGTTCCCGGATCCCTCCTATTACAGGTGCAGAGTGGCACACCGTGTGGTTTTAGTCGATACGATTCCGACACACCACCCAGCCGCGAAGCCCGGTGGGGTGACGGGTTAAGGCGGTTATCACACGTAAAAAAAAAGACATTATGGATTGATTTGACGACCGGATGGCGTAGTGGTTTGTGTAACGGACTGCTATTCCAAAGGTCGCGGGTTCGATTCTCGCTCAAGTCAAACATTTGTGTGCATGAACATTTAATGTTTGATTTGGTCTGGGTGTTTCTATGTATAATATGTATATATTTACAAAAAAAAAAGTATATATGTATTTATATCAGTTGTCTAGTACCCATAGTACAAGCTCTGCTTAGTTTGGGACTAGATGGCGTTGTGTGAATGTAGTAAAATATATTATTATATATTATTATTCATTTTGATGAAAATTCGACAAAACAGATTGTTGCTATTGTGTGTGTTGATCTATGACCTTTAGAGTGTACAGAAAGGGCTATTTCATTTTTTTTTATGAAGATATTTTGACTCAGAATCATCATCATCATCATCATCAACAGCCTTTAATAGTCCACTGCTGGACATAGTCCTCTCCTTAGAAAGGAGGTTTTAGCCTACTACACCATGCTGGCCAGTTTTGTTGTCCTGCATAGTTTGCTGCGTTAGTCGACTATTACGACACCACAGGATGAATAGGGGTGGTCACTCCATATTCTTAATCCATCACCACACGGATAATTCTAACTTAATAGCTAGCCTTATTATACCTGTATGATAATGTTTCCGTCCTGCACATCCTCATACACAATCTCCTCATTTTCATATTGCTCAGGATTTTCTATTTTCACTTCAATGTGATTTTCTTCGTAATGTTGAATGCATGCTTCCTCTGTACTGAATAATTGTTCGCACTGCAACAAATAAATTTAATCTTGTGCCACTTAAGTCTTTTACGCAGTAACCTATGTAATGCCCCATGGTTTATTACCAATAAAGAAATACATCAACATCTCGAGATGAGTACCATACAGGAGGAAATTGGACAATGTACAGAGACATATAAAGGTAGACTTGAAAAGCATCCCAATGCACTAGCTGCCCAGCTGACAACATGTAGCTATAGTAAAAGGCTGACAGGCATACTAGCCTTATAAACATTTTGTTTGTAACATGGTCTAAGGATGAGTAGATGTCTTTCCTTTACTTTACAATATTCATGGAACTCACCTGCTTATAACTAAAGCTGATTGCAGATTAAAAAGAGAAAAAAAAAGAAGTTAACTGTTCTTTTTTTTCTCTTTTCTAGCAGTAGTTAGTCTCGATTTATAATTAATAAAAGATTTGACGGGCTTGTTGGTCTAGTGGTTAGTGACCCTGACTGCTAAACCGGAGGTCGTGGGTTCGATTCCCACACAGGACAAATAATTGTGTGATGAGCACAATGATTTGTTCTGTCTGGGTGTATTTAGAAATATATAAGTATGTTTATCAGCAGTCTGGTTACCATGCCGTGTGTGAGATGTGTGAAGCTATTATTACTCGTCTGTTTGTAATATTAAAATAACCGCTTTTTACTAAACTCATATGTATGTTAACACTGTACATATGCCAAAATAACATTTTTTACAATTTTTGTCTGTCTGTCTGTTTGTTCCGGGTAATCTCTGGCACGGCTGGACCGATTTCAACGGGACTTTCACTGGCAGATAGCTGATGACATAAGGAGTAACTTAGGATACTTTTTTTAGACTAGCTTCGCCCCACGGCATGGCCCGCGGTTATAACAACAAACGCAGGTAACACCGCAGGTCTCAGCTAGTTAGCTCTAAATGTTTTCTATCCATCTGGAAATCCTCAATGACAGCCTCATCATCATCTTATTAATACTTGAATCAGTTGGACGTGTGTGAGATGTGAGAAGTTAAGTTTTTATTATTATTTGTCCTAGGTAGGAATCCAACCCATGTCCTCTGGTTTAGCAAGCCATAGGCTCCTTAATTTTTTATATATTCATAAGTTTCTTATTAGGTCAGGTAAGTATCTTAAACCTCCTAGGTTTGTATTGGGCAATTTAAAAAGATATTTCAGCTAAGTATAAGACTACTTTTTAATTTGAGCTTTAGTCCAAAGCTGCTATTGACTCCTTTGTCTGGAGATCCAGAGATCACCTGACGGGCCTGTTGGTCTAGCAGTTAGTGACTCTGCCTGCTAAGCCTCCATATCTCAGATGGGTTCGATTTCCACCCAGGACAAATATTTGTGTGATGAGCAATGATTGTTTGTGGTGTCTGGGTATATTTATCTATAATATGTATGTAGTTAGAAATATATAAGTATGTTCATGAACAGTCTCCCGTAGTACAGGTTCTGTCTAGTTTGGGATCAGGTTATTATTACCTGCCACCAGTAAAACACCCCAATGCACCAAATAGTAATTTAATATTATAAGTATTTTAGGTATATGGCGTTAAGACCTATTTCAGATGTGGATTTTCTATTTTAACTTAATTCTAATAGAGCTTAAGTTATTTTAATAAAACACAGCTTGTTTTACATAAATATCAGAAGTATTGTAAAATATTAAAAAAGATTTTTTTAAAGAACTTAGCTAAAACTATATTTTACAAAATAGAGAAAAAAAACTTTTTTTTTTAAACTAACTGGAATAGGCATAAGAGGCACCAACATATAGGTAGTCTTATATCCACTACAATATACTTGAATTTAATCACAAATAGTTTTGATAAAAACTTTGGTTTACTAGCGAAAAATGGGTCTTAAAATTGACATAGATACTTATATACGTAAAAATATGACTTAGCATTCTTTCCAGACTAAGCTGATGCAATAGGACTGCTAGGAAAACATACAATTTTAGTTTTGATCAGACTATATAATCAATTAATGCTTTTTATGTATGCTTGAAAATGAATTACTTTGAACTTACAATGCCACATTTGTATTCCTTTTTTTCTTTTTTCTGAGCGTGTTCTTTCTCCAAATGATTTTTTAATTCTTCCTCAGTGGGAAATGTTTCTCCACATTCACAGATAATATAATGAATGCTCACAAAGGAGCAATAGAACATATCGTCCGACATTGCTATATTTTCGAAGCACAGATTAGTAATTTATCAGAAAACGTTATTAATTTTCTATGCCGCAGCCATCTTGTTTATCTATTTTCTGTGAACAGTGAAGGGACGATTCATGATCTCGAGTTTGACAGTTTTGTTAGTTGACTGACTAAAAATCAATTTTCGACTTTCATAACAGATCTCATTCTACTAAATAACTTTTACTCATTGCTGTTGATATTTTTAATTTAAAAATGATTAATAAAACAAGTTAATTGTTTTTTTTTTCTTAAACACTATTTTTTTAATCTTTTAAAAAAAGTTGAGTAAACTACTTTTTAATGTTATCTGTACCGATGTTTATAAGTTAATTAGATTGTTGAATGAAATGATTTGTTTGGTTTCATAAAGTAATTTAATTTGTTTGTTTTATGTGTGAAAACACTGCAAATATTATGGAAGATATATTGGCTTGCAGAGTATGCCTCGCTACAGGGGTAAAATTGTATAATATGTGCAATTACAATCTTAAAAAAGCATATGAAAATCTAACAGGAATCAATGTTAGTATTTTCCCATAATTTAATTAACTATTAATGTTATGGTCAATGAAAATCTCTACAATAATTTTGAATGCCGTAGTATAGGTATTAAGTAGATATCCTTTTTTCATATTAAATATCGATTCCAGATGAATTGCTTTTTGTGATTATTTTTATTTCCTTTGTTAGCCATAATATTTTTACTCTTGTATGGGTTCATATGACCTGTCTGCTCGTTTATCCCCATGAACAAAAACAAGCATACTTTATGGTAAGTGACTACCGCCGCCTATAGACACCTGCAACTCATCATCAACAGCCTTTAAAAGGCCACTACTGGTGGCCTCTCCTTAGGAAGGAGGTTTTGGCCTACTATACCAGTTTTTCCAGACGGGTTGGTATAGGGTTAGTTTCAAGTTTTACTTCTCTCTGCAGTGCTGTTATCCTCCTGAAACTCACTCACAAGCCTATTACCACCCTTTGCATTCTCTCCAGAATCTAAGGGAGGGATTTGGGCGCCGGTATTCTCACTCACTTGCTGAAGAGCAACAATAGAATATGTACACAGGTTTCCTATGAGGCTGGGGGCCACTTCGGTTGAGCAAGCCAATATGTGACTAAGCATGGCTGTCTCACTGTAATTTTTTATTAAATAGAGCAGGGATTCCCTAACAATTTTTGTAAGAGACCTCTTTTCTAAAATGAACTGATCATACATAAACCTCAGACCCCCTCAGCCAAATTTTTGGATGCTTATCGACTTGTTGAGTTTTTAAAAAGTACTACAAGGATACTTCCTAATAAAATATCAGTCATTCTTATAACAAGTTGGCACACGTAACACAACTAATACAGTATTGAAAGATTTGAATACACTTGTGTTGATTAATAGGGGTTGATTTTTAAATCTCATCGACCTCCAAAATCAGATGCCAGGAAACGAATTTCTACCCCTAGGGATATCAACTAATTTAGGCATCCCTGAAATAGAGTATGTAAGAGATGGTTATAGGCTATGTAACACCCCAACCCGTATGACGAACAATGACCAAAAACGGTGAAGTAACACTGCAATGGTACTTAATAATATGAAATTAATATTTCAGGTGATAATACCAGATATCTACCCGCAATATCTCTGCAGTTACTGCCAACGTCTTCTTATAAAGAGTAATCGGTTTAAAGAGAGATGTATAGAGACTCAGGAACTGCTTAAGCAAGCAGCTATGGAAGAACCAATGGTAATGGGTCACTTGAGTACTGCCGCACATAGACACCTATACTCCCCCCTGTTATTCACAGGGTACAGCTTATACTCCCCCCTGTTATTAACAGAGTACAGCTCCCCACCAGGGCTGGCTTTAGGTAGTTAGTAGAGTAAGGGATACCTCAAATCTCAGTAGCTTTTATTATCTTATGTATCTCAGAAGTTGTCATTGGAAATGATATGACCTTGCCTCTGTCACTGAGTTACACAGAAAAATCGTTTTATGTTGGTGACTTCATCAGCAGCCTTTAATATTCTAGTTTGGCCTACTATACCACGCTGGCCAGATGGGTTGGTATTGCGTTTTTTTCAAGTTTTCCTTTTCTTTGCAGTGCTGTTGTCCTGCGTAGTTTTGTCCCTTAGTCGGCTCCTACGACACCCACGGGATGAATAGGGGTGGTGGCACTCCCTATTCTTAATCCGTCACCACACAGATGGGCTATGGCTAAGTTTGATCAAAGCTAAACATGTCAAAATTAAGTACTATTTGTGTTGGTGACTTGAGGACTTGGTGACCATTAATATGTCCCAATATAGTTTCAATCAGGTTATAATAATAATAATAATAAAGCTGAGAAAGAACAAATTTAACACAATAATAAGGTTTATTTGTCTCAAAAAGGTAAATAGGTACATAGGTTTATTATGCTTCTATAATAAATATAACATACATAAGGCCTATGTTTATAAAGAGCCTTAAACTATTAAATTAAAAATTTGCATTTATTTCCGTTCATTGAAGGAATAATGTTTTTTTTACAGTTAACATTTGATCATGTACACGCTCTATCTCTATCCCTTTCTCCTGCACACTCCCTCTCCACTTCTGACGTCGACACTTCCACAACGTTGTACCCCGAATTCGTAACACACATAAAAGCCGAAGCATTCGACATCGTTTTAAAAGAAGAATCAACAGACCACAGTGATGAAGAACCATTGGCCAAGAAAGCGAAAAAGAGAAAAAAAAAGAAAATAGAATATTCTGAATTTGAAATTGGTGATGACACTTTCGAAACGGTTACAAAGAATATTGATTTTTCCGAATTTGAAAATGGTAATTTCGAAAAGGAGAAGAACGTAGTATTTTCAGATTTCGAATTTGAAACTGACACGTTTGAGACGGAGGATTTTGAGACGAATGCGGAAGAGAGTGTTGAGTTTTTAAATAAAGAAGATATAGAAGTTGTAGTGTTGAGTAAAGAACAGCAGATAGAAGAAATATTAGCAAGAAAAACCTCTTATAACTATAATAATTCATTTTATAAATGTGAGTTGTGCTACAAAGGATTTATGACAGATTCAACTTATAAGAATCACATGTCAAGACATGACCCAGTAAGTGTTTTTTTTAATATAAATTTACACATCTCACACACGGTAGTCTTATCCAAAACTAGGTAGAGCCTTTGCTATGGTAACCAGACAGCTGATAAACATACTTATCTATATAATACCTGCCGCAAATTCCATCATCAAAATCCATCGTTCCACACGGCAAAATTTTCGCTTTGCGCTTTTCGAGACACTTTTTGCCCCGCACAACCAATCTGTGGAACGGGTTATCATCTGCGGTATTTCTGGACCGATACGACCTTCAAGAAAAGAGCGTACTCCTTCCTCAAAGTCCGGCAACGCGTTTGTGACTCCTGAGCTGCAGACGTTCATGGGCGGCGATAGTCACTTTCAAACATAAAAAAAAAAAATTGAAGTGTCTGTTTATAATGTCAAAATAATAGGTGTTTTTCATGCTCACACGGTTATTTGCACGATACCTATGCCTAAAAACCAGTTAAAAAAATTTTTTGTCTGTTTGTTCTGGGTAATCTTCTAAACGGCTGGACCGATTTTGATAATGTTTTACTACCAGGTCTATATAAGGAGTAACTTAGGCTATTTTTCCTCTCAGATAAATCTTTGCCCGGTCTGGGAATCGAACTCACTAAGGCAGCGCTTTTTAAATACGCGAACGAAGTCGCGGGTACCAGCTAGTATATTACTAAATACATACATAGTTATAGATATATTACACCCAGACACAGAAAAAAATATCATGTTCATCCCACCACATTTAATTGTCATGGGTGGGAATAGGGAATATGCATGTATTTTTTTTATATTTTTAAACGATTCTACTAGTTATTACATTACCAAAAATAAATATAACACATCCGAAATATAAACCGTTAAGCAAAATGAAAGAAATAATCACCAGAAACCAAATATTACAAATACACACAACTTGTTGACACTCGTGACAGTGTAGGTTGACGTCACGTTTTATTCAACAAATAGCGTTGCGTTTTAGAAATTTGCGAGGGAATCTTAAAAAAGCCAATTTTTGATGATTAAATTTCACTATTAAATTATAATAAATTTCAAAAATAATTGTATGGGTATCTTTTTTTAGCAATAAAAATTACAAATAAAAATATTTTGTCCATTTTGGTGTCACATGCATATTCCCTATCAAACAACCTACTGCAATTACCTTCAGCTAGCAATTTTCCACCATCGGAACATAATTCTCATAATTTATCCATTTATTCCAGAACACAGGCCCCCATGCTTGCGAGATATGCCACACAAGATGGTCAGACCTCCGCTCCTTGAAAGCCCACAGCACTACAGCCCACGAAAGGAAATACATATGCAAACTCTGTGCTCACACTTCAAAGTCCTGCCATAGGGCTAAGGAACATTTAAAATGGCATAAGGGTTACAAATTTAACTGCAAAATCTGTGGGGCCACCTTCTCTAAGTCCACAAGCCATCTAACTCATGTGAGGTTACAGCATCCATCTAAATATTGCTGTGAAATTTGCGGAGAAAGTTTCATTGGACAGAATGGGTTAAATATGCACAAGAAGAAAGCTCATAAATTGTTTAAGGTATGATTTGTTTCATTAACAGCCATTACTAGTCCAATGCTGGACATAGGCCTCTCCTTAGAAAGGAGGGTTTGGCCTACTATACCACGCTGGCCAGACGGGTTGGTATAGGGTTTGTTTCAAGTTTTCCTTCTCTTTTTGCAGTGCTGTTGTCCTGCGTAGTTTGTTCCCTTAGTTGCCTCTTACGACACCCACGGGATGAATAGGGGTGGTGACATTCCGTATTCTTAATCCGTCACCACACAGACTGTTTATTAATAATAAATATTTTGGACATCAGACACACAACGCCATCTAGTTTCCAACTAAGCAGAGTTTGTATAATGAAAGCTAGATTGACTGATAGAATTCTTTTTTGTAAATACATACATATTATACATAGAAAGTACCCAAACCCGGAAACAAATATTTGCAGAGCATAAAAACGTTTGGTCGGACCCAGGAATCGAACCCGAGACCTCAGAACAGTAGTCGCTTACGCTACCACTGCTCCACCGAGGTTATAAAGGAAGTACTTCCTTCATTAAAATCGATTCAGCGGCTATACACACCACCCTCATTTTCCCTTAAAGGGTGATTCTTGGGATAAAAACTATCATATGTCATTTCCCGGGATACAAACTATTTCTATACAAAATTTCAGGTAATTGATTCCCCATACAAACTTCAACCCCCATTTCACCCCCTTAAAGGATGATTTCTGGGATAAAAGCTACCCTCTGTCCTTGCCCGGGACTCAGACAATTTCATCTAAATCGATTCAGCAGTTTAAGCGTTAAGAGGTAACAGATAGGCAGACACTTTCGCATTTATGATATTAGTATGGTTTGTTTCAGGAACCCAAAATGGATAAAAATCTAATTTGCAGCGTTTGTAACATTCATTTTAAAAGTAAAGAAGCTATGAAAAAACACACAGATACATCAGACACTGGAGTGTGCAATAATAGTCTATGGTAAGATGTTTATGGATCTTGATACTTGAACTAGACCCTGCTCAGGACCCTGACCCCTCATGATCCCTCCTCTGTATCCACTTTTGTTCCCATGGTAACCCTACTTTACTCTACTGAAGACCCAATTATTTTTTGTGTAAGTATGTAAATGTGAGTACAGTGTAGGCTTGTAATGTTAATTCATATTTTATTATCTTTCTGGTGGTTTTGAGTGTTTCCACGACCTACCCAAATGTCCTGCTGGCGGTAGTGTCATGCTTCGGGTCGTTGATCTTGACCAATATCGGTTAGGCTACACGATGGCTGGAGCCTGTATGCCGTCTGTATAGACAGGTTGACTCAAAACTATGGTCCTTTCCTCAAAAGGCCTATCCAGACCCTATACTGTACTCGCACAGTTTTATTTAACTTTGTTTACGGACTTAAAAAAAAAAGACACCTCTGTGGTTTGTTTCGGTGTTTCTTCCCAGAGTGAGTCTTAGGAAATGCCGGCTCCTTCTGGCTATAAAGTCCGACTTGTAAAAATATCTGAAAAGATTTACTTACAGAAATAAATATCATTTCATTTCATCATAATCTTCTTCTCCTCCTAATTCTTCACTCAAAGAGTGATAACACACTTATCTCATGTAGCTGCCCTTAGGCCAACAGGTCACCCGTCTGTTCTTTTGCCAGTACTAGTTGTTGTTGTCAAAAAATAAAACTTGATTGGTGACCAATGTGTTCAAGATTCTACACAGAACATAGCATCATCACCATACCATCATCAACAGCCTTTAATAGTCCACTGCTGGACATAGGCCTCTCCTTAGAAAGGAGGTTTTGGCCTACTATACCACGCTGACCAGACGGGTTGGTATAAGGTTTGTGTCAAGTTTTCCTTCTCTTTGCAGTGCTGTTGTCCTGCGTAGTTTGCTCCCTTAGTCGTCTCTTACAACACCCACGGGATGAATAGGGGTGGTGACACTCTGTATTCTTGATCCGTCACCACACGGTCGAAATAAAACTTGATTGGTGACCAATAAGGGTTCAAATGTGTTCAAGATTCTACACAGAACATATAGCAAGCTTCAGCTATTAAGAAACTAAGGTTTAATTATCTTTGCAGTCCATGTATTCATTGTGGTGAAAACTTTACCACTCGGGAGCTTCTGAAGGATCATCAGAAGACCCATCAGAAGGAAGAAACTGTGAAATGTGATGAGGTTGGGTATAGAAATTTTTCAATAACTTATTTATTAATGTAAAAGTGAGTTTGGTTGTTACTAAAAAATTGTGTAAATCTATACAAATAAATAAAATTGAAGTATCTGAATTATAGGTTTTTTTCATGCTCACACGGTTATTTCCGTCGCTTCCTAGTGTTGTGGGTTCAAACCCCACATGGGACGACACTTTGTGTGATCCACAAATTGTTGTTCTGAGTCTGGGTGTTCTTTGTGTCCGTTTCATGTATGTTTGTAAAGTCCGCCGCGATACAGGATATGTTCCTAATGCGGGAGTTGTCTTTTTAAAATAAATAAATTTGTACAATACCTATACCTAAAAACCAGTTTTAATTTTTTGTCTGTGTTTAGTCTGGGTAATCTTCAAAACTGGTGGACCGATTTTAAGAATATGTTACTACCAGGTAGCTGTCTATAAAAGGAGTAACTTAGGCTATTTTTGTCTCAGAAACATCATATAAAATTTTGCCCGGTCTCTGAAGTATATATACGAGGGGTGATCAATAAGTAATGATAATCAATATGAAACAGAACTATTAGATTAAAAAAAGTATTTTATTTTTCAACATAGTCTCCTTGCAAGTTAATACATTTAGTGTATCTTTTTTCTAAGCCCATGATTTCCTTAGAAAAAAATTCTTTGTCTTGACCTTCCCAAAATGTCTCTACTGCGGCCATCACTTCACTATTGTCCTCAAATTTGTTGCCCCGGAGGTGTTCTTTGAGCCGAGGAAAGAGGTAGAAGTCACTGGGAGCTAGATCTGGCGAATAGGGAGGGTGTTCGAGCAGTTCGAACCCCGTTTCTTCAATGGCAGCCATCGCAACTGCGGCTTTGTGAGCCGGGGCGTTGTCTTGGTGAAACAGCACTCCAGCGCGCAGTTTACCGCGTCTTTTTGACTTAATAGCTTCTCGCAATCTTCTTATTTGGCCTGCGTAGTAAGAGCCTGTTATAGTGGCCCCCTTTTCCAAATATTCCACCATAATAATTCCTTCTGCATCCCAGAAAACAGACGCCATAACCTTTCCCGCTGAACTTGACACTTTGAATTTCTTCGGCGTTGGTGAGGAAGCTCGTTTCCAAGTCATTGATTGTTGTTTGGTTTCGGGATCAAAGTGGTGGATCCAGGTCTCGTCCATGGTCACAAAACGCGACAAAAAAAATTCTTTATCGGCCTGGAACTTTTGAAGATTCACCCTCGAAATGTCGACTCGTTTCTTTTTTTGCTCGTCGGTTAACATTCTCGGTACCCAACGAGCAGAGACCTTTTTCATATGCATTTTGTTGACAATGATTTTTTGAACGCTGCCATAGGAGATCCCTGTGACCTCAGCTACATGCCTTACGGTCACCCTTCGATCGGCCAACACGATATCTTCCACTTTTTTGACGTTTTCTCCAGCAAGGGACGTGGAAGGGCGTCCCTCGCGATGTTCATCTTCAGTGGAGGTTCTGCCCAGCTTAAATTCCTTTGCCCAGCGTGCGACTGTGGAATATGGAGGAGCAGACTCCCCCAATGTTTCCTCTAAGTCGCTGTGTATGTCTTTGGTAGACGTTTTTTTCAGACAGAGGTACTCGATGACAGCTCTTATTTCATTTTTCTCCATTTTGATGTTTTCTCTTCGACAGTTCGTATTCAAATGAATGTATCTCCCGGTAATGGTGTCCTATTTATACATTTTTTTGAAGCTGAAGTAGTGGATATATAAGCAAGCAGAAAAATAATAATTTGGGTTTTTGTGCGTTCTAGAAATACTCGATTATCATTACTTATTGATCACCCCTCGTATATATATCTATACTAATATTATAAAGCTGAAGAGTTTGTTTGTTTGTTTGTTTGAACGCGCTAATCTCAGGAACTACTGGTCCGATTTAAAAAAATCTTTCAGTGTTAGATAGCCCATTTATCGAGGAAGGCTATAGGCTATATATATCATCACGCTAAGACTAATAGGAGCGGAGCACCAATGAAGAATGTTTCAAAAACGGAGAAAATTTATTACTATTGAGAGACGCAGACGACGTTGCGCGGGTCAGCTAGTATATATATATATATATATATATATATATATATATATTTTCTAGCTGACCCGCTATTTTTATGAAAAATAGATGTTGGCCGATTCTCAGACTCGAAAATTTCCCGAAAATCGGTCGAGCCGTTTCGGAGGAGTTCAACCACGCACACCGTGTCACGAGAATTTTATACATTAGATATATATAGAAGAATGTTTGTCCGTCAGTGTAACCGCACGTTCGCGCACGAGCGCTCGTTCGGCGTGCACTACCAGCGCGTGCACCTCGGCCTCAAGCTCAGGCCGCCGCGACACGAGCCGAGGCTCCGCGCGCACGTCGTCTGCGAGATATGTGGAAAGAAGTGCATCGTGAGTATACGTCATCATCAACAGCCTTTAACAGTCCACTGCTGGACATAAGCCTCTCCTTAGAAAAGAGGTTTTGGCCTACTATACCAGACGGGTTGGTATAGGGTTTGTTTCAAGTTTTCCTTCTCTTTGCAGTGCTGTTGTCCTGTGTAGTTTGTTCCCTTAGTCGGCTCTTACGGCACCCACGGGATGAATATTGGTTCTGACACCCCGTATTCTTAATCCGTCACCACACGTATGAGGAATGCTCTCAGAGTAGGAAATTATTTCACAGTAGGAGAATAAATTATAACAATACATCATGAAATAGGTTTGTGTTAAAGTTAATTCGTTTACGGTGGGAGAGCCATGCTTCGGCACGAATGGGTCGGCTCGACCGCAGTGATACCACGGCCTCACAGAAAACTGGTGTTAATCAATTCGTTCGTTGCCTTTTACTAAGTGAGTGAGGCTTCCGGAGCCCAAATCCCCCTCCTGCTGACTCGAGCGGACAGAACTCCAAAGGCAGCAACGCACTTGTGACTTTTGAGTTGCAGATATCCATTGGCGGCGATAGTTGCTTACCATCAGGTGACCCGTCTGCTCGTTTGCCCACTTATACCAATAATTATAATTAATATCATAAATTCTTTGCAGTCAAATGCCACCCTAATTTATCACCAAAGAATACATACTGGAGAGAAGCCCTTCCAATGTAACCAGTGTCCGAAAAAATTCAGTGTCTACCAGAGACTTCAGGTAAGGATTTTTAATGTCACATCCTTCCACATCATCAACAGCCTTTAATAGTCCACTGCTGGACATAAGCCTCTCCTTAGAACGGATGATTTGGCCTACTATCCTTCTAACTAATTCCAAAAGGATAATCCTCTGACCAGACGAGGTGATCATGCATGGCGGACCGGGGCTATGGTAGATGTTAGGAAGTTAAAACCAACTCTGTGGGTTCTTAGATGGCGTCAATTCATTTGTATCTCTTGGGTTACGTTTGCCACCTATCAAATATAACACTCAATCCGAGAGGGATTAGCCCTGCCGTCAGGTCCGGTTAAAAGTAACCGGTTATCCGGGTCTTCGGTTGCCCGGATATCTTATATCTTGTACCCATCACATATTTGGCCTGCGAGCGTACCGCACACGGCCGTATACCTAGGTGCATCAGAAGAAATGAATTTGAATAACCCATGTTGATCCATGTTGAGCTGGATGCGAGAAGCCCAAAATCGATCTAAGTGGCGTGCAATGGGAGAGGCCTATGTCCAGCAGTGGACTGCGATAGGCTGATGATGATGATGATGATGATGTTGATCCAACTAATTTGTTACCAGATTCACACCAGGACTCACACCGGTGAGAGGCCCTTCAAGTGTTCTCACTGTCCAAAGGCTTTTAAACACAAAGCTGCATTAAATAGACATGACAGGGTAAGTATCTGTAAGTATGAAAAGTTTAACCTTCCTGAGTCCCTCGTATACAAATCCGGCTCGAAGGACCAAGTAGCAGACATGGACTATGTCTGCTACTTGGTCCTTCGAGCCAGATTGTGTGATATTTTTTATGTATCTCTTTAAACTATACACTATTCATGAATATTTATAGAATTACCGACGTGACGTGAGCTGCAAAATATTTTTTTTTAAGCTATTGCATAGCTTCTATCGCGGGCCTTGAGCGTAGAGAACGAATCCTTTAAATCCGTAACGAAAATAACCTAACACACAGCTGTGATACTTTTTAGTTTTGCCATCTATCGATGAATAGCAGAACTTTTAATGACTTTTTTGAAATATCACGCTTGTCTCTTTAGTTTAGCAACTCGCTTCTAGGTGGCATTGGTTGTATCGGCGTTACTGCGCATGCGTAATCCCCCTCTTCGCCCCGCAATCTGGTGACTCATGCCTGCTTAGAGTTTCGGCGTTAGGGCACCTCCTCTTTGTATTTACTTCATGGTACGACTCTACGAAGCTCGCACGAATCGAGACGAGCTGCTCCGAAATCGGACGAATACGTAATCAGCTGTTTGTAAGAAAGTATATAGGTGTATAGGTATTTATCATCTATGTACAACAGTGAATATCAGTATAATTTGTGTACAAAGTGTTTTAAATATGAATAATCAAAGTGCATTTATTAACGAAAAATAAATCACATCAACAGCCTTTAATAGTCCACTGCTGGACATAGGCCTCTCCTTAGAAAGGTGGTTTTGGCCTACTATACCACGCTGGCCAGATGGGTTGGTATAGGGTTTGTTTCAAGTTTTCCTTCTCTTTGCAGTGCTGTTGTCCTGCGTAGCTAGTTCCCTTAGTCGGCTCTTACGACACCCACGGGATGAATAGGGGTGGTGACACTCCGTATTTTTAATCCAGCAGTGGACTAATAAAGGCTGTTAACGAAAGTCTTAAAAAGTTATTTCCCTTTCAGGTACACACCGGGATCAAACCCTACCAATGCTCCCATTGTTCGAAATCATTCTCACAATCGAACTCCATGAAGCTCCACGTTAAGACTGTCCATCTAAAAATGCCAGCTCCCTACAGGAACAGGCGTAATAATAAAATAGAATAACTAATAGACTCATATATCTATAAGACCGTGGGAGAGTGTTGGCACAAAGTGACTGAGGGAGAGAGAGAGTGGTCGGTCGCCTCGACTGTAGTGATACAGACACCACACTTCACAGAGAACTGATGTTGGTCATTCTTGAGTGAATGAGTTTACCAAACCTCCCCCCCCCCCCCCCCCGCCCTCCCAACAATTCTGGACAGGAATATCGTAGTGTGCTAGGGGGACCGTTCGAGTGTACTACAGCCCCTCTCCCTAATACTGGATAGGAGGACCGTTCGAGTGTGCTGCAATCAAAACTTGACACAAACCCTATACCAACCCGTCTGGCCAGCGTGGTATAGTAGGCCAAAACCTCCTTTCTGACTAGAGGCTTATGTCCAGCAGTGGACTGTTAAAGGCTGTTGATGATAACACTCAAAATTACAGCTTTTTAATAAAACAATTTCTAATATAACCGTTATTAACACTGTGGAGGTCTAAAAGTCATTCCTAATAACAGAAAATATTGAAATAGAATTTATGTACAACGATGTAAATATGTTTTAAATAAATATAAACAATAAAATTACATAATTGTTTAATTTTTTACCGTTCGCGTGGAAGTTGACAATCGCTGCCTTAGTGGTGTAGTAAAGTACGTAAGAACTCAGGTTGGAATCTCGGGTGAGGCAAAGTTTTATAGGGTTTTTTTTTGAGAGGAAAACTAGCTTAAGCTACTCCTTATATAGACAGCTACCTGATAGTAAAATATTATCAATATCGGTCCATCCGTTTTGAAGAATACCCGGAACAAACAGACAGACACAAATAATATTTAAACTGGTTTTTAGGTATACGTATCGTGCAAATAACCGTGTGAGCATGAAAACAACCTATTGACATTACAGACACTAAAATTTTATTTATTTGTATAGATATTGATAATCCATGTAAGGAGTTAAGCAAACACATGGTAAAGTTAAGCAATCCTTGTCAGGTCAGTCTATGGATGGGTGACCATGCTTAAAACATTGAGACCCCTCCGTGCCTCAACACTTTAAGCCTTCCTGGTTCCGGTCGCCACTCGAACATCTGTGGCTTCGATTTTTACGCGAGCGACTACTATCAGGCCACGACCCAAGTACTAGGCGATATTGAAGTTCTGTAGAAATACTTTTGTTGGATTTTAGGGCTCCAAATACCAGTAACGATGGTCACAGTCTTATGGCAACGTGCTCTCCGAAGCACGGAGCCGAGTCACTGACCTGGCTAGAAATTCTTTGATATGATTTATCACAGGTAATAAATCTCAGTAGTGACTAAGGTGAAATCGCTGTGACTAAAATCTGTGAATATGATTTAAAAGTAGCAATAATTTCCAGCACTTTCACTTTCGCATTGGCTGGCCTGTTGGTCTAGTGGTTAGTGATCCTGACTGCTACGCCAGAGGTCGTGGGTTCGATTCCCACCCAGGACAAATAATTGTGTGATGAGCGCGGTCATTTGTTCTGTGTCTGGGTATACTATATATATAATATGTATGTATTTAGAAATATATGTGTATGTCTATCAGCAGTCTGGTTACCATAGTACAGGCTCTGCCTAGTTTGGGATCAGACGGCCGTGTGTGAAATGTGTGAAAATATTATTAAAAAAAATTATTATTATTATTATTATTTCCAGCACACACAACACAGAAATTCTTAACTTTGTAATGTCGTACCAGTAGATGGAATAAAATGACAATTCCCAGTTGTAAAACATAATCACAATAGTAACTAATATACTAATGATTAGGAACACTAGCGCCAGACTTGTGAAAGGTCTGAAAAAAAAAATGGCGTGATCTTTGATATGATTTATCACAGGTAATTAATCTCAGTAGTGACTAAGGTGATATCGCAGTGAATACCTGTGATTATGATTTAAAAGTAGCAATAATTTCCAGCGCTAGTCACCACTTAGCCACGAGATAACCATATCTATACTAATATTATAAAGCTGAAGAGTTTGTTTGTTTGTTTGAACGCGCTAATCTCAGGAACTACTGGTCCGATTTGAAAAATTCTTTCAGTGTTAGATAGCCCATTTATCGAGGAAGGCTATAGGCTATATATCATCACGCTAAGACCAATAGGAGCGGAGCACCAATGAAGAATGTTTCAAAAACGGAGAAAATTTATTACTATTCAGAGACGCAGACGAAGTTGCGCGGGTCAGCTAGTATAATATATACGAGATCGCCTGAGCATTTACACTGACGGATGGCGTAGTGGTTTAAGCGGTCGCCACGCCGGGTGTTGTGGGTTCAAACCCCACATGGACGACACTTTGTTTGTCCCACAAATTGTTGTTCTGAGTCTGGGTGTTCTTTGTGTCCGTTTCATGTATGTCTGTAAAGTCCCCCGCGACACAGGATATATTCCTAATGCGGGTATTGTCTTTTTAAAAAAAATATGTAATACTTTAATTCTTTGTCCAGTATTTACACTTTGGTATCATAACAAGTCAACTTATTTACTGGACACTAGAGTTATGTAGCCGTTTTAACATAATTTTTAACTTTATATCATATATTGATTAAAAATATTAGCTTTGTGCTTTTTTTACCGCCATAACCAACATATACCAGCTAGTACCTTCTACATAAATCCAAGCACCGTCCCAGGTGCTTTTTAATAGGTAATCGTGATCTTATGGTTACGACATAACAAGTAAGCATATTAACCTGAATATCAGACCTCGGCGCGGCCGTGAGTGAAGGCGAACTGGTTTCGTAGTGATGGGAATGTATATCGATATTGTTATCGATATAATAAAACGTATGTTAAAGTTCCGTGTGGTGACGGATTAAGATTACGGTGTGTCACCACCCCTGGTCAAGGTGTCGTAAGAGTCTATTAAGAGAGCAAACAACGCAGGACAACAGCATTGGAAAGAGAAGGAAAACTTGACACAAACCCTATATCTCTGGCCAGCGTGGTATAGTAGGCCAAAACCTTCTAAGGAGAGGCCTACAAACAACAAAACATATCTTTACTTCTGGTATGATATTCTATTATGTTTATTTACCTTCTTGTCATAATTTGTGCACTCTCGGAATACACAGGAAGGCATTTTATGAATTTTCTCGTATTAATTAGATCGTGCGCTTGCTCGCGGTGCTCCTAATTAGGACCTTCATGTTTTGTCCGTTAGTGGCGTATCTACCGCTTGTTTATATAAAATATCATTGGCGGTAGGTCTTCCCATTACTGCGCTCACTCGGTGAATTACGATGCGAAATTTTTTATTTTTTACTTTCACAGTTTAAACACAGACTATGCAGGGATTTTTGGAAATTTCATCCCTAGGAGAAAAACGAAATAAGAAACGCTCACGGGAACGAAGCCGCGGGGAAAAGAGACATAAATAAATATCGATAACAATGTCTCGTGCGCTGCACAACACTATAACTCCAAATGATTCGATAATTGACATCAGTTTATATCGATCTCTGTAACTCTATACACATGTTATTTACCAACAGTGATTTTTTAAATTGTGTCAGTGGTTTTTTTGGATTATTTAATTTTGTACACACCCTTATCCCCAAAGGGGTGGGCAGAGGATCATTTGTCTTTGTCAAAGTTATTGTACATCTGTAAAAGATATACGTACAGATATATACTTGTCTGTAATATGGGAAGGCTCGTCTGAATTTTGATAACGAAATTTACTAAATAAAGTCCCGTCTAGTCCAAAACCAGTTCAGGGATTCCCCGAAATCTATACAGGCCGGTTGGCCGAGTGGTAAGCGACCCTGACTGCCAAGTCAGAGATCTTGGGTTCGAGTTCCTCCCAGGACAAATAATTGTGTGATGAGCATGATCAATTGTTCTGTGTCTGAGTGTAATCTTATATATAAAATTCTCGTGTCACAATGTTCGTTCGCTTAACCGATTCTCATGAAATTTTGTGTGCACATCGGGTAGGTCTGAGAATCGGCCAACATCTATTGTTCATAACCCTAAATGGTAAGGGTGACCCATCCCTTTTTTTTTTTGTTTTGCAATACAACGTTTACCGGGTCAACTAGTTTATCTATAATATGTATGTATTTAGTAATATATAAGTATGTTTATCAGCAGTCTGGTTACCGTAGTACAGGCTCTGTCTAATGCTAATCTTATGAATGTGGAAGTTTGAATCCATGGATATTTGTGGTTTTTATTAGGCATGGGACAAACCCACAGTGAACTGTGAAAGACCAGTGATTTATCATTCGAGTTTTTTCATACCCAGGTTAGGGTGCGTGTGGTGACGGATTAAGAATACAGAGTGTCACCACCCCTATTCATCCTGTGGGTGTCGTATGAGCCGACTAAGGGAGCAAACTACGCAGGACAACAACACTGCAGAGAGAAGGAAAACTTGAAACAAACCCTATACCAACCCGTCTGGCCAGCGTGGTATAGTAGGCCAAAACCTCCTTTCTAAGGGGAGGCCTATGTCCAGCAGTGGACTATTGAAGGCTGTTGATGATGATGATGATAATGATGATGATGAGGTTAGGGTTACTACTCACTCACGCGTTGTTGCCAATAAGCTGTTTTCAGACGATGCATAAAGACCCTATTTCGCCTATTTAACAGTTAATCTAGTATTTATTTTATTATATATAGCTATCATTCCCTACATAATCTATACTAATATTATAAAGCTGAAGAGTTTGTTTGTTTGTTTGTTTGAACGCGCTAATCTCAGGAACTACTGGTCCGATTTGAAAAATTGTTTCAGTGTTAGATAGCCCATTTATCGAGGAAGCTATAGGCTATATATCATCACGCTAAGACCAATAGGAGCGGAGCACCAATGAAGAATGTTTCAAAAACGGAGAAAATTTATTACTATGGAGAGACGCAGACGAAGTTGCGCGGGTCAGCTAGTAATTTAGAAAATACTAGATTTACTGTTAAATAGCGTCTGACCTACCTAGAACTCTAACCTACGTTCGCAAAAATCGAACAGTTCACTATGATTTTGTCCTATGTCTATGGTTCATTTACGATAGAGCGGCTTAACGGGACTGGATGACATTTTGGACAGAGATAGATTATAATCTGAAGCAAATAAATATAGCTATAGATATATATATATATATATATATTGACGACCGGATGGCGTAGTGGTTTGTGTAACGGACTGCTATTTACAAGGTCGCGGGTTCGATTCCCGCTCAAGTCAAACGTTTGTGTGCATGAACATTTGATGTTTGATTTGGTCTGGGTGTTTCTATGTATAATATGTATGTATTTACAAAAAAAAAAAGTATATATGTATTTATATCAGTTGTCTAGTACCCATAGTACAAGCTCTGCTTAGTTTGGGACTAGATGGCGTTGTGTGTATGTGGTAGAATATTATTATATTATTATTATTATATATATATATATATATAGAGTAATAGTAAGTTAAAAAGTATAGATAATAGTTAAATAGAACACTTGAATAAAATTTTATGTCTTAAATACAAACGTAGAATAGAAAGCGGATAAGAAACTGACGAAAAAAAATCAAAGTTTTCTTTTAAAACTGTAAGTGAAAAGTGTTTTGAAATGGCGGAAGTTTCAACAATGACCACTGATGAAGAATATTCTGAAGGCGTCAGGATGTTAATGGTACGTTGTATTTAAACATATTTTTAACGTGTTTTTTTTTTTATGGAACGAAGTTTCTTATAGGACGGTGTAGCGACAAGGATTTCAGAAGAAAAAGCGTACGTTACGAAAATCCGTTAGTAGCTATCTCTCTCGCTCTGCATTAATTGCCTGCATTTAATATAAGGATTTTTTAAATAAAAAATAGCTGCCTTTCTTTAAAAAATTAGCTGTAATTAATTAACAAATCAACTTATGTTTATATATAATAAACTAACTGGAACTCACAAACTCACAGTAAATACTCTTTATTAAAAGTAATAAAAAAACATCATCATCAGCCTATCGCAGTCCACTGCTGGACATAGGCCTCTCCCATTACACGCCACTTAGATCGATTTTGGGCTTCTCGCATCCAGCTCCTGCCAGCCATCTTGCGCAAATCGTCACTCCACCTGGCCTGTGGGCTTTCCACACTACATTTTCCGAGATGCTGTCTCCACTCAAGAACTCATTTTCCCCAACGGTTGTCGGTTCTACGGCTATTAACAAAACATTGTCAATTTTTTTTTTAAACTCTTTTTAAACTATCCTTATTAGTGATTAGATGGGGTGGTTATACAATAGGGTTGGAGTACATTCCATAATTCCAAAGATTTGTAATGTGACGTCATATCTTCCACCCGTGGGAAGCCGGGGCGGGTCGCTAGTATTTTATATTTTTAGGGTTCCGTACCTCAAAAGGTAAAAAAGGAACCCTTATAAGATCACTTTCTTGTCCGTCTGTCCGTGTGTCACCACCGATTTTCTCAGAAACGGGTAGACTTAACAAGTTGAAATTTATACCAGATGCTAAGATCTATTGTCCCTATTAGATATATAAAAATCAAGGTCCTGAGTCAACACGCCCAACAGCCCTATAGGTTTTGGGTCGAAAACCTATGTGGTAGTTCCCGTTGACCTAGAATCACGAAACTTGGCAAAAAGAAACGTCTTACAGCACAAATAAAGGAATAATTCCAAACAATAAAAAAAAAAAAACAATAAGATAAATTTTGATATTTACAAATTTTATTTCTGTGTAGTGACGGATTAAGAATACGGAATGTCACTACCCCAATTCATCCCGTGGGTGTCGTAAGAGCCGACTAAGGGCGCAAAACAACGCAGGTCACCAGCACTGCAAAAAGAAGGAAAACTTGACACAAACCCTATACCAACCCGTCTGGCCAGCGTGGTGTAGTAGGCCAAAACCTCCTTTCTAAGGAGAGGCCTATGTCCAGCAGTGGACTATTAAAGGCTGATGATGATGATGATGTGGATGATGAAATTTTATCTTAATTTACGGAACCCTCGGCGCACGAGTTCGACTCGTACCTGACCGGTTTTATTTACTGTTTAGTTCCTATTGACATCTACTTAACATTGGAAATTACCTTGACATTTTAATAGCTATAGGCATTGGACCTTGAAGGCGCGAAAGCAACGCTCTTAAATTTATATGTGTGTTTTATGATAATGTTTATTGGTCTAGTGGTTAGTGACCCTGACTGCTAAGCCGGAGGTCGTCGGTTTGATTCCCACCCAGGACAAATATTGTGTGATGAGCACGGTCATTTGGTCTGGGTCTGTATAATATGTATGTATTTAAAAAGAATACGTTTATCAGCAGTCTGGTTACCATAGTACAGGTTCTGACATATTTTTGACTGTGAGATATTTTTATTATATTATTAAATGACCTCTCACTCTGAGAGGTGATTATTATATTTACTAGCTGTTGCATTATCAGCGAGTAACATAGGCTTTTTACCGCGATAACCAACACACACGCGGGCGGAACAGCGAACAAAACCTACTATAATATATTTTCATGTGATGTCGCAAACTTCCTTCGAGACTTGCTTATGATTTAATGTCTTTTCAGTTGAATCTACCTGAAGATGAGGGCGAAGGTCTTGGATTCCGGCTCACTCGGACCCTCTGGGATCCGTACCCATGGGTAATTACTTTTTATGAATAAAACTATTAAAAAAATAGGGTTAAGTCTTCACTAACACCATCTAGCGGATGTACTTTGAACTATTTCTGACAGGTTACTCAGGCCTGACTGAAAATCGCTGTTATATTAAGAAATTCTTTTGTTTCTCACTCCTCCCTTTAGCTTGGGTGGAGGTACACTGGAGGCAACAATGCACCTGTGACTTTTGAGTTCCAGATGTCTATGGGAAGTGGTGGTTAATTACCATCAGGTGTGTGCCATAACAAAGTCTAAACAGCGCCGAAATCTTACAGTATAAGTTCTATTATTTGAGAGTTGACATTCTAAAATGAACCTTTTCTTTAATGCAGGTGCGTGAAGTGACCTCTAATTCGCGAGCAGACACAGCTGGTTTGAAAACAGGGGATTGTCTTCTCCAGGCTGACGGGAAGGATCTCTTAGGAATGCCGGTGAGTTTAAAAAACGTATATTTGTAATATCATTTCTAGTCTAATACGTTTAATGTAGAGATTGGGTGTCCGTGTGGTGATGGATTAAGAATACGAAGTGTCACCACCCGTATTCATCCCGTGGGTGTCGTAAGAATCGACTACAGGAGCAAACTACGTAGGACAACAGCACTGCAAAGAAAAAGAAAACTTGACACAAACCCTATACCAACCCATCTGGCCAGCGTGGTTTATTAGAATAAAACCTCCTTTCTAAGGAGAGGCCTATGTCCGGCAGTGGACTACTAAAGGCTGTTGATAATGATGATGAATATTTAATGTTTGATTTGGTCTGTGTTTCTATGTATAATATCTATGTATTTACAAAAAAAAGTATATATGTATTTATATCAGTTGTCTAGTACCCATAGTACAAGCTCTGCTTAGTTTGGGACTAGATGGCGCTGTGTGAATGTGGTAGAATAATATTATTATGTTATTAATTTATTATATTTTTAACATACACTTTTTCAAAAAAATCAAATCAAATCAATAATTTGCAGGACAACAGCACTGCAAAGAGAAGGTAAACTTGACACAAACCCTATATCAACCCGTCTGGCCAGCGTGGTATAGTAGGCCAAAACCTCCTTTCTAAGGAGAGGCCTATGTCCAGCAGTGGACTGTTATAGGCTGTTGATGATGATGAAATCAATACTTTAAAAATAATATGTTATTATTAAAATGTATGTTATCAAGGTAGGACAAATCGCTGGGTTGATAAGAGGAGACGGCGCCGGCCGCGCCGTGACTCTCCTCGTTTGGAACTGCGGAGTCGACCCTAGAGATGACCCTGAGGTATTAGTTTCCACCAGTTCTTATTCAGTTACCATGCTTACGATTCTGATAAAAATAACATTGAATATACCTACACTAATCTATATATAGGTATAAACGAAGAAACTGAGAGACTGATTCTCTGACTGTTCGATCAACGCACAGCTGGACACAGCTTCCTTGGGTGACGTAGGTGTGCACTAAGATACCTGGTTCCCCGGCTATTATAGTCCATCAACGTCGTGCGCGACCGTCCTGCGGGGTAACAGACGGTGGCGGGGACGAGGTACTTAAGATGTCAGCGGGTAGCGGGTGGTGTAGCGGGGAAGGGAAACGCGATAGGCACACTTCTCTTCGTGTGTAGCCGTGTGCTAGAATGACGCGCTACCTCGCCCCCGCCACTGTCTGTCACCCCGCGGGACGGTCGCGCACGAGATTGCCGGGTTATAGTACCCGAGACGGCGTGCGGTTTTAGTCGGTTCGAGTCCGACATGCCAACGATAGGTGGTATCCGAGGGGATTTCCGCACGGAAAAAAAAGGTGTGCACTAAGAAATGATTCTTAAAAATTCACCCCTAAGGGTTCAAAATGGGGGTTGTAAATTTATATGAAACTTTATTATTTTTGGTAGTATCGTTTTCAAACTCACAGTAAATACTCTTTTGTTTGTATCTTCTTTTATACATATACCTAAAACCTTGATTTATTGTATCTTCTACGATGTCTGATATCGACCACCACACGGACGAAGTCGCAGGCATAAGGTGGTATATATTATTGTTACGAGCGGCGTAAATCTATATCTATCTATACAAATAAATAAAATTGGAGTGTCTGTTTGTAATATTAAAATAACCGCTTTTTACTAAATGCATATGTATGTTTACACGGTACATATGCCAAAATAACATTTTTCACAATTTTTGTCTGTCTGTCTGTTTGTTCCGGGTAATCTCTGGAACGGCTGGACCGATTTCGACGGGACTTTCACTGGCAGATAGCTGATGACATAAGGAGTAACTTGGGCTACTTTTTTTAGACTAAGTTCGCCCCGTGGCGTTGCCCGCGGTTATAACAACAAACGCGGGTAACACCGCGGGTCTCAGATAGTAATAAATAAAAGTTGTCGGTTAATTACTTTATTTCACTGTATTTACAAACACTCACTATAACTAACAAGAAATCTCTATATAACTCGTTAGTCGCACTAGAAATTCACTTCGATGTTAATTCGCTGTGTCGTAAAACGATTCTGTGTCGAACGGCCAACACGCTCCGCTTTTATGGCGCCTTTGAATTTTACTAGAAAGTCCTCTAGTATTCGATAGTAAATTCCAGACAAACAAGAATATTCCAGAATCAGTCACGTGTTACTTGCAGCGCCATCTAGCGCAGTTAGGATCAGAACTACTCTTATTAACCACAATCTCAATGGATGTACTTTAGTCGATACTAGATGGCGCATTTAATCCTATGGCGCAACATTATATTATATTAAAGCAAAAAATATTTTCATTTTATTGTTTCCTCGTTTAAATGTAATCTCTTTAAAACGTAAGTATTTTTTTTCGCATATGACAGAATGTTGTTTGAAGAAAGTTATAGACTAATATCACGCTATGGACCGTAAGAGATGGGCAGTGATAATTGGTTGATATAACTCAATATGAATATTCAATATTCTTGAACTTAATTACACACATTGTTTAAATAAATCAGTTTCTTCTGCATAGCAATACTTTTCAAATTCGTCCACCGAGGGTTCCGTACAAATTTGTAGGGTACAAATTATCATAAATCGATACTATTCATCATAAAAATTTGCAAAAATCTGTTTAAGTTTGTGCATGGAGCCCGATTTTATACGATACCCAACATGACACGGTCAACTCAATTCAACATTTGGACCGCCGCGCGTCGTCCCTTGCATAAAGACCCTGCTTTTTTTATAATTTGATTACAAATTTATAGTTTTAAATTTTTTCCCTATATTTGTAGTATAGGACGGTATTACTTGCCAAATTTCATAGTTCTAGGTCAACGGAAAAACTCTATATATTTTTATTCCGTGTCGAAATACCTATACGTTTTTTTGCGGCATAAACGGTCGCATATTTTTTTTACGTTAACTTAGAAGTTTGATCAGCTACCAAAATTTCAAGTTTATACGTTTAGGGAAACGCTACTACCAAAAAGTTTTATATAAGTAGTTTTATTTAACTGTAAAAGAAAGTAAAATTTATAAAATCCTTTCTTAGTGCTCACCTAGGGAACATTTGTGCTGAATTACATGCTTCAAGACCCAACGGTTTTAGCTGTGTGTTAATGGATCAGTCTGTCTGTCTGTCTTCTTTTATAGATATAGATTATTTCATAGTACGTGTGTTGTCTTAGCTTCTCTGGAGTTGTGGCGGCGGAGTCAGAGGTGAGAAGGCGAGGAGAGCGTTAGCCGGAGTTGTCAAGGCCCTGGCTTGTTCTGTCTGCGCATCAACTGCTACGAAACCGCTGACATGTGCCAGATCACATATATATTGCGAACGTAAGTAAATGACAGGACTTAATGTTACTCGTATCTTATACACTCGAGAGATAAGTAATCAGTCAGGTCGTAATAAATATTCGTTCAAAATGTTCACTTGACTTGGCCGGAGCGAGGAGTGTCCCGCGCCGTGTTTACTCCTTCTTATATGCGCCTCGTCCTCCATGTAACGAACGTACATAGTCGTATATATACAGAAATAATTGATCTTTCTTTTAGTTCGTTATTTTTAAATGTCAAACAAATACAGAAAAACATATGACGTCACAAGTCATTATGCCAAACTGACTTAAGGTTTACAAACTTTCTGTTTGACGTTTAACAACAAAAAAACTCATTTGACGTTTTATAGACTATTAATTATTTTCTCAGCTTGCTGGATGAGGCTGGAGCGTTGCGCATTGTGCCGAGAGTCTCTGCCTTCTAAAGCATCTCCGTACGCAAGAAACTTAGTCGCGGAACAGGTATGTACACTTATTTATAGGTAAGTAAACTGTTTACTTGTAGCTTACCCATAAATACGAGATAGAAAAAGTTTCTAGTTTTTTTTTTTTTTACTTTTCCTTCTTTAACGAGAATTAGCAACAATGGCTAACAATTGCGAGGCCCCATGTAGGTAGTTCATTGCTAGACCCTTAATTCTGTGGAATTACTTTTGATGATGATGGTTGAAACAAATAATGATAAGCATAAGCCGACGACAGTCAACACTGGAAGCCTGTCAAAATGACAGGTGTCAAATCGCCGTTGTTGAGCGAGTGCCCGAGGCCATTGCATGAGCGGACCCGAGCATTGCCGTGCTTGCCACCCCCAAAGGCCGCCCCTGACCAGCAATAATTATCGTGGCCTTGTGAGTTGATGTAATGTCTGAAATGGTAAACGGTCTTGGCTGTTGTTTTTTTGGCAGGCTTCGTGTTTTTTTATGACCTGATGATAAGTGACTACCACCAACCATAGTTCCATTCAACTTAAGGGTAACAAGTTCACAAGCAAAGAGACCGGGTTTGGACTTGAGGAATCTCTGTAACCTAAAAGGCAGGCAGAAAAAAATTACCTCATACCAGTATTCTGAGAACGTGGTATCACTACAGTTGAGCCGGCCTATTTGTGCTGAAACATGACTCTTCCAGTAAAAAGGGATATTGTAATACTGTAATATGACAACTTTAACTTTATTTTTGTTTCAGGTTTTTGAGGCGATAGCAACAGAATACGAACTAAAAAATCCAAGGCCAAAACCTCTTACTCAAACCACTTCTGCATACTCATCACCGAACCGCTCACCAAACTTATCACCATCACCGAGCAGGAGAGGGCAATATCAACACTCTATGATAAGGCACAAGAAAATAGTTCATTTCCCTGAAAAATTCGGACAAATATATGCCTCTGATCCTAATATCCACAGATCTGTTCAAAATACAGAACATCAACAGTCAGCTAATCCTACTGTTTTGGTAGAAAATTCTTGCACTGCCAATTCAAGTAAGAGCGGGAATTGTAGCTGTCAAAATGGAAACGAAAACAGCAATAATAAAAATGTACCACAAATTAAAGTTGAAAATGCCGAAGATGGGAGCAAAACTGGACATGCTAACAGTGATTGTTCTTCAAGCTGTCAAAGTTTGACAATACCCCACAAACTTGTTGCGAGGTTGAGGCAAGCGTGCTCACTCGCTGATTTGCAGAATGTTGCGGTACAATGCCCTCTGTCAAGGTCATTAAATAGCTTGGGTGACCATAGGTAAGTGTTTCTTTTTATACTGCCAGGATGGCGCAATGTTATTTTTATCTCGCCACTACGTCTTGTTGTAGGTTTGAATCCTACGAAACAATTTTCAACCCAAGTCAAGCCACCTTCAGTTTGTTTTAGCCCTATAATTTCTAATTATAACTGTATATTTATTTTAGTGTCATCTTAATAAATATTTAAAAACTATAAATATGAAAACAATGTACAGTCCTTTATGTCAGAAACAGGTACCCATAACTCAATTTAAATATTACCGTGTACCAGAGCTGGACTATATCAACGTATATTATTCTAAACTATGGACTATCAGTATATAAAACTATCTAATATGTTATAGCAGAAACAATGTACTAAATTAGGCGTTAATACATACTCGTATTAGTTATTATATTTTTTCTTGTTTATTTGCTTGTTACAGCAAACATGAACACCACGGCTCCCTGGACAACTTGAAGACTCTCAGCAATAATATTTGTGGTAAATATATAGTTATTTTAGATTCTAGATGATGAAAATTCTTAGTGGTTATTAATTATTCAGAATGATAATAAATAGGATTATAGAAAGGAATTTTATTACACAAGTTTTACAGATACCAGTGTTAAGCTTTTCTTTGATAGCTTTTCACCAAATGAGTGAGGTTAGGGGAGGTCCCCCTTCCTTATTCTGGAGGGAGGGAAGGGGGCACTCAAAGGGTGGCAACTTGTGTCTCTTAAATTGCAGGTGTCCATGGGCGACGGTAGTCACTTACCAAAACCTGTAAAGAATGTAAAGATTGTGTGTGTGATTGTAAAGAAATAAAAAGTTGAAAAAAACTAAAACAAAGTTTGTCTTTTTCAGATTCCCAAGTATTCCTTCTGTCTGCGCCACCCATATATGTGTTAGCCTGCAACCACAACCAAAACTAATGCCGTTTATATTACCACGTGTTGTTCTAGTTTTAGTAAATAAATAACTGATTTAATCTATATCTGTATTTTTATTATACGTTTCTTTTATACCCCATTTAGTAAAAACTATTTTGAAGTGATTTAAAAAGCAGCCAACTAAAGATATTCATCATCATCATAAGCCTATCGCCGTGCACTCCGGCGAGGCCTTAGTTCAAGGAGCGACAACTATCCCTGTCTTACCTAATCGTGGTCACCACTCCAGCACATTTCAGCTGCAGAACCATCAGTCTGTCTGGAGACATGACCGTCTGAATATTGTTCGAAATTATTTAACGTTTCCAATTCTCACAATCTTAATTCTCTTTTACCTTGGGAGAGCCATGCTTCGGCACGAATGGACCGGCTCGACCGGAGCGATACCACGGCCTCACAGAAAACCGGTGTTAAGCAATTCTTTCGTTGCCTTTCACTGACTGCTTCAGGTTACCGTAGTCTGAATCCCCCCTCCCGCTGACTCGAGCTGGGAGACTCCAAGGGCAGCAACGCACTTGTGACTTTTGAATTGCAGGTGTCCATGGGCGGCGGTAGTTGCTTACCATCAGGTGACCCGTCTATTCGTTTGCCCCCTTAAAATATAAAAAAAAAATCTTAATGAGGTATACCTGCCATTTTTTTATTAATTTAAAAAGCCGACGAAACCAACATCATTCTCAATGTTATTAAAGCTCTATTAATCAGTTTGGTAGATTTTTACTTGACAACTCTGTATATCATGGTAGAATACTTCCAACAGATGGCAAGAGAAAAATATGAGCAATCTGTCAGTAACTGTCACTGTCAGATGACACTTGCCAATAATCGTCTTGTCTGTTATTTTTGTTATTGTTTTTAATAGATTCGTTATAAATGGTAGTTTTTTAATATTTTCCAAGCATTTCAGTACTAAAAAAAGTTTTCTATATGTATTTCTTTCTTATCAACCATCTAAAGGCCGTCTGACACACTATTTTTAATAAATATCGTTGTAATTCCACATAATTGTGATGTCGAATGAGAATAATCAACCCAAATTGCTTCCCCATCATGAACAGAAGGAATTATGTACTTCTAGAGCACCGTACCGTCAGGGACGAAAGCTAACCGCGGTAAAAGTAAGTAGTGCAGGTTGTCTTTACCTTACAATAAAAAAAAAAAACAATTAAGTTTTTAATTTTTTAGAAAAATTGCCCGCCATCTTTCAAACAACTATCCAAACTTTGGATAGTTGTATACATTGAGTTAAAACAACACTAGAGAAGCAAACCTCATTATCACACGTCGAAAAAAGTGTAACCACTTTTTGAACTTTGACGACGTAGCTTTGATACCACTAAACATTTGAAAGTAAACATATTTATGTCTCATTTACACGCGAGACAAGAACAATACCATCGCTCGGATTAGACAAGACAAAGATATAACTTTACGATGGTGGGCCAGTGTTGACTACCGTATGAAATTTTACCCATAACAACTAAGAAACAAATTTTTTTAAAAACTGTGATAAACTTGTGATAAAATAAATTGATTTAAATATTCTAAATAATATATTTCGAATTGAATAGAATAGGTATAAATAATAAAATAAATGGAAATATGTGGTTAAAAGGGTTTATATTCAGTGTAAAATCAAACTGCGCTGTGAAGCATCAGTTTTGTATACAATTGTCTTTTAGACTCTTTTTTATAAGTTTGTGTGGATATTTTTACTTTCATGATACAATCTTATTTTTACGTATGTAAAAATAATAGCATTTAATAGTAAAAGTGAATGATCAACTTGTACTGATAATAAATAATCCCCAGGGTGTATTGCAAATTCTATTATAATTTAAAAAACAAATAAAAAAAAAAAAAAATTTATTTTTATTTTATAAAAAAATTATTTATGTTTATTTACTTTTTTATTTTATATTTTTATTTTTATGATAAACATTTATTATTATTATTATTATTTTGTACAATTATTATTTAAAATTGATAATAAATTAAGAAAAACAATGAATTAATTTTTTTGTACAAAAGTCTCCAGCACTGCGAGCTTGGCACTTCTGCCAAGCTCGCAGTGAACGTTCAACGGGTCCCTAAAAAAAGGGATCGGTCCAGCCCTAACAACTACCGTTCTTCCTATATTTTATTATTATTGGCAAAATGTTTAAAAACAGTATAAAGAATATTATTTCATAAATTATAAATTCTCCCACTAATGTGGGAAAACCAAAATGATTTTTTAATGGTAACACTGATTCTAAATTACAATTATCAGTGTTTTATTTCAATTATAGCCTTATTTACGATATTATCAATACAAAAACCATAAACTTACACGTGAAAAGTAATTCCGCATGATTTATTAATGTTTTGTGACCTTGAATCGCATTCTTTCACTACGCATTTAGCCATTTTGGCGATTGTTACTGTCATGTGTCGCTATGTTCAACTCGGTTGACGCCACATTGAATAATGAATTGACGTTTGCTACGCATATGCCTGTGGACATATGTGCAGTAGCAACGATTTTAGGCGGTAATTACTCATCTATGTAAGTATTATATCAATGGTTGTATACCAAAGAAATATAATAAACAAAGTGTAGGCTTACATATGCTTTTGAAATTAAATTCAGTTTTTTAACCAATTTGTCTGTTTTTTTTTGTATGTTACGCGATATCTCCGTCAATTGCGGATGGATTTTCAAAATTCTTTTTGTAATCGAAAGGGTATACTCCCGAGGTGGTCCCATTACCATCAAATCAGGATATGATGATAGGATCCTAGAGAAATCAAGGGAAACCTGAAAATTTTAGAGCCTCAACAACATGTTTTTGCTTATTTTTCTTTAGCTTTATAGGTATTTGCGTTTAGTAGTCATTATTACTTTGACAAATAATTGTCCTAAATTCTTGTTATACTGTATTTTATTCAGCAACCATTTTACTAGTATTGCATTTATTTTTAACTAGCTGACCCGCGCAACTTCGTCTGCGTCTCTCAATAGTAATAAATTTTCTCCGTTTTTGAAACATTCTTCATTGGTGCTCCGCTCCTATTGCTCTTAGCGTGATGATATATAGCCTATAGCCTTCCGCGATAAATGCGCTATCTAACACTGAAAGAATTTTTCAAATCGGACCAGTAGTTCCTGAGATTAGCGCGTTCAAACAAACAAACAAACTCTTCAGCTTTATAATATTAGTATAGATGATAAACATCAGTTTTCACATAAAATTTAAACCATTAAACATAAATTGAATAAAATCTTAGATTAATTATCAAATTTTGGAATGTTAACAGTATACAAATGATCCACCTTATTCTTAGAGAATAAACTGCAACAATTTTAAAAAGGTGGAAATTATTTGTGTATATATTTTGCCACTTGAGCAAAATAATTAATCAATTAATTATTTAATGCAATTATTTTTGTTTCTTACCTCGGAACTCTTTCATTATGAAGCAACTTATAAAATTCTTATTTTATTTGGAAAGTTATACATCCCGTATGGTCGAATTCAAACTTAAAACAAAAATAACACCTCTAATCTATGCAAATAAATAAAATTGAATTGTCTGTTTGTAATGTCAAAATAATAGGTTTTTTTCATGCTTACACGGTTATTTGCACAATACCTATGCCTAAAAACCAGTTTAAATATTTATTGTCTGTCTGTCTGTTTATTCCCGGTGATCTTTAAAACTGCAGGACCGATTTTGATAATATTTTACTACCAAGTAGCTTACTTAGGCTATTTTTTTCTCTCAGAAAAACCCTATAAAATTTTGCCAGGTCCGGGAATCGAACTCACTACGGCAGCACTTTTCAAATTTCATGAGAACGAAGTCACAAGCACCAGCTAGTAGTTTAATATGAAGGAATGTTATATACAATTTATTACAATAATTCATAGGGAATCATTCAAATCGGTGATCATTTTTAAATATATAAATATTTAATAATTACAGGTATACACAATCAATAATGAATCAAAACACCTCTTAATATTCGGAGTACCATCTTTGAATCTACGTCAAGAAACAAAGGCATTATTCATGAAATTCGGTAAAATTCTTCAGTTCAACAAAACTGATTACCCATCTGAACAATTTACGGAAACATTTCACGCTGTTTACGATACCATCAACTCTGCTAGAATAGCAAAGAAAATGTTAGACACAAAGAATTACTATGGAGGTAATCTACACATATGTTATGCACCAGAGATGGAGACAGTGGAAGATGTTAGAGAAAAAATGTTGTTACGTAGAAAACAGGTGATTGGTAGATTGAAAAATTTAGACAGGGAAGCAGAGTTATCTAGACAGGTTATAGAAAATAAGGTTGAAGAACGCCTGCATGATATAAGAGGGGATATTTTAGGTAAAGATGGTAATTCTGAAAGTATTGAAAAGATGAATATGGGTACTGAAAATACAATAATTTTCGGTAAACGGAAAATGGATGATATAAAAAAGAAATATATAAAAAAACATAAACTTAGTGATAAAATTGTAAGTATTAGTAATTCTGAAGTAAAATATACCAAGACAAATGATATTGTATCAAATAATAGTAATGGAAATTCAGAGTCGGCCATTTTGAATGCGGGGCCTAGTACCACAGATAAAAGACTAAATGATGTAGAGGTTATTGATTTCACTTCGCCTCACACGGAAGTCTTATCAAATATAAATGAAGCGTTAAATTATAATAATTTTGGTACAGATATAATAAAAAAAGTACCTTATAAGCCTGTGAATAGAATTAAGTTTAATGTGAATAAAAAATCTTGATGGAATTTAACTTTTTTAAATGTTCTACTCTTCCTGTGCATCTATTAACAAATTTTCAAAGATGTGGCAAAAAAAATCCTTTAATGCATAGTAACCATTGTGATAGTAGCCACTTTTATCATGGAATGGACCTACGCGACCAGACCTCTTCTCATTCCCGCGCAGTTTCACATCCATCTAATCCCCTTCTCTTAATTAAATGAACATTATTTCTTTGCCTTGTCGCTAAACGACCACATTCTCAAGAATAGTTAGGGTCAGACACGTGGCAGGCCATTAAAATCAGCCAAAAACTTAAGCATCATCATCATCCACAGTCGTGAATAGTCCACTGCTGGACATAGACTCTCTTTAGAAAGGAGGTTTTGACCTACTATACCACTGGCTAGACGGGTTGGTATATGGTTTGTGTCAAATTTTCCTTCTTTTTGAGGTGCTGGTGTCCTGCGTTGTTTTACGCCCTTAGTCGGCTCTTACGATACTCACGGGATGAATTGGGGTAGTGACATTACGTAATCTTAATCCGTCACTACACGGATAATAAATCTTGATCATTAACCAGTAGGGATGGTATAAAATCACAATCACATGTGATGAGTCATATGATTACCCATATGGTTTGCTCCCTTAGTCGGCTCTTACGACACCCAAACCCCACCCAAAAACCATTTCACATATTTAGTCAACCTCAACTAGAATAAATAATTTATTTTTGTCCTGATTGTTATAGTTAAACCGCCCTAAGCTTGGCCCTCCTGATGGTTTGCGGGACGCGGGGCGGGTGATGCGCTCGGCTATACATGACACGATGTACTAACTCGATATCTTCAGATTTATTTGTTTGAGATTTAATCTACACACGATGTAAAAAAAATCGAATTTATTTCCATGTATTATAATGTCAGTGTATTGTAAGTTTTTATGATTAATTGTAAAATTAAATACTGTAAAATAATTTTAATAAAATCACCTTATCTTCATTATGTAAATTATATTCAGTTACAATTTAAAAATTAAGTAAAATAATAAATATTCTTTATTAGAACTTTAACAGTAGAACCTCTGTAAGCCGAACTTCAAGTTTTTAAATCTTTTTGTGACGCAGAGTCGGCAGATTATCCATGTTGCAAAATAATACCGTGTGTAGCAGTCTTAAGAAAAATAACACGTACAGCCATGCTTTCACGTCATTCACTGCCGGCAGTGGCCGGCAGACAGCGACGCACTAGTTAATTGGTTGAATGCACCCCCGCCCCGCGTCCGCCAAGGAGGGCCAAGTTTACGGCGGTTTTACTATAAGTCATTATCCTCCGAGCCTTTTCCTAAACTAGGTTGAGTCGGCTTTCAGTATACTACGATACGGCTTAACTTTGATTTTTTACGTTGAGCGACTGCTATCATACCTCCAAAACCCAAGTACTACCGACATAAAAGTTTTACGACATAAAAGACTGTTTTTTTAATGGACCGATCCCTCCCACGCGCCCACCACTGTAACTCCTGTACCAGGATCAACAGCAGTGACCCAAGAACACACCCAGTTTGACAGTCGAGAAGTCTCAAGAAAAAAAATTAACTGTCTTGGAACCCGCAACTAAATTAATCAGAAGATAATTGGTGAAGTATAATAAATCCACTTCCCTCCTTATCAAAGCAGGAGACAAAATTAAGTAAAATAGGCATACACCCTTTTAAACAGGGAAGCACCACGGCCACAAAATATTATGGGTCCTTAGTGAGCTATATTTCAGAGCAGAATCACCTAAACGCACGGAAATTCACCCTAGTTGACACAAGAGCCCCATAGTATACCGCCCCAGATATCACTTGTAAGCTATTCAGCATTATATTACGTTCATTATACCAGAAACTATATACCCAGATACCAGGGACTACTACTATGCAGATAGACTGTTGTCAGACTTTTTAGGGCTCCAAGTAGGAGTAACGATTACCGCAGTTGTTCGTAGACCCCTCCGTACCTCGGAGAGCACGTTAAGCTATCGGAGCTTAACGTGCTCTCCAAGGCACGGAGTATGTCGAGGCACCAGGGACTTCCTTTCTAGGGTATACCTGGTTCCCCGGCTATTAGTACCCGAGACGGCGTGCGGTTTTAGTCGGTTCGAGTCCGACATGCCACCGACAGGTGGTATCCGAGGGGATTTCCGCACGAAAAAAAAAGGGGTACTTAAACAGAAAACAACATTTAAGACTTATATTTTACATGATTACAGTAATAGTCGTCTTTGGTCTTAGAAACTACTCCTCCTCGGGATATTCTTCTGCCACTTCTTCTTGTTCATCGAACTCTCCATCGTCCACTCCTACCTCCTGTAACAACCATAGATTTATTACCTAAGGCGTTCTACCATCCGTAACTTTGACCTGTTGATCTGGTGGTTGGCGATCCTGACGGCTAAGCTGGGTTTGATTTCCACCCAGGACAAATATTGTGCGATGAGCACGATCATTTTTTGTGTGTGGCTGTAACTTTTCTATAAAATGTATGTATTTAGAAATATATGAGTATGTTTATCAGCGGATGGGTTACAATTGTACAGGCTCTGCCTAGTTTGGGATCAGACGGCCGTGTGTGAGATGTGTAACAAAAAAAAAAACGACGGGTTGCACTCCGGACTCCACTTCTGCCGACACTCCGGAAGTGCAGGCAGAAGTGAAAACTTGAACATTAACGTTGTGCATTTTTGATATTTTGGAATAATTTTGCACGAATTGCTTTAATTATCAGTATAAAAGTACACACTCGAACATTCGCGCAAGCGCCTTGTACCGCCTAAACGAAACAGCAGGCGCAGGCATACATTTTCGCCGCGCCGTAGAAAGAGAGGGGGATACTTCCTCTCCTACGCCACGCCGGCTGTCTACGCTCCATCCGACTGCCATGTGTAAGATGTGTGAAGTTATTATTATTATCATACTTCTATCCTACCCCTTCGGGGATTAAGACTTGAGAGTAAAATATATTGAAGTACAGACCTTCACGCATTGAAAATCAGATTATTAGAAGTAGGTAAGATAAAATTCATTTCCAAGTTTTTTATTACTTTGTGTTATTTAGTTACAAAGCTAATAAGCGTGTAATAAGAATAAGCAGTCACCTCGTATTGTTGGTATTCGGAGACCAGATCGTTCATGTTGCTCTCCGCTTCCGTGAACTCCAGTTCATCCATGCCTTCACCTGTGTACCAGTGGAGGAAGGCCTGGAAATTAATATATTTACATATCAGATCTCTCTTTCCTCGTTAAATTAGCACAATCTTGCATCGACGCCCCACAACTTCTCTCCAAGATTGAGTTACGTGCCCCTACTAGGTCTGTTAGGATACCTTTTCTTCTTCTTAACGACCCCTGCTGCAGCACAAACTACAGACAGAATTCATTCTTCAAAAGATCCGCTAAGTGCTATAATAAGTTGGCCCACTTTTCTGAACTTGACTTGTTTAGTACTAAGCCTAAACAAATACTTTCTAAACATTGATTCGAACTGGTTTAAAAATGCTTAAATTGTATTTCATGGCGTTTTATTATGTGTGATTTAGTATTATAAATTGTTGTAAATTTTTTCAACAAATAAGGTTAATTGTTATTTATATGCTACAACATGTAATTAGTAATTAGCTATATTATTTGATATTATCCATAAGTTTTTAATATTGTTTGTTTTCCAAATAAAATAAATAAATAGAGTTGACAACCAAATCCAATCAATTTATTAACGTCAATCGAAACAAGGATTTCAGACGTTTTACTCCACTTTTATTAATTTATTACTATTAATGCAACAACTGTCGACTTCTGAAAAGTATTAAGAAATACCCCGTTTACCAGGCTTTGATACCCCATTTACCAGGTTTATTTTTAACTTAAACCTACAGGTAAAATTTTTATCCATTATGTAGTATAAACCGAAACGTAGCTTTGGAAAAGCGGCCATTAAAACCACCAACTTTGGTCAGAGGTTCCTTCTTTTTAGAAGATAAAACAAAAAACTTACATATTGTATCTCTTTTCTAAAAATATTCTTTCTCACTTTAACACATGTACATATTATAGCTACATCTATAAGAACTTACTCCGTGTATATTAGGGTTGGCATTAAAATCACAATCATACATGATATATCATATGATTTAGAAATCATTTCATTACTTCTGTGACTGATTTACAAAACCACTGCTACTTAATTATTATCATAACGCAGTACTCGCGAAAGGCCTAAATCTAAAAGTGTTTTAGACTACACGACTGAAGTAAAACTTCTTGGCTATGAGAGAAAGTGAGAAGGAAAATGTGTGCTCGCACCGCTCTCTCTTGCCCCTACAGCAATATGCGAAACGTAACTCTCTCACTTTCTATCTTCACTAACTTATATCTCCCTCTCAACTTCCGTTCGCCTCGCCCTATCACACTTTTCGTAACGCTCTCGACACGCATTCACCAGCTTACTCCCCAAGTCAAGCGTGAGTAAAGAATTTTACTTCAAATAAAAAGGTCGGAATTTTGTTTCATGAAATCACAATCACATTTGAAATCGCTGTGACTAAAACCAATCATTTCATCAAATAAATATGATTTAAAAGTAGCAGTGATTTCCATCATCATCATCAGCCTATCACAGTCCACTGCTGGACATAAGCCTCTTCCATTGCACGCCACTTAAATCGATTTTGGGCTTCCACATCCAGCTCCTGCCAGCCATCTTGCTCAAATCGTCACTCCACCTGATTTCCATGTCTAGCGTTAACGTCTAAATGTCACACCTTTCTCCGGAACATGACAGTGAATTGTTCAGAAATTCTTTTAAATATCTCTTGTATGGCGGTAGAGTTGCCCACGAAAGTGGCCGCCATTTTTAAACCCCGCGGTGGTACATCACACACTGCTACTTTTACGTTGTTCGGGATCCACTCAACGAAGTAACTGTAAAAAAAAAAACAAAAAATATTGGTTTTGACATTGACAACCAAACTCCTGCGTCGAGAAAATTAAAAAAGTAAAGTTTTTTTTTGTCATAAATTGATTGATTTAAAATGAAAAGATGTGAAATTTCGTAAATAGACTAAAAACACAGTTTATAAACAAACATACTACACAATAATTAATTTTAATCCGAGTGAAAATTAAAACAGGAACAGAAATTAATTTAAATTAGGTACATTTAAATATTTTTTTTATAATATTAAATTTAATATTATATCATTTTCAAAAAATTAAGAAAAAAAAACAATGAATTATATAAGTTTGAATTGTGACGTCACGAAACTTAGGACTCCCTCCCACTCCTTGTAACACAATATTACACTTCGTTGACATAATTTATGGACGGTTCCTTACCCCCATTTACCTTGTTCTGTCCCGTCTAAAAATGATTATTCTCCCAAGCAGAGTTAACGCGAGGCAGACATCAGCCATGAAAAAACCACAAATATATGTTGGAAAAGAAGATGGATGTACAGGAATTTGATGTCAATGATCTCACCTTGAGTTCTTGTCTTGCACCGTCAACATCTGCTCGTCCACTTCTTTCATGGACATTCTTCCTCGGAATATGGCTGCTACTGTCAAATACCTGTACACAGTAATCGATACCTAGCATTATATAACCATAGGACATAAGCATAGAGGGAACAAGAGTTTGGGACTCTGCGATATAGGCAAAGAGAGAGATGGATAATAGATCCACATCACATATCAACAGCCTTTAATAGTCCACTACTGGACATAGGCCTCTTATTAGAAAAGAGGTTTTGGTCTACTATACCACGCTGGCCAGACGGGTTGGTATAGGGTTTGTGTCAAGTTTTCCTTCTTTTTGCAGTGCTGGTGTCCTGCGTTGTTTTGCTCCCTTAGTCGGCTCTTACGACACCCACGGGATGAATTGGGGTAGTGACATTCCGTATTCTTAATCCGTCACTACACGGACCAAAAAGCGTGTGTCTCGAAAAGCGCTCAGTAGTGGAGCGCTAACTATCCAGGGATAATAGATAGATGCCTCTATCTCTTTGTTTTTTTATGTTAGAGGGGGCAGACGACCAGTTGTGTCACCTGATGGCAAGTGACCATCGCCGCCCATGAACGTCTGCAACTCAGGAGTCACAAACGCGTTGCCGGTCTTTTAGAAAGGAGTACGATCTTTTCTTGAAGGTTTGAAGGTCGTATCGGTCCGGAAATACCGCAGACGATAACCCGTTCCACAGATTGGTTGTGCGGGACAAAAAGTGTCTCGAAAAGCGCCAACTATCCAAGTAATGAGGATGAAAATTTCTGATCAAGCACTGTAATTGGTTCCCAATCTTGCAATATGGGCAAAGAGAGAGATGGATAATAGATAAATCCCTCTATCTCTTTCTAGTCGAGCACTATAATTGGTTCCTAATCTTGCAATATAGGCAAAGAGAGAGATGGATAATGGATAGATCCCTCTATCTCTTTCTAGTCGAGCACTGGTGTTTGGTTCCCAATCTTGCAATATAGGCAAAGAGAGAGAGATGGATAATAGATAGATCCCTCTATCTCTTTCTAGTCGAGCACTGTGTTTGGTTCCTAATCTTGCAATATAGGCAAAGAGAGAGATGGATAATGGATAGATCCCTCTATCTCTTTCTAGTCGAGCACTGGTGTTTGGTTCCCAATCTTGCAATACAGGCAAAGAGAGAGATTTATAATAGATAGATCTTTCTATCTCTTTCTACTCGAGCACTGTATTTGGTTCCCAATCTTGCAATATAGGCAAAGAGAGAGAGAGATGGATAATAGATAGATCCCTCTATCTCTTTCTAGTCGAGCACTGTGGTTGGCTGGGGAATTCGCTGGGTTAATAAGTAGCCAATCGCAGCTTAACTAAACAGAGACAGAGGAAACTATGGGGCGTCCATCTCTTTCCTTGTCAGTATCGCTTCCTATCCTCGCTCTATGTTTATATCTCTTTGAATATAACAGTGCTACAAGATAGGGTACGTAATAATGGCGGCGAGCGCGCTTGCTTCCGGGGAGCAGAGGGAACATGGGGTGCCCACACGGGGGGGTGGTCTACTCGTCTGTAGATGGCCCGAGGTATGTCGGGGCACCAGGGACTTCCTTTCTAGGGTATACCTGGTTCCCCGGCTATTAGCACCCGAGACGGCGTGCGGTTTTAGTCGGTTCGAGTCCGACATGCCACCGATAGGTGGTATCCGAGGGGATTTCCGCACGGGAAAAAAAAAGGGTACGTAATAAAGAAAACACTCACCGAGACATATTTTTTTTATATTAATGGCAATAAAAAAATACTAACATCGATTTTCACACACATTTATTTAAATACTTGCCGTTTTGTCATCATCAGCCTATCGCCACTGCTGGATATGGGGAGAGCCATTATATTCCCATGGTCTCAGCCCCCTTTTAAAGTACAGGCTTATCTCTTAGAAAATTCAGGGGTTTTGTCAGTAAAATATTGTTATAACAGGACTGGTTCGGTAGCCTTTTGAAAACATCCGTTAACACCGTGGAACATTCCAGAATGTAATTCCGATATTTTTTTTGTTTTATATTTTATTAGTTCTGTTATTTGACAACAGATGACACTATACTTAAAAAAGTTGAACTCAAACAATACTAACAAAGAGCACTAAAAACCTAGCAGCAATCGCGGTTGTTTTGCTGTCATTTTTTGAAGAGTACCGTTGTCTGTCTCCGAAACTCATCATCAGATCTACATGAAATTTAAATGGGACCAGTTCGGAATAAACCCCTTTCGAACGGAAAAATAAATTTTAAAATCCGTCCATAAATGACAGAGTTATGCCCAAAAATACATTTAAAAAAAAATTAAACATTAGAAATGATAACCTCCTCCTTTTTGAAGTTCCTTTCCTTTCCTTACCTTCCATGGCGAGGGTCGCAAGCCGCCATCATGTTTATAGGACTAAACATCTGTTGTGTTAGCTCGGGTACAGTCAATGCTCGGTACACCTGGCTGTTCCGAGCGGTCAGCGGAGCAAAGCCTGGAATATTTTTCGTTGGTAGTACTAAAATAATAACAATTTTATACATCTCGTACACGGCCGTTTGATTCCGAACTATCATCAACAGTCCACTGCTGGACATAGGCCTCTCCTTAGAAAGGAGGTTTAGGCCTACTATACCACGCTAGCCAGACGGGTTGGTATAGGGTTTGTTTCAAGTTTTTATTTTCTCTGCAGTGCTGTTGTCCTGCGTAGTTTGCTCTTTTAGTCGGCTCTTACGACACCCTCGGGATGAATAGGGGTGGTGACACTCTGTATTCTTAATCCGTCACCACAAGGACATTCCAAACTATACAGACCCTGTACTATGGTAACCAGACTGCTGATAAACACAAATATATGTATATTGCTAAATACTAGACATGGAAATTATTGGTACTTTTAAATCATATTTACTTGATTAAATGATTATTTTTAGTCACAGTGATTTCATATGTCCTTGTAATTTCGTCATAGACAAAGATAAATGACATTAATATAAATCAAAATCCTTTTTATCAAAGATTATTAACTTTTTTTTATTGAGACCTTTCGCGAGTCTTGCGTAATAATAATAATTAAGTAGCAGTGCTTTTGTAATTCAGTCACAGTTACGATAGTATGATTTACTAATTATGTTTTCATTCCATCAATACTAAATACATATAAACTATAGATAAACGAGCTTCTGCCCACGACTTCGCTCGTGTAAATGTCAATTTTGACAATTAATTTGGCGGGAAATAATAACCTCTGTGCTATTCTAGACTATAACTTATCTGTGCCAAATCTTGTCCAGATCCAGAAACAGATTGAGTAACAAACATAATTTTACGTTTTGAAAAGTTAAAAAAATATAATTACCTATGCTGAGAGTTAGGAATTGATGTTACAAAAGATTGTTCCCCATTTTAAGGGTATTTTTTTTTAAAAACAACTCCCACATTAGGAATAATATATCCTGTGTCGCGGGGGACTTTACAAACATACATAAAACGGACACACAGAACACTCAGACTCACAACAACAATTTGTGGATCACACAAAGTGTCAGAACACTCAGCGTAATAGAAAGCGGCATGGCGACCGCTTAAACCATTACGTCATCCGTGCAGTCTTGGTAGGGTAGTTAGGGTGGGCACCAGGGACTTCCTTTCTAGGGTATACCTGGTTCCCCGGCTATTAGTACCCGAGACGGCGTGCGGTTTTAGTCGGTTCGAGTATGACATGCCAACGATAGGTGGTATCCGAGGGGATTTCCGCACGGAAAAAAAAGGGTAGTTAGGGTAGTTTTAAAAAACAATAAAATAAAGAGTATTTACAGGTGCAGAACTTTTGGAGTATGTATATAACAGTATAGATAGAAAAGATCCTCACCAGGCATAAAGAAATGCAGTCTCGGGAACGGTACCATGTTGACGGCCAATTTCCTCAGGTCTGCGTTCAGCTGACCAGGGAATCGGAGGCAAGTAGTCACTCCCGACATTGTCAACTAAAATTATACCATAATATGTGTGTAGCAAAGTTCAAATCAGTTTTTTTTGTAAAAGTTTTTTTGTTGAGTTCTGGACGTTTGATTGAGAAGTTTCTTCCAACCTTCTGAGGACCTAGTGTGAGTTTCTTTTACATCTACTTGATTATCACGGTGGGTGCGGTCGGCGTTGCGATTGGCCCGCACTGAAATCTTCACCAATCGCAACGAGAGCGAGTTGGTTTGAAATAAACTCACACCAGGCCCTCAGAACGTTCATTATTAGCGAGGGTATGTGTATTACTTTAACTGAAAGATCGAGGAACGTAAAACATTAACTCAAGCAAGTCAAGTTTGAACCAGAAATCCTGAAGAATTATGAAAAGTTTATACACCGAATTTAATAATAATATCACACATCTCACACACGGCCGTCTGATCCCAAACTAGGCAGAGCCTGTGCTACGGTAACCAGACCGCTGATAAACACACTTATATATTTCTAAATACATACATATTATAGATAAATTACACCCAGACACAGAACAAATGACCGTGCTCATCACACAGTATTTGCCCTGGGTGGGAATCGAACCCACGACCTCCGGCTTAGCAGTCAGGACCACTAACCATTAGGCCAACAGGCTCGTCTGATTTATACAAGCCGATATACGCTTGTCCTGTTCGCTTTTATTCGCACTTTTTCCCCCACTTTGTACCAAAACTAGAATATCTCCACACCATATCGAAGCGGGTAGTTAAATTCCAGGTCCATTTCATAGACAGTTCCAGAAATCTAAAACACTACTCTTGTGTCAACATAGTAAAACATTCCAGAATGTTCGAACTTCCTACGGAAATTAGTTTCGTCAAAATTAGATAAAAATGTTTTTTCTGAAGATTCTGGTATTGCTAAAAGGGTATTAAAGGACTGAGGAGCAGCTAAGACTCTGTTCTGTTTACTCACCGAGACAAGATGGTTCAGGTCGCCATAAGTAGGTGAAGACAGCCGAAGAGTTCTGAAGCAGATGTCATATAAGGCCTCGTTGTCGATGCAGAAAGTCTCGTCTGTGTTCTCAACCAGCTGGTGTACTGACAGTGTGGCATTGTAAGGCTCAACGACCGTGTCTGACACCTGGCAAGGTATGGAACTTTAAAACAATCGGCAAAGGGCGTGTTTACGCCCAATCCAGGGTTTCGTAGTTTCCTATCACAATAAAGTGAACTATTACGAGGAATTGTTGGTGTTTTGCAAAGTGTTTAACGTCTAAAAACCGGTCAGGTACGAGTCGAACTCGTGCGCCGAAGGTTCCGTACCTACCTAGATTTTCGCGAAAATTTGTAAGTAACAAAATTTATCTATTTACAGACACATGACAGACGGACAAGAAAGTGATCTTATAAGGGTTCCTTTTTTACCTTTTGAGGTACGGAACACTAAAAACGGGCGCACATAGGACGGTGGTAACTGAAAAAGGAGTTATGAGATCCTGCTTCGTGTCCTATAACGTCGAATTAGTTGGGCGACACACCTGGATGGACGAATATAAAAACTAACATCCCCACTTTAATGGTACCAGAGGACCCTAAAAAATATATTTTTCAACATAATTTTCTGAAACAATCTTTCTAAGATAGACCAACCTTGGGTGACGGCATAACGCTGAAGGTGTTGACGATCCTATCAGGGTATTCCTCACGGAGCTTGCTCAGCAGCAGTGTTCCAAGTCCAGAGCCTGTGCCACCTCCTAACGAGTGCGTCAACTGGAACCCTGGTACAACCAATACAAAGTTGGTTTTTAGTTTTGAATGTAGATGGCGTTAGTTAGGCTTTGGTCATTATATTTGGAGCATTTATAAATCAAGTATTTTTTTCTTAATTTGCAAATAACCAACACGTATGTTGGTATTTTAATAATAATCTTTATATAAATTGGTTGTAATTGAAATCAGTAGAAAATTCTTGAAGCCGAAGTTTATAGTATGTAGATAAACATACTTAGGTAGGTATATATTGAAGTGATAACTTCTTATGGGAGGGTAAACCGCATCGTTACGTAACGCGTTACGGCGCCAGTCTGTCTGGCTTCCCTTTCTTTCACGCATACGGCAGCGGTAGGCAGGCTCCTCCTCTCTCACTCTAACCCACAGCGCTAGCCGTATTTCGGACAGACGCTTTACATGAAATTTAAGTAATAACCTAAGCCTTTCTCATGTTAAACAATTTCAATATTAAATAGCTCAACTCAGATTAGTTTAAGTTATCACTTTTGTCGGGCGTCCCGAGACGCACACGTTTATTTAAATACATACATTTATAGATTCATTAGCAATTATCCTGAAAAACTCATTTCACGTCAACTAAAACTGTCTCTCCGGAACATTTCGATGCATCTTAAGGTTACCTGGAAGAGATTGCTCTTAGCAATAAGTTGGCAAAGAGTCTAGCTATTAACATAAAATAATAGTTCTCAAACTGACCAGTATGGCGCTAGTATAGCCAATACACATTTATTTACACGTTTATTTATTGTCTGTAAAACTCATTGACTATTTCCTCAGTCTAGTAAATACAGTGTCTAAATATTATTTAAACCAATAAAAATTTTATACAATGTTTATTTATCTATCCTACAACTTTTGGTGCTTTCTTTAAAAATTTACCCTCATGCTGCAGTGGCGCCCCCAATTTAACACATTTTGACGGACACTTTTCATACACAGAGATGGTTCTCCTTGCCTCTACACTCCATAGTACCGGGTACGAGTATATACCTTGTAAGCAGTCGCACGGTTCCGCCTCTTTCCTCACAACGTCCATGACTGACTCCACCAGTTCGGCGCCTTCGGTGTAGTGGCCCTTTGCCCAGTTATTGCCTATTAAAAAAAAACTCATTACTTTGTACAATTTTTTTTTTTTTTTATCCGTGAGGAAATCCCCTCGGATACCACATGTCGGACTCGAACCGACTAAAACCGCACGCCGTCTCGGGTACTAATAGCCGGGGAACCAGGTATACCCTAGAAAGGAAGTCCCTGGTACAATTACTTTGTACCCTAATTACTAAATTTGTATTCCACACATCTCACACACGGTCGTCTGATCCCAAACTACACAGAGTAATGTAGTAGCAGTAATAATAACAGTACTATGGTAACCAGACTGCTGATAAACATACTTATACAGGGTGTAAGGGACGTCGTAACGAATACTGAAATAGTGTATTCAGACCATCATTCTGAGCCGAAAATCATTGGAATTTTCTTCCGGAAAATTAAACTTGTTATGCAATTAGCTGTCAAAGGTTAAGGTCATTCCGAATAGGTATCGCACAAAATGAATAACTACATTTGCATTCCGTGCAAACAGTCTACGCACAGAACACAACACAAGTCGGCGGTCGGAGGGGAGGCCCCGCGCGCTTCGGCGGTTTGATAAATTACATTGCAGTATTTGACCGTTGTTTGTAAAAAAAATTAAAAAAATTGTAAAAAAAATATGATTAACTTTTCAGCTGAAAAGTCCAATGATTTTCGCCGGAATACTGGTCTGAATATAATATTTCAGTATTCGTTACGTCGTCCCTTACACCCTGTATATTATATTTCTAAATAAATACATATTAGAGATAAATTACACCCAGACACAATACAAATGATCGTACTCATCCCTTATTTGTCCTTGATGGGAATCGAACCTACGATCTTTGGATTGGCAGTCAGAGTCACTATCCACTAGATCAACAGGCCAGTCAGTGTTACCAACTCGGAAATTTGCAGGATATTTAAGAAAAAAGGTTTTATAGGATCTGCACTTTATTATATTTCTAGTAATTAGCTTTTAAACTTAAAGAGTCTTACCTGCACCACTCTGCCCGAAGACGTAATTGTCAGGCCGAAATAGTTGTCCATACGTGGATGACCTGATAGCGTCCATAGTGCCTGGTTCCAGGTCAACAAGTACCGCTCGGGGCACGAAGCGTTTGCCTGGGAAATTTTATTTTAAATCTTAAACTTCTCCTCCGCAGCTTAAAGATTCATGGTGTAATAAACCAATGTGATCCTGGTCGGCCTATGTTAACAAAGGCTAAAGATACACTTAAAAAAACTATCCGTATGTTTGTAGTATTGTTCTCTCCTATTTAGCGTGTGTGGCTATTACACTACAAATCCGCAGGGAGGGATACATGCCCCCACATCGCGGACTTGACACTGTAGAGGACCGCACGTAAGTCGCTGCCTGGGGTCTTATCTGGCCCATGCAGCAGGCTAGGGCGGCGTGAAGACCGAAACGGTCCCCTACAGAACACAAAACTACCACCTGCCACAGCCCAGGACCTGTTAAGAGGTAGCGAACAGAGTCACTGGCAGGGGATAAACCCGATCCAGCCTCCGCACGTCCTCTGCGGGACGTTGTGAAGACCACACTTGGGATTTTTGAGTTGTAGGTTTGTTGTTGTCTATGGACGGTGGTAGGTGGGGGAAAGCTCTCCACAGATCCGGTAATCTCACTCATTTGGTGATAATAGATGAATTAAAAAATGTTTTATTAAACTTTGAAACATATACAATTAAAAGAATGGGGAAAGTATTAAGGGATTCTGTAAGGTTGTGGTCATTTAAATTAGTCGAGTCACAACTGTGTCAATGCTCAACACCTAACTCTCAATATGAACAGTCTGCTCATCATATACTCTGGGAATGTAGTCTTTGGTATAATGAACGTAATATAACGCTGAATAGCTTGCAGGTGACATCTGGGGCGGTATACTATGGGGATCTTGTGTCAACTTGGGTAAAATTCCGTGCGTTTAGGCGGTTTTGCCATACATGTTATAGAAATTAAATGTAGCTCACGTAGAACCCGTAATATTTTGCTGCCGTGGTGCTTCCCTGTTTAAAAGGGTGTACGAGTATTTTACTTCATTTTGTCTATCGGTTTGCTAAGGAGGGCAGTGGATTTACTGTATTTCCAACTCCTCCAATTATCTTCTGATTAATTTCGTTGCGGGTTCCAAGACAGTTTAATTTCTTCCTAGGACTTCCCGAGTGTCATAACTCGGTGTGTTCGTGGGTCACTGCTGTGGATCCTAGTGTACAGGAGTTACAGTGGTGGGCGTGTGGGTGGGATTAGTCCCAAAATAAAAAAAGGTTGTGGTATTACTCCAATCGAGCCTGCCTATTCGTGTGGAAGCGTTGCAACCAGGCCCATTTCTAGCCTGTTGGAGGCCCTGGGCAAATGAGCATAATGGGGCCCCAACGAAATTAGGTGAGCACTTTTTTGTTAGAATGGACAAAAAAAGTATTGTAGTCAGTCATTACAAATGGGTTTTTCGAAATAATTATGTTTTACGGTGATAAATATTGATTTTCGATTGGTGATCTGGGAAAGAGGGGCCTGGTTGCAACCGCAAGGAAAAGTTACCCTAGTTGTTACTAGATGGTGCTTAGTTTATTTTCCAAGTCTATAACATTTAGAGGTGACCCGTCTGTTTGTTTTTCTCCAAATAATCTATTTCAAATCAAACCTCGTTCATTTAAGTTTCTCTACAGAAAATTCCCGCGCTTTTTTTCTTCATAGAGCTCAACTCACCATCGGCAGCTTCATTGTAGTAAACCTGGATTCTGTCAAGTTGAAGGTCGCTGTCTCCACGGTAGTACCCCGTCTGATCGATGCCATGCTCATCCGATATAATCTCCCAAAACTATTAACAGATATATATCAAGTAAAAGTAAGTCGTGAGCGCTGGATTCTACAACAGCCAACATAGTTGTGGAATCCAAGTTTTTTTTTTGTTGAAGGAGGCAGAAGAACGTAACACTGCTTAATCATTTCGACGAAAATTCGCTTGTATAACAAACCATATCCCCGGTTAAAGCCAGCCCTATCATATTTTTATTTAAACAACTTTATAACACACCAGAAAATCGGTGGACTTAATGGCGCCATTCTCTACCAGACAAACTTTGGGTGGTGTAGAAATCTTGTAAGAAAGGATCACTAAGGTTACAGATGTAATCAGTAGTTATAAGGTTTTTTTTAACCAAAAATATATAAAACTGAAACGATGTATCTGTCTGTCTGTCTGTGGCATCATAGCGGATGGACCAATTTCGATGCGGATGTTTTTGATCGAGATAGTTCTTAGCTATAAATTTTGAAGATCATCAGCTCACTTCCTAGGCGATGACTAGATCTCACTAAAATCCACCGGTCCCATTGATCTTATCCGTTGGCTGCTATTTATCTAGTGGGTCTCATAAGAGCCGACTAAGGGAGCAAACTACGCACGACAACAGCACTGTAAAGAGAAGGAAAACTTGAAACAAACCCTATATCAACCCGTCTGGCCAGCGTGGTATAGTAGGCCAAAACCTCCTTTCTTAGGAGAGGCCTATGTCCAGCAGTGGACTAGTAAAGGCTGATGATGATGATGATGATTGATCTTAAAATTGGGATACTGTTACTTTGATGGTATTTCCACGACATGGTAACCTGGAACTTACTGCTGCATCAAGTAGTTTGCGGGATAGTCAACTCCTCAGAAAATTACAGCATTTATACCATGTTTGGGCTTTATACTGTTTTTTTTTGGGTCGGGGGTTTTTTAATATTGTGTTATTATCAACAAAATGTGATAGCATTAATGCTTATTAACAATAATTTAATAAGTAAATGTGTAAATTAAATAGTAAATCGGAAGAATTTTAACTTAACGAAATAACTATTACTTAATCTGTGGTTTAGCTGTATTTTTTTATAGAGATATAATCATAGAGAGTACACGGGGTACAGTTGCCTGTAAGATGGAGCGATACAGGCAACGAGAGATACTCGGCTAGAAAGAGATAGAGGATCTATCTATTATCCATCTCTCTCGTTGCCTGTATTGCAAGATTGGGGCTCTTATTCACTCTATGTTTATACCCCTAATTTTTTTTTTAGTTAATTTATAAAAGTCGGACTACAGAATAACAAAAACAGTTACTTTAAAAACACATTTTTTTCTTCTCCTTAATAAATTAATTCTGTATAAACAATTAAAATATTAGCTATTAGATATAATTTTACCTCCTTATTTACTCAAATGTTTATTTATTTAACGATTGTATTAAAAAAGAACTCTAAATCTGAAAAACAAGTTGTCTTTATTGCGTGCGAATTAAAAACGTTATAAATAAAAATGAAACGGGTTTTTAGTAGCCATGAGCTTAAACATTGGAATTTGATTAGCGTGTAGGAAATTACGATCGCAAAAAGGTAATTATTCATTGAAGTAGATCAATCAACGGGAAATATCACATCTTATTATAGTTACCACGCGACAGTCGTAACTCTGCATGATCTACATTTATCCGACAGTATGCAATGCAAAAATAGATTACTTAATTTTCAAAGGTATTTTTAAATTGGAAAATAAAAGATATTTTGTTTACTAGCCTTAGAACCTATTTGGTTGCCGCACTGTCCCGCCTGCAAATGCACTATTTCTCGCATTTTCAATGTTTTCACTTTATAAACCACCAATCTTAACGAATGTTTTAATACTAATGTACTATTTTAAGAACAACACGTCTACCGAAGTTCTAGGCACGTGGGATGATTTGTAGCACTCAATATGTAAGATATTTTATTGCAATCTTAATGATATTAGAACACAGTCATCAAAGAGAATGATTAACTTTAAAATGTCTATAAAATCTGTAAAAGAAAATCATGTTGCAGCGACTCGTGGGAAGCGGGATAGTGAAAACTTTAATTAAGAATAGCGCCATCTAGTCAGTTTAGGGTTTTAAAATACTTTATTTTGTATGGCTATGAAATTGAAATATGTATTTTTATAACTTTAGCCTTGAAAGCATCATTTCTATTAAGATGTAATATTTTCAATTATTCTTTCTATCTTAAATGAGATTTTAATAATTCTTTATGCTTGGAACGAAACGTGTTCGCGACCCGCATTGCAAGAAGTACATTTGACGTATCGTAAAAATTAACGTCAAATAGGTACCCAATAATTTTATCACCGATATCGTGTTATAATCAGAATATTCGTTGTACTTCGTTACAGGACTTTTCCAAAACCATATCTCGTGCTTACATGTGCAATACTTAGGTGTGTAAATAGTGGAGACATAGAAATTCCCCACATTTAATTGAGATGCCTAGAGGCAAAAAGCCATTTTATGGTTCTAGCTAGTATTTAATTCTTTTGTGAGCCGAGACATTGATAAACTAGTGACGTGTTGCTATTAGTTTATACGCCGTTTGTAATTAAATTGTAAGTAATATTCTATCGTGATACATATTTATCGTCAGCCGAAGTACGCCGCAATGTGATTGTTTTTGTTCAAAATTGCGTGAATTACTAAATATGACTATAACACCTTGCAGTAAACAAAGATGTCTTCAATAATATATTTATTGTCTTTTGATAACGTTTGGCAGAATGATTGTTGTCAGTGCCTGTGTTAATCTTGTGATAATATTAAATTTTGTTTATTAATTGCCATAGACAGGTTGCTAATTTTAAAAAAAGAAAAAATTCAATTAAATGTATTTAATATTTTTAAATCTTCACATTATTTATTCTATTAGTAATTGTACGAGCTTGTACATGATTTGATGACTATACACTTTACTAAATATATATAGGATAATACACAATTTATAACGTGTGTGCAATATTGATCGCTGGACTAAACACACATTTCATAGTAGTATAAAACCGCTAATTAGGCAAACTTGTAATAATTGCCTCAGTGAAAATAAATCCAGTTTTACGTCAACTACAGAATACTCTTATTTCATCTGATCATGACCTACAACATACAAAACTTCCACAGCTCCAACAGCTATCTGATGTCACTGTACAGGAATAAAATTAGTTTTACCGTAAATATATTAAAAGTCAAAGCTGAATGCAGGTCTGTCTCTACCTCTACTTTCCCTGAAGTTAGGTTTGTGAGAGACTCAAATATCTATGTAAAATTTTGAAAAAACTTAATATTGGAACAAACAAAAATATAAGTATTATAATTTTTAATAAAATTAATAATAATGGCAATGCAATATGTTCTCTGCAACCAATTTCACTGAATCACCAACCCTCGAGAAGAGCTCAGAAAGTTTTTAAAGTTTCAACACTATTCAAACTGAGCATACAGTGAGTGTACACACATCTTTATCTCCACACACACACACACACACACACTATAGACATACTTTAAATTCTATCTTTTACAGGTGGTCACTGTGACTATTACCTATCATTTCATCATATGATTTAAAAGTCGTAATAATTTCCATGTCTAATGTAAGCATAATTGCCTGACCTATTCGGCAAAATGTGGGCATTTAAAGCGCATCTGTCTACTTTTTGGGGATAAAAAAAACAAGTTCACATTCTATTTTAAATGAAATTCGAGTCCCTCAGAATTTACCTGGTACCTTGGTGCTGTATATAATAAATCCCCAAATTGTGTCTACTAAATAGGACATATTGGACTCATAAAGCTTACCCCTATAAGCTCACCATGCACAATCACCTCTCTTGATTGCAGGATCCTTCATTTCTTAGAGAGATTTTACCAATGGGATGTTTTTCCATTCACTCCTATCTATGCTCACTAAAGGGTACACAAAAACGCATTAAAAATCCGTATTACGTAAAAGTAAAGTACGAAATACTCGGTTATATGAGGTATATCTGGTACCTCGCCGGCCCAGAGAAAGGCAATAGCATTTTCTAGGTTTTGTCCTCATTCCCTCCGTTCAGGTACAGAAGTCATCCACCTTACTTAGTAGTTCTTGGCACTGCTTCGTGTTACGTGTGAGGATCGCGAGGTCGTCTGCGAATGCTAAGATGGATTCCGTATATTTTCCATTGACCTTAAACCGGTAGCCCCACCTCTTTTCGTGTGTATTCAATATTATATTCTACTAATATTATGATTGCGAAAGTGTGTATGTCTGTCACCCCATCACACTTAAAACGCTGAACTAATTTAGACGAAATTTTTCATGGATATAGTTTGCCGCAAAGGACAGGATAGTTTTTATCCATGAAAGAATCTTTTAAAGAGATGGAAGGGGGTGGAAGTTTGTACAAGGGGATCCCTTTAATCTTCCTTTAGATGAAATTTGGTATTGAGATAGTTTCATTCTTGAGGAAGGACATAGGCTTTTTACCGCTATAACAGACAAACACGCGGGCCAACCAGTTCATGAGTTTACCCTGAACATACAAACTCACAAACTTCCCTCTAGATAGTAAAGTAGTAAGTAAACAAGTAATAAAATAAATAGGTTGAATAGGTCAGGGCAGAACTATCTAAACCTTTATTTAGCAAAACAATTACCCACCACTTATTTGCAAAAAATTGTATAGTTTTTTTTTTTATTTACAGATCAAAATGGAAGAAGTAAAAGAAGAAAAACCGCCTCAGCCAGTCATGAAGTTTATAAGCGTCAACAGTGAGATTCTAACAGAAGAACAAAGGCAAATGTACGAGTCGGTGCTCACTACCTGGAAACCCGTAATGTTCCCCAAGAGAATCAAACGATACATCTGCAACAATTGTAATAAAGAATTCAAGAACTACCAAAATCTCTACCTTCATACAACGAGGGTACATTCTTCTGAAGATTCTGCTGTCATATGTGACATTTGTGACAAAACCTTCAAGAATAAACATTACCTTTATATGCACAGAATGAACAAGCATTACTCAGAGATGGAGAAGTGTTACTGCCAGTTCTGTCTCCAAGAGTTTCGTACCCGAAGAGCCCTGCATATGCACGTAAAACGTATCCATCCAAATACGCTACCCGAAATCAAATGCAACGAATGCGGCAAGGAATTTTCTGTGCCATATAAGCTGAAATACCACATCGATGCCTGTCACAGGAACGACAGAGAGAAATACAAATGTCATATATGCCAGAAGCTCTATAAAAACATGCTGAATTTAAACAGACATTTGCACTTTCAGCACACTCCCGTCGAAAGACACCCTTGCGTCTTCTGCGATCAGACTTTCAAGTCTAGACATCACATGAAAAGACACGTTTTAAATATTCATCCACCTCTAGAATCTAAGGTTCAATGTCCCGAATGCTTAAAAGAATTCAAAAACGACCAATATCTCAAAGAACATATGCAGGTGCATTCCTCTGCAGATTCTAAAGTGAAATGTGAAATCTGCGACAAAGTTTTTCATTCCGCCGTTCGTTTGAAGAAACACAAAAAAATTGTTCACCCAACAAAACCAAAGCTTCGTTGCGAAAAGTGTGACAAGGAATTCGCTCATGCACATTATTTGAGACGCCATAACAATGCTGTGCATTTGGAGCTCGATGAAACAAACTACCCTCATGAGTGTGAACAGTGCGGCAAGAAGTTTAAATTAAAGAAATATTTGAACAATCACATTCAGAGACACGAACAGCAACATCTTAAAAGAATATCGCAGATGGTTAAAACCGTAATGGGTAAGAAAGAAGACAAATCTGAGGATGAACCGCTGAAGAAGAGAGGGAGACCGCGAAAAACGAGAGAGGAAATAGAATTTATTAAGTGTGAGCCAGTTTCGAGTTCCGATTCTGAATCAGGCGAAACGGAGAGCGATTCAGAATGAAGAGATCTATTATCAAGATGATGTTTTTGACAGTGATTATTTCGTGTGACATACCGTTATAGATATGTGCAAATATTTTATTCTGGTGTTTATATTATTGTACTTGTTTCGTGTTTTTGGATATTTAAAAAATTACTTGAACTTCAGCTGTGATTTTGGAGCTATGAGAACCGGACTTGTTAAGGCTTATGTGACAAATTATTGAGGTTTATCCTACACGCGTTTAAGAAATTACTCACAATCGTATCTGATCTGAATGTGGAAGTAGAATCGATAAAATACCTAGTGTAAACTACTAACAACTCGGTATCGCCAACAGCACTGCAAAAAGAAAAGGAAAACTTGACAGAAACTCCATAACAATCTGTCTGCCCAGCCAAAAGGCCTGTAGGCCAAAACCTCCTTCCTAAGGAGAGGCCTATGGCCAGCAGACGACGAGTAAAGGCTGTTGATGATGATGATGGTGATGAAACTACTAAAATACCTACACATGGATCTTTTTCAAGTATGCTTCATATAGTGGATTTATAAGGAGTAACTTTCCAATTAATTATTTCGGTGTTTGAATAAACAAAATTAAATTTTAACAGATTGTTAAAATGATCAAATTACATATTATATGTACTTATGATCTAAATACGTGTTTTCGGCTGTACCGCGCAGCAAAATAGCAAAATTCATATAGTTAAATTTAATATCGTTAAAAAATCATATATTGATGATCTCATAATTGGTAGCAAGACTTTTCGCGTCATGCATTTTGTCACTACGTAAAGCCGCAAGAATTGTTTTAATAAAAAATTATCTTATTTAAATGAAGCTTAAAATTTTAAAGCGTTCTAGACTAGTTTAATCAAGTTGTATATTCTTCAGATCAATGATGCTATAAGTGAATAAGTTGCATAGCGACAGAAAGTGATGTCAAAAGGCTCGAAAGACCATGAACTAGGGTAATTGACCTAGTTTTCTATCGTATAACTTTTTTACTTGTAATATTATTGCTCGATATCATATTAGTTGTAAGGGGTGGGTTTGGGATGTTGATAGTAACTTTTCAATCTAAATATTTTTAAATAAATGTTTCTTTTATCTTAGATTTATAACTAGTATGGCAACACTGTGATTGCGGTACTGATAAAGTGTGAAGGATATGAATGAATGAAATTATGGTCTTTCGCGACGCCGACGTCTTTCGATTTCAGAGTAATAAAAAATGCCTTCTCAGAGTTGATAGTGAGGTAACCGAAAGAAACGAGTGCTTCCTCTCCCTTCATAATTCTGGAGGGGGAGCACTTGTGCACTGAGCAGAATTCAATTACTTCTCTAACCGATGGATGTAGTTAGAAAATCCAGTGTTGCCATACTTTAAATGTTATCTATTTGGGGTCAGTAATATTAGTACTAAGCAAATGTTTAAAATAAATCGTCAAATCTACAGTTGTTAATTAGAAACTAGGGTTTTGGTGGTTTAAAGGAAAAGATTGATTCTGTACAAATAGGGCTTATGGTAACTAAGATCGCTTAGGACTATCAAACAAAATGTGGGTAGTTCATAAAATTATTTATGGTTCGTCACTTTGACTGCCTCGTTGGTGCAATAGGTAGCGTATGCGACTGCTGTGCTGAGGTCTCGGGTTCGATTCCCTTTGGTCCGAATGTTTGTACGATCTGCAAATATTTGTTTCGGAGCTTGGGTGTTTTCTTTATAATATGGATGTATTTACAAAAAAAAAGTAAATAAGTATTCTATTAGTCAATCTAGATTTCATGTTACAAGATCTGCTTAGTTTGAAACTAGATGGCGTTGTGTGTTAGATGTCCTTAATATTTTAAAAAAGGAAAAACTAGTTTATGCCTACATCCCTGAAGGGGTAAACAGATACGTATTAGTCTAAACGCATAGCTGTAACTGGAATTGACTACTACGGTCTCAGTAATGACATTTATTTGTAAAATCTCTTATTGTTACGGCTAATCCGGAAAGACTGGTTCGCCACATATGCGTCGGCTCGACGGCAGTGGTCTCGCAGAAAACCGGTTTTAAGTAACTTTCTCGGGGCTTTTTATTGAATGAGTGAGTTTAAGGGAACCAAAACCCCCTCCCTAATTCTGGGAGAGGGACTCCATGCTGGTGTCCGTTTGCGGCGGTAGTCACTTCACATATTTTTGCACTTCTACATAATAATCATCAAGTATTTCAAATAGACATGCTTATGGCCGCCATATTTGTTTTTTATCGGTTTTGCAGTTTGATCGTCCACAGCGATCTTATTATTAAAGATAATGAATATTAAATATTATTATTATTATAAATTCATATTATTTACACATATTTAATGTAAATAAATAAATTTGTTTGAAAATTATTGTATTATTGTAGCACAGAGGCATAATTTCTTTTGAATTTATATTTATTAGGTAATAAATTTAGACTTTTTTTTGTTAAACTTCATTTATGCAGATATAAGAAGAGCGTGATTGCGAAATTAACTCTAAATATCGATGATGATGTCTGAGTCTTTTAGCAGAAAGCCGATATAGGGTGGGGGGGGGGGGGATATATTCTGACCTCACAGAATGTTGATCATATGTGCGAAGCTACCGGAGTAGTCTCCGTTACAGAAACGGACGCTCCTCCAACCAAGCGAGGTTCTCATATGCTAATTGGGCGTGAGAATTTTCACAGTGCGATGCAGGATTTGTAGTTACGCCGTAGTTCGGTATGTCTTCGTGGGATGACATTACACACTTTTGTTTCTGGAGCGGCGGGTATCAGTTACCATCAGGTAATCTTTCTGCTCGATTGCCCCGTATGGTATACAGAAATCAAAGAGATATGCAATTCGATCAAAATGCTGGGTAACCGACGGGCCTCCTTGTCTAGTGTTTAGTGACCCTGACTGCTACGCCAGAGGTCGTGGGTTCGATTCCCACCCAGTACAAATATTGTGTGATGAGCATGATCATTTGATCTGCGTCTGGATGCAATTTGTCTACAAATGTTTGTAAGATCTAGAAATATATAAATATCTATATCAGTAATCTAGTTACCATAGTACAGGCTCTGCCAAGTTGGGGATCAGACGCCCGTGTGCTGACACACGGGCGTCTAACCTCAATATCTATATCTATAATAACCTTACATATCTGAATATGTGAGGTTATTTTTATTTTTTTTTATGTTAGAGGTGGCAGATGAGCCGACGGTTCACCTGATGGAAAGTAATCATCGCCGCCAACGAACGTCTGCAACTCAGGAGTCACAAATGCGTTGCCGGCCTTTTAGGAAGGAGTACGCTCTTTTCTTGAAGGTTTGAAGGTCGTATCGGTCTGGCAATCCCGCAGACGATAACCTGTTCCACAGATTGGTTGTGCGGGGCAAAAAAAGTCTCGAAAAGCGAGCGAGCGATCCAGGTAATGAGGATGAAAATTTTGCCGTGTGGAATGATGCGGCAATTTGCGGCTAAAAGTAGGAAAATAACATCTTAAATGTATTACAGTAAGAGTTAAAAGAACTGAGTGAGCGTATTTTTGGAAAACGCACGCCCCTTGGCAATGCAACTGATTCATAAGTGAAGCCTTATTGGTAGAGGGTTTCGTTGCCGCATTTGGAGTTACAGATGATTACAAGATAATGCTGGCTAGGTAAACCAGCCTCCCCTCCACCCACCGTAAAGGCCAGCTGTCCCACGTCCAGCTACGTCCGCGTGTGCCGGACGTCGCCTAAATAGAGAATGTACCCGAAGGTGGTGCCACAAAGATTACTTAATACTACGTTATTACAGTAATTGCTCAAGATCCAAGGCACTAGGGAACCCTGTCACACAGATTACCAGGCACCCCCCATAGCACAAGGTGGTGCCCGCGCCATTGCGGACAGGCGCTAGGAGGGGTCCGGATGTCTTAATAACAGCAGTTCCCGGATCGGTTGGTTTTAGTCGGTCCGATTCCGACACACCACCCCGGTGTGGTGACGGCACAAGAGGGTTTCCACACGTAAAAAAAAACAAGGGATGAATCGAGATTTAGAGATAGAAAGACTTGGTCGTATTTTTCGAGAAATGATTTACAGTCCACGCTCTTCTTATAGACGTAGTATACTATTTAATTATCAAAAATATTTATCAACAAACAACAAAGTGACTGGTGACTCCCGCTCAGGGTCGTTCCTGGTGCAGAGGTTGGCCGTAGCCATTCAGCGTGGGAACGCAGCTAGCGTTATGGGCACCTTTGCGCCGGGAGCGGCCAGGGGTGGGTTATTTAATATATAGAGAATTTTAGTTAGAACACAATTGTTATTTTTGCCTAAGATTGTAATTAATATATAATAAAATTACACAGATATGTTCATCTATTAAAAACATAACCAACCCAACTAACCCGTCTGGCCAGCGTGGTATAGTAGGCCAAAACCTCCTTTCTAAGGAGAGGCTTATGTCCAGCAGTGGACTATTAAAAACTGTTGATGATGATGATGATGATTAAAAAAATATTTATAAAATTGTAAATTTATAAATTCGGTTTCTCCATATACTATTTATGACTTGTTTTTAAATTGAATGCGAATAATAAGTAAAAATATATAGGGGCGAGGGCCCCTGCTCCAGTGCCCATTAGAAGTAGAGGGGGAGAGTGTGGTCTTCGGCGACCTCTCTAATATTTGTAGATGAAAAGATACCTACTCACTGCAGATGCTTCGTCAAAGAATGCTTATTGACAAAAGTCTTGCCGCACTGGTCGCACTTGGGTCTGTGATAGTTCCTAATATGGCCCCCGTGTGTCTTATTGTTGCTGGACAAGAATGAATCCTTTAAAAAAATAGTTGATCCGACTTCTAACAATACTAACAAAGAGCACTAAAAACCTAGCAGCAATCGCGATTGATTTGCTGTCATTTATTGAATAGTTCCATTATCTGTCTCCGAAACGCATCATCAGATCTATATAAAATTTAAATGGGAATTAATTTGGAATAAATCCCTGTTTTGTTCGTTGTGTGTGTGTTATTATATTTTTAAAACCTTTATTAAATTAATATTTAAATAAAATTTTTTGCATTATTTGTGGCAACAATAATAGAACATTTGGCTGAAATCTCGGCAATCTCAGATTACCTAAGAATACTTACTTCCTCATTGCCTAATAGCCCCTTAGGGGTGATCTGTAGCTGAGACTGATGTGAACATAGAGACGCGAATATAACAAATATCTCTATGGACGCGAAGCCAGCGAAGTGTCTCAAAAGGGTTACCCTTAAAAAAAACTTTTAAAAGCAAACGCGATTGACAGACTGACTGACGTCTATACAGCCATATTGTTTAATTGTTTACAATTGTGTTAAGGGCAATATTTGGTGAAAATTAATTCATTACATGTAAGAAACTAACCAACATAAAATGGATACTACTAGTCTAGGTACCGAAGAAGATTTCAAACAAAGTTTTGGGCCAGTAAATGCTATATGCAGAGGTTGTTTGACAACAAACCGTAAAATGATAAGTGCAGTTGTTTTCGGATCTTTATTCAAAGATTTAACGGGAATTGTCGTAAGTTAAAACTATAAATATACTTTCTAATGATTAATAAAGATGTGATTAAAGTTATTTATTACAGTTACATAATATAATTGTCTGTAACAGCTTTAAATTTGCTCTAAAAACAACACATTTAAATCTTGTTGTTTCGAGTTTAAAGTAAGAAGTAAAAACAGAAAGTTATAGACCCAAGGCTATTTACTAGCTACTTTCTTTTACTATCGTCTGTGGATTTTCTGGACTGATACTACCTTCAAACCTTCAAGAACAGAGCGTACTCCTTCCTCAAAGGCCGGCAACGCGCTTGTGACTCCCATGAGTGGCGGTAGTCGCTTTTCATCAGGTGACCCGACTGCTCGTTTGGCCCCTTCTCTATGAAAAAAAAATTGGTTGCCTGTAAAGTCGGTATACGGGCGAAAGTTTTACGTGACAACGACTATGTCTGTCTCTCTCGCTCTTAGGCGGGCTAACCATGCCCGATTGGAAGGGACGCGTGCCTCTCACTCGCTCTCATTGTGAGCGCATAACGTGAGCGGAGCGTAACGCAGTTTCTTGAAGTGTCACCCGGCTAACCAATTTATAAGATGTTGTCACGTCAAAAAAAACTACATTACTTATAGTTTTATTATTTGATTAAGTTGCATTGTTGTCATGTTTGTTTTTGTGACCACCCTTGCACATTTTTAGTTGAGACAGTATCGTATTTAGCGGTCTGTCAAAGGAGTTGACTAACTATTAGTATTTGTTACATATATGCTTTTACGAATGGTTGAAGACACCAATTTTAGGGACTCAACCCCGGATCTAGGGGGGACAGACCTTGGGCACCAGGGACTTCCTTTCTAGGGTATACCCGGTTTTAGTCCAGCGCCAGACAGGCCCACACTACAAGTGAACTTATATATTTGTGAGTTATTTTAAATAATTTATCTTAAATGCTGGAGAGACAGGCGCTACTATCAAATATCTGCCCCAGTTCGAAAAAATCGTTGGCTGAAGAGTCCCTATTGAAAAATTCTTTTAGTGTCAGATAGACTATTGATCGAGGCAGGCTACATAACATATTGCTACCAATAGCAGTTGAGCATTTTTTTTATGGTATAAGGGCGCAAACGAGCAGAAGGGTCACCTGTAAGCAACTACCGCCACCCATGGACACCTGTAACTCAAAAGTCACAAGTGCGTTGCTGCCCCTGGAGTTGGGGGGATTTGGGCTCCGGTAACCTCACTCACTCAGTGAAAAACAACGAAAGAATTGCTTTACACACGAGTTTTCTGTGAGGCCGTGGTATCACTCCGGTCGATCCGGCCCATTCGTGCTGAAGCATGGCTCTCCCACGTATATGAATCAATTAAATAATGTTGCAAGAACGGAGAAAATATAATAATTCCATTTCACATCACACATCAACAGCCTTTAATAGTCCACTGCTGAACATAGGCCTCTCGTTAGAAAGGAGGATAATTCCATTTGAAAGACATAAACTTGTGTGGGTCAACTAGTTAAAAATAATTTTTTTTTGCCAGGTTACAGAATCGGATGGACTACCACAATGGTTGTGTTATGAATGTTCAGCGTTACTCACAAAGTCTGTTAGATTTCAACGTAAAATGTTGAAGGCACATAACATTTTATATCAATATTTAACAAGATGTGCACCGGTGAGTATTCGTTTGTTATTCTTTGTTATTTTTAATTTCACGGATGGCGAAGTGATTTAAGCGGTCACCTCGCGACTTTCTACCGCCTTTAATGTTGTGGGTTTGATCCCCACATGGGACAACACGACATATTTTTTTATTTATTCTTTTTGCACAAACAACAATTCATTGTACAATGGAAGATTTTTGCCATGCCAGAGGGATTTTTTCCCAGTCTACCTTTGGGTGGTGGGGAAATGGCTGAGTAGGTGCACTAGAAATTATGTTTTATATGTAACAAGATCATAATAATTAAGAAATGGACTACTGGGTGCTATCCTGATTTCCAAAGGTAGAGCGTTCAAGAGGAGGACATATTGGATTAGGAACGAAGAGTAGACACATGCGGAAGTATGAGTGGGGCATAATAGAAGTGGATTGTTTGACGAACGGAGGGTCTGTTGTGATTGGAACATAGAAATTGAAAGGTAGGTGTCAGGTAGGAAGGGGAATTGTTGATCTGAGTCTGGATGTTGTTTATGTCTGGTTCATGAATATTTGTAAAGTCCTTCGCGACACAGGAAATATTGCAGAAGTTGTCTTTTTTTTAAAGTAAGAAAGGTTCTTACCTTTTTTTAATTAATTCATCAATCAATTTTAATTCATCTTAAATTGGTTGTACTGTTGGTCTAGTGACTAGTGAGCCTGGCTGTTTAACTAGAAGTAGTAAGTTTGATTCCTCCTCAGGATCAACAGACTGGGGAAATGCAGTGGCAGGAAAGAAATCTTGCTTATACAAATTAATTGAGGTGTTTAGGCGTCAGCACTAGTAGGTTTAGTGTAACTGATTATTAAAAAAACATTGGTGTGACCAACATATATCTCCCAGCTTCCCTCGGGATTCCCATTAAGTCTGGTTAGGTCTGTTGTCATTTTGGGAAGGATCTACCTAGCGCAGAGTAGGGTGACTGAGGCTGGTCATCGGGGTGCTTTTAAGTTGAAAAACCACATACTCCTAGCTCCTGCGTCCTCAAGGCGCCGGAGATCTGAAGGGATTTTCCACCCAGATATGAAAAAAGAACTTGATACCCAAGACAAATAATTGTATGATTCATAAGATAATTTGTTGTCTGTTTGTAATTTATAGTATTGTGTGTTTATCAGCAGTCTGGTTACTACAGTACAGAGGCACAGAGGCTTGGCTGCCTTGAGATCAGACAACCATGTATGAGCTGTGTCCATATTAGCTAACAATCACAAGGACCTCACATCAACAGCCTTTAATAGTTCACTGCTGGACATAGGCCTCTCCTTAGAAAGGAGATTTGGGCCTACTATACTACGCTGGCCAGACGGGTTGGTATAGGGTTTGTGTCAAGTCTTCCTTCTCTCTGCAGTGCTGTTTGCTCCTTTAGTCGGCACCCTCGGGATGAATAGGGGTGACACTCCGTATTCTTAATCTCACACAACAAGGACCTAACCCATAATATTAATTTACAGTTTCCCATAGATGCAAATGATGAAGAACTCTCAAAGTACACAAGCCCATACCTAGCCCAGACTGTGACACTATCTTGTGATGTCAGCAAAGGCAAGAATGCCTCGTATCAAGTTTTTGAGGTATGTATATGAATCAACTAGCTATTGCCCCGCTCGTTTGATTATTTGTCATTTCGTGTCTAACTTTGAAAATGACAAATTGGAATACAATTGTTTATCCCTTATTTCAAGTTGAAGTGTCCAAAAATCTTTTGTTATTGGGTTCTTACCACATATAAAGCATCAGGTCCAAAATTTTTAAGTTTGTGGCTTCAGCGGTTTGGCAGGGTTTGTGTCAAGTTTTCCTTCCCTTTGTAGTGTTACCCTTGTTGATTCTGTCTATACTGAGTCAGTTAGCCATGTGTAAAATTTGACCATTTAACAACATCATCACATCAACGGCATTTAATAGTCCACTGCTGGATATAGACCTCTCCTTAGAAAGAAGGTTTTGGCCTACTATACCATGCTGGCTGGGTTGGTATAGGAGGGGAGAGGGGGGGGGGGGCAATGTGGGTGGTGATACTCTGTATTCTTAATCAGTCACCACACGGAACAGTCCAATTATTATATTATATATATTTTCAGCATGAGAAACAACCAAACAACACCACCTTAGATGACAGCCCACTGCTGGACTTGCCCAAACCAGAGTCGGATGTTAAAGAAGAAATGGGCTTCTCCGATTATGATGACAATATAACTTTGGATGAATTTCGGTAAGAGTCAATCGTAATGACTATAAATATCTTAGGTTCATCTCAGATGGAGTAGCAAAATTTTCAAGCATTTTTGAGGTGTGGATAATATGTTGGATGGAATAAAAACTTTACTACAATGTAAATAGAATTCAAAATGAAATAATTTCTGAAGCAAAATGAAGGTTGTTTAAATTGTGTGTCTGTGGTATAGCTCATAAACGGATGAACCGATTTTAATCTAATTTTTATTATTGGAAGTGTGTCTTGATGAAGATAGTTCTTACATAATACACATAAATAAAATTGAAGTGTCTGTTTGTAATGTCAAAATAATGGGGTTTTTTCATGCTCACACGGTTATTTGCACGACACCTATGCCTATGCAAAAACCTACGTTTTTTTATTTTTTTTCTGTCTGTTTGTTTGTTACGGGTAATCTTCTAAACAGCTGGACCGATGCTGATAATATTTTACTACCAGATAGCTGCCCATATTAGGAGTAACTTAGGCGATTTTGCCTCTCAGAAAAACCCTATAAAATTTTACACGGTCCGGGAATCGAGACCGAGGTCGCATGGACTGCAGTCGCGTACCGCACTACACCACTAAGGCAGCGCTTTTCAAATTCCACGCGAACGAAATCGCGGGTACCAGCTACTTTCAAATTATTGTGTTAATTATCAATGTTAAATGTAGATTAAATTATCAGAGTTTTCTACTGCAGGCATTTATTTGCTTAAAAGAGGATTCCGAACAGAGCTTTCAAAAACAATTTTTTATTAAATTTACATAATTTACGGGGAAATTTACAAACATGCATGAAACGGACACAAAGAACACCCAGACTCAGAACAACAATTTGTGGATCACACTAAGTGTCGTCCCATGTGGGGCCCACACTACACTCAGCGTAGTAGGAAGCGGCGTGGCGACCACTTAAACCACTACGCCATCCGTGCAGTCAGAATAGAAATATATAATAGAAATAAATTTATAAACCGACTTCAAAAAAAAGGAGATCATACATTCGGACGTTTAAATATTTTTTAATGTATGTTCGGGCATAACTCCGTCATATACAGATTTGCAAATTCTTTTTTTGTTCGAAATGGTTAAAAATGGTCCCATTTAAATTTCAAATAGATCTGATGATGAATTTCGGAGACAGACAATGGAACTCTTCAATAAATGACAGCAAATCAACCGAGGCCAAAACCTCCTTTCTAAGGGGAGGCCTATGTCCAGCAGTGGACTATTAAAGGCTGTTGATGATGAAATCAACCGAGATTGCTGCTAGGTTTTTAGTGCTCTTTATTAGTATTGTTTTATTTTTATGGTATAAGGGGACAAGCGAACACACGGGTCACCTGATGGTAAGCAACTACCGCCGCCCATAGACACCTACAACTCAAAAGTCACAAGTGCGTTGCTGCCCTTGGAGTCCCTCCCAGTTGAGTCAGCGGGAGGGGGGATAAAATATATTTTTTTACTGCATTCACACAACGCCATCTAGTCCCAAACTAATCAGAGCTTGTACTATGGGTACTAGACAACTAATATAAATACATATATACTTTGTTTTTTTGTAAATACATAGATATTATACATAGAAACACCCAGACCAAATCAAACATTAAATGTTCATGCACACAAATGTTTGACTTGAGCGGGAATCGAACCCGCGACCTTTGGAATAGCAGTCCGTTAGGCTCCAGTAGCCTCACTCACTCAGTGAAAATATTTGAAGTCGGTTCAACTTCTTTTAAGAAGGATTTCCTTGTTTTATTTATTTTTTGATTTATTTTAGGTCTACGGCTAATGAGATAATGGAAGACGACATTGAATCTTTACTAAGACCGAACACACCCACGGAGGTTGCTGAAACAGAGACGAAGAAAAAAAAGAAGGCTAAGAAGAAATCCAAAGAAAAGAAGAATAAAATAAGGTACATAAGAGTAATCATCAACAGCCCTTAACAGTCCACTGCTGGACATAGGCCTCTCCTTACAATGGAGGTTTTGGCCTACTATACCACGCTGGTCAGACGGGTTGGTTTAGGGTTTGTTTCAAGTTTTCCTTCTCTTTGTAGTGCTGTTGTTTTGCATAGTTTGCTCCCTTAGTCGGCTCCAACGACACCCACGGGATGAATAGGGGTGGTGACACTCCGTGTTCTTAATCCGTCACCACACGGTACCACGACCATAAGAGTAATAAGTAGAGATAACTCTGGGGGAGAATGGGGTCACTTAAAGAGTGTCAACGGATTTGAATATTTATATTTGCAGGTGTCCACTTACCATCATGACCGTAAAAAAAACCACAAACTGACCAAAAATGGGTTACGTGGTTTGTGAGCCTGACTGCTAAGCCAAAGGTCGTGGGTTCGATTCCCACCCAGGACAAATATTGTGTGATGAGCACCGTCATTTGTTCTGTGTCTGGGTGTACTTTATGTACATTATGTATGTATTTAGAAATATATAAGTACGTTTATCAGCAGTCTGGTTACCATAGCACAGGCTCTGCCTAGTTTGGGATCTTACATAGTCTGTCTATAATACTGTGTTTGTTTTAGTGATGATGAAAAACCTGAGGGAGAAACTGGAACGAAGTCTTCTATCAGAAAAACTATTACGCTGGACCCGCAGAAGATAAGAATCATCACTCTGAATCCAGAGGAACAAATTAAGCAAAAAGAGGTTAGATATTTTTTGAGTGAGTTCCATTGCGTGATCCAAGATCTTTAATTATCACGTAGTTCCGTTCGTAGTCGATAGATGGCGTTGAAATAAATTATTGCTTTGTTTAAAATAATAAAATAATTGTTTGTTTTCAGGAGGAAGCCCGGACGAATCTAAAATTTCCATTCCAATGCAATTTGTGTCATAAGGGATTCAACTTTGAGGCGAAATTAGCGAATCACATGAACAAACATAGTCCTGTGAGTAACTTTTCTATTTAAAAAAAAATCCTTTGTGCAACAATCTTGTGAAAACTATTAAAGCCGTTGATGGAATGATTTCGGCAACAGTAATGTTTGTATGTGTTAGAACGACTGTGTATCCGGATATCCGGATATATCTGCATGTACATATTCGGATTTCATTACATTTCCGGATGATTTGTTCGTATCCGGTTATCTGTGTATATCCGTATGTCCTTATATATTGGTATTTCCTTACAAATCTGTTCGTTAGGACATGTATCTTCGATTGTCCACATGCATCCGAATGTCCTTGTATATTTGACAGTCCTTACGTATCAGGGAGGGGTGTATGTATCAGTAGATCCGTTTATCCGGACGTCCGTGTATAATCAGACGTTCTTACATATCGAGATATACCAAGATGCCGTGTATTCGAAAATGTGTTTGTGTTCAACAGTCCAAATACCAGACAAATAAGGGTATCTGACAAATGGAGTACGTATACATATACATAGATGTCTGTATTAAAAGCTTTTCGATTAACTAGAGGTTTGAAAATTTCAATTTTGCAGAGCTTGTCCCTGGTATAAGAGCATGCAGGGTCCGCCGCTAGTATCAGCTTGTAGGGTTTCATCAAAATTAATTTTGATATTTACTAATAATATCAGTTGGTTTATTTACTTGTATATAGAAACTAGAGACTTACTACTGTTATTTGTTAAAAATATATTAACAACTCTGTACCTGAAGAAATGTATCAGGATATCCGTTTATCCTATGTCCTTAAAGATGTTTGTATGTACTAAAAAAAAAAAAGTATATATGTATTTATATCAGTTGTCTAGTACCCATAGTACAAGCTCTGCTTAGTTTGGGACTAGATGGCGTTGTGTGAATGTGGTACAATATTATACATATTATATTATTATTATTACTATTGTGCAATGTATCCAGTTCTCCATATGTATCCGGCTGAGATGTACTGGGGCTCGGTTAAATAAAAAGAACTGTTCACGTTCCACAATTATAATAATATAAAACTTAAAGAAATACATAGTGCAATTCCAAAACACAACATAAGCAATAATTTGAGACAGTTGAGACATCGTTGTAAAGGAGTATACTTACTGAATAATATAAAGGAACTTTACACTACACGGCAATCATTTTAATAACAGGTTTCCGGATATCCGGTCAACTACCGCAATCCCAGAGGCCTTTTAACCGATGTTACCTCGATATCCGGATATCCGTACAGAAATCTCTTTGTTTATTTCAGTCCCGCGGTCCATTTGAATGCAAGCTGTGCCAGATGTATCTCCCCACTTCGTACAGTTTCAACGTCCACAGTCTGATCCACACGAGGCGGTACGAGTGTGTGGACTGCGGTCGGAGGATGATCGATAGATCTTCTATTATAGATCATTACAGGTATGACATTAACGTGCGATCTCGGATTAAGAATACGAAGTGTCATCACCCCTATTCACTAGCCGACTAAGGAAGGGCAACCTGTCTGGCCAACGTGGTGTAGTAGGCCAGAACCTCCTTTCTAAGAAAAGGCCTATGTCCAGCAGTGGACTATTAAAGGCTGTTGATAATGAATCTTTTTTATGTTTAGAGAAGCAAAAGAACAGATGAAGCTCTGCACAAGCACAAGCATTATGCACATGCATGGCACATGCATGGCACATAATGACCGGTGTGATACTACTCCCAGAAAACTGGCGTTAAGTAGTTTTTCATTGTTTTCATCAAGTAACTAAGGTTACTGCAGCCCAAAACTCTCCTTCCCTGATTTTGATGGGGTGGCAGAAGGTACCATGAGGCGATCCGTCTGCTTCTTTCGGAAAAATATGTGCAAATATTTTTCATTGTAAAATCAAACATTGAAAAGTCGAATGATGTGACAGTAGCGACTTGTGACGTCACAATTCGTTCTTCATAGAAGTATTCTAGACAATACTTGAATTTATTTTTTTATTTGTTACAGGACACAACACGAAGGCATGTTGACGCTTTTCACGTGCAATTTGTGTGGGAAAGTATCGAAGTAAGTAATTATAAAAATAACCACACACCTTTTCGAGACACTCTTTGCCCCGCACGACCAATCTGTGGAACGGGTTATCGTCTGCGGTATTTCCGGACCGATAAGACCTTCAAACCTTCAAGAAAAGAGCGTACTCCTTCCTAAAAGGCCGGCAACGCTTTTGTGACTCCTGAGTTGCAGACGTTCATGGGCGGCGATGGTTACTTTCCATTAGGTGACCCGTCTGCTCGTCTGCTCCCTCTAACATACAAAAAAAACATCCCACACACAAACTCTCAGAAAAACCCTTTAAAATTTTGCACAGTTCGGAAATCGAACCAACTAAGGCAGTACTTTTCAAATTCCACGCGAAAGAAATCGCGGGTACCAGCTAGTTTAGAAATATATAAGTATGTTTATCAGCAGTCTGGTTACCGTAGTACAGGCTCCTAGTTTGGGATTTTACAGTGTGTGAGATGTGGAAGGTTATTATTATTATTATTATGTTGTTTTCCAGCAACAATAAGACACACAGGGGCCATATGAGGAACCATCATGGCGCCGACAGACCCAAGTGTGACCAGTGCGGCAAGACCTTTGTCAATAAGGATTCTTTGACGGAGCATCTGCAGTGAGTATCTTATCATCTATAAATATTAGAGAGGTTACTAAAGACTGCACTCTCCCCCTCTACTTCTAATGGGCACTGGAGAAGGGGCGGGGGCCCACTCTAAAGGCGGCAACAACGCAATCGTGTCTTTTAAGTTGTAGGTATAAATATTACAACAAAAAATACAAAAATGTCTGTAAGTTTGTTCCGGCTAAATTAATTTCCTTCTTCACTTCCCCGGCTATCTGTTCACAGTTCCACCCCGTTTCCAAGCGCTATATTTTTTTTTAATCCCCGACGGAAAACGAGGGTGTTTATGAGTTTAACCTCTGTATTTGCGTATCTGTGTATCTGTCTGTGGATCGTAGCTCCCAAACGGATGGACCAATTTCGATACGGATTTTTCTTTTTGAAAACCTATGTGATCCAGATGGTTCTTAGCTATAAATTTTGAAGATCATCAGCTCACTTCCTAGGTGATGAAGGGATCTTACTAAAATCCACAGGTCCGATTGCTGCTGCATCAAGTAGTCTGCGGGACAGCCAACTCCTCAGACAATTACAGCATATATACCATGTTTGGGCTTATTAGAACAGTCTTAAAGAGCAGATGTTGCTTTTTAAAGTTTTAAGTTTAATAATGTTTAGAATAATTTGCAAAGAAAAGGAAAACTTGACACAAAGCCTGTACCAACTCGTCTGGCCAGCGTGGTATACCTCCAAAACCTCCCTTCTAAGGAGAGGCCTATACCCAGCAGTGGACTATCAAAGGCCGATAATGATGATGAATAGACAACTCACGCACTAGGAATAACTATATCCTGTGTGGCGGGGGACTTTACACACATACATGAAACGGACACAAAGAACACTCAGACTCAGACCGTGGCGACCGCTTAAACCTCTACGCCATCAATACACGGTATATATTATATGACCCTAAAGAATGACCCCACTGTTTTAAAACACCCTGTATATGTTTCACCGCAGAATACACCAGGGTATCAAGAACTACGAATGTTCAATATGCGGTAAGAAGTTCAGGACTCGTACGCAGATCAAGCATCACCAGCTAAAACATACCGACGTCAAGGAGTTCTACTGCGTCGAGTGTGATGTCCGGTGAGAACTTATAATTAAATTCTCGATTGTCGGCACTTGGTGGAACTTGTTGAAAACCATTATAAAATCTAACTGACTTGTTACCTATGTTACACTATTTAAATTAATAATATATAATAAACAATTACATAAAGGATATCCGGATATCCGGATACTGTGATGGGTATCCGGATATAAATATATTTGTATCTGAATTTTATCTTATTGTTTTTGATATCGGTATAAATAGTATTCTTATATCCGTATACATAGCATTCGGACTACTGATATATTTCTAGATCAGGGTAAATATATTCCGTATAACCGGATAACTGCGACATTGGGAGCCATTTAAATAGTATTCATATTACTGCACTCATAATATTCGGATATCCGGATAAAAAGTAAATATATTTTCTTGTGTGACAAAATCTTTTACTTGTAATTATGTCAATAAATTGATGTTTTGTTATCAAAAACTGTCCCACTGTTGGACAAACAAAGCCTTTCAAATAACGTCATATCATCACGCCAGCTATTTATTATTTATTTTTTACAGATTCAAATCTGCACACAATCTTCGCCAACATTTACAAAAAAGCTTGCGACACAAAGACAAAGGGAGTTTGATGTGAGTATATATTTTAACTACAGTGCCATCTATCGATAATCTCATGAACTACGGCGTAACTACTAATCCTACATCGCGTAATGAAAGTTCTCACGCCGATTTCGGTTTCGAATAACCAAACTGTGCAACAAAGTCGCCTGTAGTAGTTTTACGGACCGATACGATCTTTAAACTGTGAAGAGATGAGGTGGTAACACACCGTGACTCACGGTAGTCGTGATATGTTTCCAAAAATCACTTACACAGATCAAGAAAACGGGCGGAAAATAGGTATCACACATTAAATAGATTTAAGTGAAACATGAAGTCGGTACAAGCGGGGTGTGGTGTTGCAGCTACGGCTGCAGCTCGTGCTCGAAGCGCTTCGAGTCGAGCGCGGCGCTGGCGGCGCACGTGCGCGTGCAGCACGAGGGGGTGCGCGCGCACGCCTGCGCCACGTGCGGCGCCGCGCTCGCCTCGGCCGCGTCCCTCGCCAAGCACGCGCGCACCGTGCACGCCGCGCGCCGCGCTCCGCCCAAGCACGTCTGCCACACCTGCGGGAGGCTCTTCCGGGTACGTACCGCCTGTACTCCACTGTACCACCCCGGCCACACGGGTCGGTATAGGAGTTGTGGCACGTTTTCCTTCTCTTTGCAGTGCTGTTGTCCTGCTTAGTTGGGTGGAGACACTACGTATTCTTAATCCGTCACCAAATTAGTTACAAAACACTTTTACAAAGCAAACTCTTTAGACCAAGTTCAACCTTTCCTAACTGGTCTAATCCCGAGAAGAAAGGACGAAACAAATTCAGAGATTACCGTTTATTTAAAGTCTAAACAAACTTCTTCAAATGCAAATATATGCAAGTATATCTTAAAAAGATCTACAAAAAAGTTCCCGATGGCATGTCTTTATCTCCTAAGAATAATCCACAATAACCATTAGTATCATTATTTACGAGGCTATTTTAAACATTACAGTATTATTCCTTATCCAATTAAATATGTCAGATTATGTGACAGTTGTGCTTTTAATGTAGATCCTCTTTACAGCATATCATTAAAATGAATATCTTAGATGATATCAGAGATTTAAAATGTGGGAGCAGAGCGGCCGACCCGGGCAGGGACGCAGGGTATACCTATAAATTTTGTGTATTCCTAAAGATATCGGTGTCGTAAGAGCCGACTAAGGGAGCAAACTAAGCAGGACAACAGTACTGCAAAGAGAAGGAAAACTTGAAACAAACCCTATACCAACCCGTCTGGCCAGCGTGGTATAGCAGGCCAAAACCTCCTTTCTAAGGAGAGGCCTATGTCCAGCAGTGGACTAGTATAGGCTGTTGATGATGATGATGATTGAAAGATATCCTGTATTATAGTCTAATCATATTAATATAATTAATTAATCCACATTGACACTACATTAGTATCTACATTGCACCCGTACGAAGCCGGGACAGATCGCTAATTTACAACAAAGTGTACAGACGTGAAAGACAGTGTTATAGCCCTCCCCCTACCCCCCCCAGGGTAAGAGCGTGCTGACGAACCACGTGCGCACGCACACGGGCGAGAAGCCGTTCGAGTGCTCGTCGTGCGGCCGCAAGTTCTCGCAGCGCACCGCCATGCGCACGCACGTTAAGCTCGTCCACCTCAAGATGCGGCGACAACCCAAGGTCAATACTCAATATTTATTTATTTCCTTTAAAAACAACTATTATTACAGGTTTAGCCCAATGCAATAGTGTTATACCATCTACTCATTTATTATCTATACTAATATTATAAAGCTGAAGAGTTTGTTTGTTTGTTTGAACGCGCTAATCTCAGGAACTACTGGTCCGATTTGGAAAATTCTTTAAGTGTTAGATAGCCCATTTATCGAGGAAGGCCATAGGCTATATATCATCACGCTAAGACCAATAGGAGCGGAGCACCAATGAAGAATGTTTCAAAAACGGAGACAATTTATTACTATTGAGAGAAGCAGACGAAGTTGCGCGGGTCAGCTAGTAAGAAATAATTCTTAATGCTGTTATTGTGAATTCACTCAGTGAGCAATAAAATAAATGTATTTCATCCGCAATTATATTTAGAGTACTTCTCTCGCGGTGCTTCTCTCTGCAGGTCGGTGCGCCCGCACAATCTTTATATATATAATTCTTGTGTGAGTGTGTATGTCACTGAACTTCTCTCAAACGACTGGACCGATTTTGATGAATTTTTTTGTGTCTGTTCAAGGGGATCTGGGAATGGTTTAGATTCACAATTTTGTCCGCTGGACAATGTTTTTTAATTAATTTTTAATTTATTAGTAGTTGTTGATTTTGGAATGTTTTACATTGGATCAGACAGACGGCGCTACCATCGCAGTGTCAAATTTGACAGGACAACGTCTGTCGGGTCCGCTAGTATATATATATTTATTAATATATTTATTGCATTCCACAATGTTTACTTAGAGGGTACTCAAATATAATATCAGATCATCATGGACCCTGTCGGGCACAGCAATAGATGAGAGAGGGCGAGATAATACAAACTATCAATAATAATCATACTTCAGTTTTTTATGTACATGCTTGATTTATTGATTGCTCAGATATTCATTGATGCTGTAATAGCATTTTTGTAGTAATAATTGTTTTAATTTATTTAAATATATATTTAATATGGTTTCATTTCTAATTTCTTCATGTAATTTATTGTTAATTTTGATCGACATTACTTGAGTGCTCTTTGAAAGAATTTGGAGTCGGGATGACGGTAGGTTTAGTCTAGTCTTATGGCGTAGTGTGTAGTTTTTTGTTTATCCTCTCTTTTTGTAAACAGATGTTGTTTTTTTCGTACGAATTTACTTATTTCCAAAATATAAATTGATGGCAGTGTTAGAATGTTGTGGTAAAAGTATGGTTTACAGCTATCGGTGTCCTCTATATTGACCAGAATTCTAATTAGTTTTTTTGAAGTGTGAAGACATGGTCAGGGACATTATTTATTGCTCCAAGGTCGTGGATTCGAGGATAGCTAATTGAATACGATCATTTGGTTCGAATCTGAGTGTAATATATGTACAATATGTATGTATTTAGAAATATATAAGTATGTTTATCAGCAGTCTGGTTACCATAGCACAGGATCTGCTTAGTTTAGGATCTGACTTCCTGAGATGTGTAGAGTTGTAATTATTTGCAGGTAAAACCCGAAATGCCCACCGAACAGTTACCGCCGGCGCCAAAGCTGGAAGTGTTCAAACCGGACACGCCGTTGGAGCCGTGGAGACAGCCCTGTGATGTCTATTTCCAGGTCACTGTACCTAAGGCGTACAGCTAGGGTTGTCACTGAGTAGTTTCTGAAATAAAATTTCCAATATTTTAACTGTATGAATGTAATTTATTAAAGTCTTAAGTAACATTGAATTTGATGAAAAAGTGTATTTTCAAATTGAAAGAATATTACCAGTTTTTTAATATCGTAAATAAATAACTTACCGAGAATCAAACCCGCGACCATTGACATTTGAATTTCTTTTTTCATATAATTATGTATATTCTTTCTTCAAGCAGCTATAGAATGTTATTCCAGAAGGTTCTAGGTTGGTTCTGTAAGATTATGTAAATTACAACAACTCTTTGTATGTACCTCCTGAATGTACGAGTCGTGTGTGTAAAAATTAAATATTTTTTTCAATGTTTGTCTTTCATTTACATAATAAAATTGACATGTGTGGTGACTGCCACATACATCAACAGCCTTTACTTGTCCACTGCTGGACATAGGCCTCTCCTTAGAAAGGTTTTGGCATACTATACCACGCTGGCCAGACGGGCCAGTGCTGTTCTTCTGCATTATTTATATTAGTTTGGAATCCGTCTGCAGAAATAAAAACTACAGTTCTCAGAAATAGTAACACTATAATTTTCTCAATTTTCTAAATCAATTGACAAGTTCCTATCCAAAATATGACATTTTGTGCAAAGAACAAAAAGGTTTTGAACAAAAGTATAATTACAGCAATTTATGATTTGTTAAAAACATTTATGGAAGACGTAGATAAGAAATACCTATTTATGCAATTTTAACAGATGTGACGAAAGCATTTGATTGTGTCAATCACGAGATACTATTAAACAAACTTATCGTCTATGGGATAAGAGGAAATGTGCTCAGTCTCCTAAAATCTCTAGATCTTAAGCAAAACACGGAAATACTCTACTTGAGTATGTGTTACGACGAAGATCGAAAGAAAATACCTATCAGAAAGTAGAATAATACAATATGGTGTACCCCAGGGCAGCGTACTTGGACCGCTTTTCTTTCTGATTTACATCAACGATTTACCACGACATGTTGAGATCCCCATGGTCCTATGTGCAGATGATAGCACTGCAATAGTAAAATGCAATTATTTGAATAGGTATGGAAGGGATATAAATACTCTTAAAGACATACTTAATTAATTGGCTTGACAACAATAGTTTGATAATTAACTTATATAAAACTAACTTATTACACTTCCACCAACACACATCTCTAAAAAATGATACTGTAAAATACAAAAACCAAAACATTCACCAAATAAATATTGCTAAATTTATAGGCATATATATCGACAGTCAACTAAATTGGCAACACCAAGCAGAGGACTTCTGTAAGCGGCTTAATACATCCACATATGTCTTTTCGCACTTGTCCAAAAAGACATTCAAACTACTGTACTAGCTTACCACGATCTGGTTGCATCAGTTCTCAGATTTGGAATTATATTCTGGGGCAATAGGCTAGTTGACTCAATTTGAAAACTTTGTTAATTATGTCCTTTAATATCTATTTTATCCCAAAAAACCTATATTTTAAAGAAAAAGCAATATTTACATTACGTATTTTGTATTAAAAAAAAAATTTAATTTCCCTTGGAAACGCTGAATAGTGTCATGACGTCTTGAATGACGTCACAGTCTGCGGAACAAAACTGTTTACATCTGTGTCTAGTGTCAACTGAAACTGTACTAAGGGGAGAAAATATGCTAAAAACGAAAAACAATAAGGAGTAACCTGCTCTGTGGTATGAAAACGTCAACAACAACTATGATGTATTGCGTGGCGTGACGTAACACTTTCTGATTGGTGTTCGCTGTCACGTGACTTAATGCCTATTTTATTTTCTAAAAATATTAATAATCTTTAACTTTTATGAGAAATAGACTGGTTTTTTCTTATCTATGTCTCTTCATTTATAATTTGAAACTATAAACTAAGTAATTTTTTATTAGTGGACACAAGCCTTTTGTACTCTTAGTTCAAGAGAGTAGGTGTTCAAAGCAAAAAAACGCTGTATCAGAGCGATGTGCAAATTGAGGACCACAGACAGTTGTAAACCAATGTTTAATGAGGGTTTTCTGAAATCTTCAACGTGAGATGGCAGCACTGTAGCGTCAGGTCCAACCTGTCAAAACACAAACGATTTGTATTTTTTCGATCATTTTTTTGGTTTATTCATTCTTAAAAACGTTACAAAAATAATATTATTTTCTAAAATTCCACAGTGTTGTGCAGTGCCTATATGTGCAAATAAAACAGGGCATAAGTTCCCTGCAGAAGATAAAAGCCGATTAAAACAGTGGCTTGTAGCCATTCGCAGAGATACATTAACTCCAACGAAAAATAGCATAATAAACTCAATAACACTTCTAAATACATAGAATTTCACCAAAAAATATATGTTCGGTAAGAATCTGTGCTACCTGACAGCTGTTTGGACCTGACGCATACAAAGCGCCGTCTGGTGGCAGAAAAAGTATCGAGAACCCTCATTGCTTGAAATATCTCTGTATGGTTTACGGTGGAAACCGATAGATGGCATTGCCACTTCTTTCTTTTTTGAATGGTTGAAAACAAACTAGGTTGGGGCCGGCTTTAAGTCTACTTCATTACGGCTAACCTTTGATTTTTACCCGAAACGACTGCCATCAGACCGTCACAACCCAAGTAGGCGATATCGAAGTTCTGTACAAAGATTGTTAACGGACTTTTTAGCTCTTCAACTACCCGTAACCATAGCAACAAAAGTTCGTAAGACAACCGGGACCAATGGGTTAACGTGATCTTCGAGACTCGAAAGACTAGAAGGCACTGCCACTCAGTTGACTATACGGAAGAGGTCGCCACGCCGCTTATTACTACGTCGAGTGTTGGGGGTCCGATCACCATATAGCACGACGCTTTGTGTGATCCATAAATTGTTGTTCTGAGTCTGGGTGTTCTTTGTGTCCGTTTCATGTATGTTTGTAAAATCCCCCGCGTCACAGGATATATTCCTAATGCGGGAGTTGTCTTTTAAAAGATAGATAAGTACCAGGACCTGGTAAAAAAACCTTTAATATATATTTTTTTGTTGTGTACTGCTATATGGCTATCTGTTCCTTCAACAACAATAAACCATTCCTCTCTTTGACCATTCGGTACTTTTATTGTTTTTTTATGTGAAGCGGCTGCTCAGACTAGGAATGTCGCTTCGCTTTAATAGTAGTGAAGTATTTCTTTCGTCGGAGAGTTACCCGAAAGAGTGAGATTACCAGTAGATCTTCCATCGCTTAATTGGAAGAAAGACACTGAAAGGCCGGCAACTCACTTGTGACTTTTCAATTGTTGGTGTCACAGGGGCGGTGGTAATAGTGATGTGCCGGATCGTTAACAAAGTATATATACGGATATTTGGTGTCAAGTTCCGCGGATACGGATACGGACCTTAAGTTTCTTACTCAATCGGAGCCCGTGACCTTGATTGTTGTCGCCACTTGACGCTTTGCCGTTGATAATTAAATATTTCCTTATTTTAATAAGCTAATACAAAGATGTTTGATTGATCTCATTATAAAGATAGCTCTTTCAGTACCTACGACCTGCCTAGTTGATTTAGTGTACTTAGTACGATAAATGATTGCAATACAAAGGTGCCAAATATTTGTTTTAAGAAATAAAAAGTAATCTGAACAGAATTCAATAGTTTTTCAAAGCTACCTAATAACCATTATTCAGGGTTATTTTAAATTTACTGAAAACCTCTGAAGTGCATATTAGTAACATTATAAACAACAACTTTTCTTCTGGACTAACACCGAAAACGAAAGAAAAAAAATTGTTTCTCCATACAATCTAACAACATTTGATTGCTCATTTGAATGGAGGACCAATTTGACGTTGGCCAGAAAAAAAGTTGCTAAGTTGTTTATAGTGTTACAAACACATACCTAAGAGTTTTACAGTGAAAACAACCTATATAGAATTTCATCTATGTATTGAAAGATCCGACAAAAAAGTCACGGATACGGATACGGTTACGGATCTCTCTTCTCCCTTGGATATCCGCGGATACGGATACGGATACGGATATCCGGCACATCACTATGGTAATCCCGTCTCCCCGTTTGCTGAGATGTGTCGCGTTATTATTAAACCCCTTTGCAATTTTAGACAACACCGATTCAGATGTTTACAAATATCTTTTATCATTTGATACGAACTTGACACTCGCAATACGGTTCATATGTGATAAATTGTGTATTCACATCACACATACACATCACATCAACAGCCTTCTATAATAGTCTACTGCTGGACATAGGCATCTCCTTAAAAAGGAGGTTTTGTGTATTACTTATAAATCTAAGGTTGCCTGGAAGAAATTGCATTTAGCAATAAGGCCGCCCTTTGTACACTCGATATTTGATCGCTGTGTTCCTTTCTTGTAACTCTGTAATTTAGTGTGCAAATAAAGAGTTATCTATCTACCTAAGCAGAGCCTGTTGTTCAGGGCCTCGATAGGTTACGTATAAATAAATAGGGAAAAATTAAGAGGGCGTATTTAATATATTGTGTTATATGTTACACGGACGGTGACAGAGTAAAAAGTCAAGAAACATTGTATTGTCAAATTTGACTTCATAAAAGACAGGCTTAAAATTAAGAAGTGCGTGATTGCTATGAATCTTGTAGTAGGCGTTATTTTCACCTAACCAGCCTGCTGATAAACATACTTGTCTTTACAAATAAATAAAATTGGAGTGTCTGTTTGTAATATTAAAATAACCGCTTTTTACTGAATTCATATGTATTACACGGTACATATGCCAAAATATTTTTTTTAACCATTTTTGTCTGTCTGTCTGTCTGTCTGTTTGTCCGTTTGTTCCGGGTAATCTCTGGAACGGCTGGACCGATTTCGACGGGACTTTCACTGGCAGATAGCTGATGACATAAGGAGTAACTAAGGCTACTTTTTTTAGACTAGCTTCGCCCCGCGGCGTTGCCCGCGGTTATAACAACAAACGCGG